GTTCAAGCACAGCTACCGTAACCCGGCTAAAGCCTACAGCTACAGTAACCCAACTTAAGCCTACAGTCACTCTAACCCGGCTCAAGCACAGCTACCGTAACCCCGCTTAAGCTACAGCTACGATAACTCGACTCAAGCTACAGCTACAGTAACCCGGCTTAAGCCCACAGCTACAGTAACCCGCAAGCTATAGCTACCTAGCCCAGCCTAGATTCGATTTTTGTAGAGCTAAACGGCTACGGTAGCTAAATCAAGCTTTAAAGCGCTTACCCGAGACGTTTCACAGAATTTCCCAAATGAAAACCGATAAAAGCTCTGACTCTACTTATTCAAATCCCGACTTTATTTGTTCTCATCACGGAAATTTCATTTTAAACACAAAGAAAATAACTGTAAGAGTTGCTGAAAGCCTCAAGCATACAATTGAACGTTAAAAAGAATGACCAATCTCAGGCTTATCAGCTTTTCCCGTATTGATTCCTTTCTCTTTCCTTTCCCCCCCTCGAGCATGTAAACAAATTTCCGGGGAAGCGATTTTCGATAAACAATGAAATAATTGAATTTTGAGAGGAATCTCGTATTTCTCATCGCTTATCAATGAAAGAAAAACATATAAACAATCGTTTGACGAATCGAAATCATCCAAGAAAATGCCAGTGCTGAGAAATCAAAATTACAGCGGATTTTTGAATGTTTTGTAGACTTTAGGCTAACCTTACTGTAGCTTTGACTTAAAAATGTCTCTTAACCAGTTAGAAATCATCATGAATCTGTTTGACATGGCTCAGACAAGAACAGTTCTAACTAGTAATAAAGTAAAGTAAGGAATGGGAAAGAAGGTCGGAAGGTCGGAAGAAGGTCGGAAGAAGGTCGGAAGGTCGAAAGAAGGTCGGAAGAAGGTCGGAAGGTCGGAAGAAGGTCGGAAGAAGGTCGGAAGGTCGGAAGAAGGTCGGAAGGTCGGAAGAAGGTCGGAAGAAGGCCAGAAGGTCGGAAGAAGGTCGGAAGAAGGTCGGAAGGTCGGAAGAAGGTCGGAAGAAGGTCGGAAGGTCGGAAGAAGGTCGGAAGGTCGGAAGAAGGTCGGAAGAAGGCCAGAAGGTCGGAAGAAGGTCGGAAGAAGGTCGGAAGGTCGGAAGAAGGTCGGAAGGTCGGAAGAAGGTCGGAAGAAGGCCAGAAGGTCGGAAGAAGGTCGGAAGAAGGTCGGAAGGTCGGAAGAAGGTCGGAAGAAGGTCGGAAGGTCGGAAGAAGGTCGGAAGGTCGGAAGAAGGTCGGAAGAAGGCCAGAAGGTCGGAAGAAGGTCGGAAGAAGGTCGGAAGGTCGGAAGAAGGTCGGAAGAAGGTCGGAAGGTCGGAAGAAGGTCGGAAGGTCGGAAGAAGGTCGGAAGAAGGCCAGAAGGTCGGAAGAAGGTCGGAAGAAGGTCGGAAGGTCGGAAGAAGGTCGGAAGAAGGTCGGAAGGTCGGAAGAAGGTCGGAAGAAGGCCAGAAGGTCGGAAGAAGGTCGGAAGGTCGGAAGAAGGTCGGAAGATGGTCAGAAGAAGGGATTGAACAGTCGATCTTTTGGCTCGACCTCTTTCCTTTTCGGGTAGATGCTCACTGGGCTATCCAGTATCTTCCTGCGAGAGAAGAAAGAGGGAAGGGGAAGTAGGGGAAGTAGGAGAAGTACAAGGGGAAGTAGGGGAAGTACAAGGTGGAAGAGAAAAGAAGAGAAGGATAGGAGTAGATCAGTTATAGCACAAGACTGGTCTACCAAAGTCCACCTCGATTTTAATTCAAAACTAAATGCTAATTAAAATCAAGCTATTTTCAAGAAAAAAAGCTCCTGTTTCAGCTAAAAAACTCAAGAGAGCTTTGTGCCTAGAAACACATTGAAATTGGGTGCCCGTTTCGACTTTATTGCGTTTTAGCGCCTTTTCTAGCCACCCATTTCCCAGCATTGAGCAGATTTTAGTAAAATAGGGATTGAATTGAAAAATCTAACGATTTTTCTCAAGCTTCCTATATTCTTTCAAAAAAACTTACAAAAAACAATATCTAAAACTTGTTTTGAGGTTTTTGTGGTCCGTTAGAAGTAGTTAGAGCTAGTTAGAGCTAGTTAGAGCTAGTTAGAGCTAGTTAGAGCTAGTTAGAGCTAGTTAGAGCTAGTTAGAGCTAGTTAGAGCTAGTTAGAGCTAGTTAGAACCAGTTAGAATCAATTAGAACCAGTTAGAACCAGTTAGAAGCAGTTAGAACCAGTTAGAACTCATTGAACTTTAAACCAGCTATAAACCAGCTATAAACCAGCTATAACCCAGCTATAAACCACCTATAAACCCTTTTCCAATCCCTTTCCCTTAACAATCCACTCATTTTTCTCGTCTCTTAACCGAGTTTCTTTGAAAAGCGTTGATTTTCCTTTCATTTGATTCGAAATCAAATTTTCTATCAAATAAAAGCAAAATCAACGTTTTTTGAAAACAAATCCAGCAAAGAAACGAGAAAAAAAACGAGAAAAATGCGTCGATAACCAACGCCAAACGAACCAAAGACGAGGCAGAGTTAACTAGTTAACTAGAGCTATTGTAAGATTACATTCTTATTGGGTTGGTGAATTGAAAACTGCCTTGAAAACTATTGTCATATGTCCCTTTTTGAGCACTTTCTTCAGAAGAAACCCATTTTGGTTTCAATGGAAGTGAAGTTAATGTAAAGCCGAGTTAACTAGAGCTATTGTAAGATTATATTCTTATTTCTCATCGTTTACAGTATGCTTTACTGTAATTCTAGAAGTAATTCTAGAAGTAAATCATAGCTAGGAATCATTTCATAATAATAATACTTTATTCAAACGATAAAGTGAAAGAAATCATAGAGAAATGCACAGTGATACTTAATCATACAATACATACTGAAATCAATAAGCCAATTACTTACGGCAAAGAGCCAAAGATCTTTGCGGAGTGCTCTTTTTATCTATGAAATATTAGGTTTTTTAAAAAACTGTTTCACCCATCATGTAGCCAAGAACGCAAGGATTTTTTTGATATAAAACTTGAACCATAAAATCTAAGCGTAATTCTGAAAAAAACAGCTAAATTTGGGGGGGAGGGGTAGTCAAAACAGCGCCATAATAGAAAATGTTCCAAAACAGCGCCGTCAAATTTCTCAAAATCCAAAAAACCAAGCCGGTTCAAGTTTTATATCAAAAAATTCCTTGCGTTCTTGGCTACATGATGGGTGAAACAGTTTTTTAAAAAAAACCTAATATTTCATAGATAAAAAGAGCACTCAAAATGTGTGTCGAGTGATACTCAGTTGGTTAACTGAATATCTTTAATAATAATACTTTATTCAAACGATAAAGTGAAAGAAATGATAGAGAAATGCACAGTGATACTTAATCATACAATACATACTGAAATCAATAAGCCAATTACTTACGGCAAAGAGCCACTAGATCTAAAGCATCGATACGTTTTCTAATTCTAGAAGTAATTCTAGAAGTAAATCATAGCTAGGAATCATTTTATAGAAAAAAAAAAAAAAAAAGCAACACAAATAGGAAACTTTTCACGATTACGTCGGTATTCTGTGGAAAGAGAGAAAGCTGACGAAGCTAATTGTCGTCTATTCGTCGTTTGTACGAAATTTGCAAAGAAAAAAAATGAGTAAAAATATGAAAAAGCATTGAATTTATTCAAATTTCATCAAAAAAAGCAGTAAATTTATTCAAATTTCTTCAAAAAAGCCTTCAATTTCTTCAAATTTAACCAAAAAAAAGCATTCAATTCATCAAATTCCTTCAAAAAAGCATTGAATTTATTGAAATTTACCGTATTTCTTCGAATAGAAGACCCGGTAAAGAGTATGATCGCGTACTCCTGCGTAGCAGCCCTTTCGAAGAAATACGGTAATCAAAAAAGCATTCAATTTCTTCAAATTTCTTCAAAAAAGCATTCAATTTCTTCAAATTCAATTTTAAATGCAATTTTAAATGCAAATTTTAATGCAAATTTTAATTGCAAATTTTAATTGCAAATTTCTCAAGCATAGAATCTAAAGCATTAGAAAATTCAATCTCAAAAATCTCAAAAATCAAAAAACCAATGGGCACCCGAAATGAACGCAAATTTGAATGAAGAAAAAGTGTGATAACGTGAAAAAATCGAGAAGAAATTCTCAGTTTCGATTTCCTCGTGTAAAAGCTTAGATAAGACTTCACCGTTTGACCAGCAGCTGCTTTGATTTTCTCGTTTAAAATCTCGCTTTTCTGTGATCTTTGGGTTTTCTTTGGAAATCTCCGAAAATTGACAAAAAAAAACTGTTGAAAGCTTTCACTTGCGATACAGTTTGCGTAAACAAAAAACAAAATGGAAACCCCTGCTTTCTAGCGCACAGTTCTTCAGTTCTTCAGTTCAGAACGACAGTTCTTCATTTTCCACCAAAAAAAAACCATTTTTTGTTAGAAAATGGAAATTTGAGTGGAAAAAAATTCGGATTTTTGACTTTTTATTGAGGCAGAAAGGTGGGTTTCCGTTTTTTTTCTTTGAATTCAACGTTAACCACTGCAAGTTAGAAGAATCATTACTCAGATCTTTGATTAGAGAGTAGGGTAAAAAGTAAAGCACTAAAGGACTAAAGTAAAGGACTAAAGTAAAGGACTAAAGTAAAGCACTAAAGTAAAGCCTTAAACTAAAGCCTTAAACTAAAGCCCTAAACTAAAGCCCTAAACTAAACCCCTAAACTAAAGCCCCAAACTAAAGCCTTAAACTAAAGCCTTAAACTAAAGCCCTAAACTAAAGCCCCAAACTAAAGCCCTAAACTAAAGCCCCAAACTAAACCCCTAAACTAAACCCCTAAACTAAAGCCTTAAACTAAAGCCTTAAACTAAAGCCCTAAACTAAAGCCCTAAACTAAAACATTAAACTAAAGCACTAGAAAATAAGGCAAAAATCGTAAGGCTTAAGAGTTGCGTAATTAAACCAATCAAAGAAAATCGGTAAACTGAGTAGATTCATGTTTAAACTAGTTGATTTCGGGTTCAGGAGTGGCATCAATTCGTGGTATTCGTTCTCGTAAACTTTCAAGCATCTAAAAACAACATCATTTTAGAATGCTGAATTCAAGACGGATCGATTGGTAAAAACCCTTTTTAAGATATCTCTTTTCGAAAAGTTTTTACAGCTATTTTAGTAAAGGGCGGCAGAGCCACCAATATTTTACACTCAAACTCAAATACCCACTTTTTCCCTAGCTTCAAATGGTTTGAGACTCGATATTTCTTGTGGTGAGCTTGACGGGAAACCGGTTGGTGGCATCGGTGGAGGAAGCTGTAAGTTTTTGGATAGATTTTTTGTACTAAAGCTGTTCATTTGATTGTCAATAGGTGTACAAGGGGGAAAAAACGAGATTCGAGCACTTTAACGACTACTTTTTCAAGATTTTCTTGCACATAAAGATCGAATTTTTCAAGCTCTATCTTTTGTTTTTGAAAACTCTCGAAAAAGTAGCTGTTGAAGTGATTAAACCTTGTTTTTTCCGTTGTAAACCTATTGTAACAATCTGATTGACAAATAAAAGGGATTTATTAGGGTGGTGCAAAAGAAACTGCCGATTTGACGGTAAATCCAAAAAAGCATAACATCAAAGCGAGAATCTAGAATCTTAGACATCTAGAATCCTACACATCTAGAATCCTAGCCATTCTAGAATCCTAGCCATTCTAGAACCCTAGACATCTAGAATCCTAGACATCTAGAATCCTAGACATTCTATTAGGGTGGTGCAAAAGAAACTGCCGATTTGACGGTAAATTCAAAAAAAAAGATGGCGTTCGATGGTGACATGATCACAATGGAATATTTTCGCAAGATCTCGAGCAGATTGGCATGGATCGGCCTGAATAACGTCCCTCAGCTTGGCTTCGTTCACGAATAGAACCTGTCGAATAAATTCTGGCCTCGAACCGTGTTCGTGATCTTCCAAAATCTCATCTCCCTCTCGGAATCGTTTGAAACCAAGTCTGACACTGCCTGAGAGACAAACTGCCATCTCCGAAAGCAGCACAGAGAGAACGATGCGATTCGGCAGCAGAATTTCCAATTTTCAAGGTTTTAAAGAGATAAGGAACCAAATTTAAAGAGATAAGGAACCAAAATTCGAGAGTTAGGGAACCAAAATTCGAGAGTTAGGGAACCAAATCTAGAAAGATAGGGAACCAAATTTAGAGAGATAGCGAGCCAAGCAGAGCGAGCGAGCAGCACAGAGAGAACGATGCGGTTCGACAGCAGACTTTCCAATTTTGTTAAAGTTAAAAGTTAAACAGTAATGCTGCTCGTAGCACAAACTTTTTCTCGACCATGATCTAAATAAAAAATATAAGCATTTTTAAATAAAATAAACAAAAAACCAAAAAAAATTCAAATGTCGAAATAAAAAGCAAATAAATATGCGAACAAAACATTTAAAAAAATAATGCCGTTAGCATCGCTCGTTTCTGATATAAATGAGAGCTGATACAAATCGGCAATTTCTTTTGCACCACCCTATAATATTTACGAAAAAGCTCTCTCCAACTCACGGGCATTGGTGTCGAGTTTGGGCGTGGCATGAATGGCTCGTCGTCTTTCACTTTCACGGCTGGTGTTTCACCGATTGAGACGGTTTTCCGGCGATTCATCGGTTTGGGACTCGTTTGCTAAAATGATAAAATAAAAATAAATTGTTTAAAGTTTTCCCCAAAACTCTTTGCGTTTCCTTTTCTCGAAATCGTCTCTCAGCACTTTTCACTGCACTCGCCAAAACATTTGGCTGTTCAACGACGACCGCGTCCTCCTGAAACTCTTGTTACACTTCAAAATGTAAATAAGGATAAAAATGATAAAGTAAATAATCGACGAAATCGTAAATTCTTTCAAATTTTGCTCAAATTTTAGCAACGATTCCTCAACTAACAATAAAATAGACATGGGTACTGCAAAAATTGCAAAAAAGCTACAAAAATGACGAACTGTCACACTATAAACGCTTCTAACTTGCTTCAAATCTATCGCATTTATAAGAGCTAGAGCTTAAAAAATAGAGAATTTCAAGAGCTTTTGAATGAACTAAAGCACGTTTAAAAATATTGATTTTAAACAAAGTTACAAAGCCGGTTACACTACAAACTACAAACGTAAACTATAAACGCTTCTAACTTTCTTCAAATCTGTCGCATTTATATGAGTTAGAGCTTAAAAAATAGAGAATTTCAAGAGCTTTTGAATGAACTAAAGCATTCTTCAAAATATTGATTCTAAAGGAAATTACCGTGGTTTAAAGGGAAGCAGACCGTACTCACTCGTAGTTTGGCTACAAACCACTGTACTTTCCTTTAGAATCAATATTTTTAAGAATGCTTTAGTTTATTCAATTCTCTATTTTTTAAGCTCTAGCTCTTATAAATGCGATAGATTTGAAGAAAGTTAGAAGCGTTTATAGTTCACGTTTGTAGTTTGTAGTGTAACCGGCCTTGTAACTTTGTTTAAAATCAATATTTTTAAACATGCTTTAGTTCATTCAAAAGCTCTTGAAATTCTCTATTTTTTAAGCTCTAGCTCATATAAATGCGATAGATTTGAAGAAAGTTAGAAGCGTTTATAGTTTACGTTTGTAGTTTGTAGTGTTTGTAGTGTTTGTAATTTGTTTGTAGTTTGTAGTTCGATATTTTAAAAGTCTAATAATCTATAAATATCTAGATATCTAATAGTTTGTTATAATGTTTTTATCGAACCTGATCCCTTTCTGAGAAGACGTCTTGTAGTGAGCGAAGTACAGTGTCTCTCGAGTTGCCCACATCGATCGTAATGCGCGCGGCGAGGCTCTCACTCCGGGCCGACACCGCCGACGGGATTGGCTGTAAAATTTTCATTTTCTTCTTCTCAATCTTTCAAAACCAAATTACCATTTCTTTTCCAATATCCTTTCGCTTCGATTTCCCTTTCATCGCCAAGCCATCCGAGAGTTTTGGGCGATCGGAGAGGCTGAAATTCAAAGTCAAAAAGTTCAAGTCAAAAAGGATTACGGTAGCTCAAGCAATCCTTCTCTAAATCTTACTCAAACTATCGTAGCTATTAATTTCGCTCAAGCTCAAGCTAATTAAAAATATTAATTTTTAAAGTACAGTCAATAAAAGTTACTCTTCTAAATCGTTGCTGGCCAGGGAGAGCTCGGATTCGGTGAGCGTTGGAGATATGGCTTCGAGTTTCGTGTTTGGACTCTAAACAACTTCTTTAATTAGCATTTAAGTCCATTTAAGTTTCCGATCTAGCCTAGCTAATAGCTTTAAACTACCGTATAACCAAGCAGAAATTGATTAATCGTCTTGATGGTGGTGGGCGATGGAGAACGTGTGGATTGATCAATTTCCTGAAATCACCTTGGCTTTCTATTCAACATTCTTCAAGTGTACTTTATGCTGAACGATCTATAAGTACAATTATCTAAAGTACAATTATCTATAAGTACGAAATCTATAAGTACGAAATCTATAAGTACAATCATCTAAAGTACAATTATCTATAAGTACAATTATCTATAAGTACAAAATCTATAAGTACAATCATCTATAAGTACAAAATCTATAAGTACAATCATCTAAAGTACAATCATCTAAAGTACAATTATCTATAAGTACAATTATCTAAAGTACAATTATCTAAAGTACAATTATCTAAAGTACAATTATCTAAAGTACAATCATCTATAAGTAAGTCATCTATAAGTACAATTATCTATAAGTACACTTATCTATAAGCTCACAAACCCCGGTCTCGTGAGTGTCGGATGTCTCGAAATGCGTTGGGGACATTGAAAGGACGCTTGTTGAGGGCTAAAATCGGATGAATCTAGATAAAACATAATCAAATATCAATCAATATCTAGATAAAACATAATCCCCCATCCCTAGAGTACACTTTATTCTAAATCTATCAAAGAAAAGTTCCTATCCCTCACCAAATCCTCATCAGCTTCAAGCTCTTGATCAGAGATCGGCTCTAAACGCTCTTCGATTGGGGGAGGAGGGCTAAAAAAGTTGATTAATGAGAATTTTCAAAGATTCGAGATTTTATTATCTATATTATCCTCTTATCTAGAGATAGATTATTGTATTCTTTTAACAAATTTTTTCTACGCAAACCTTCTCTCACGAAGACACGGACTCATAAGTGTCACATCGGTTCCACCCGGACTTCGCTCGCGATTCGTATTCACCACCAAACGAGAGCCACTCTTTTTCTTATTACCTAAACATAATATTCAAGTTATCAATGATCAATTAGCTATCATATTCAGCGAATTACCGTTTATAACTATTCTATTCACCCTTTGCCTTGTGTAATTTGCCGACAGCGCTCCTCTGCTCGACTTCTTCCCTTCGTTTCGCTTCTTGATTTAAACGACGATTGTTCTCTTCCTGAATTTTCGATAAATTTATCAAAATAGTTCTTAAGAAGTCTATACTTCTTCAATGGCTTGAATTCGTCGCTCACTGTCCGGCTCGATGGTTGAGATTTGAAGGCAAATGCTTTCCATCGGAGCTGGATCAGGTGGATGGCATCGTCTAAAAACTCTCGTTATCATAATGCCAAGCTTTCGGTCTTTAGGGTAACGAAGGGGGTACTGTACAAATCCTAATCGATAGACAAGTATCTAATGTTACTTTGAAAATCTGACACTTCAAAATATACTTTGGATCAATGGTAGCTGACATGCTCTCTAAACATTTCGCAAATGGCGCCAACTGACGAACGCCGGTCAACAATTGACGAGCAGTTTCCCGTAAACGCATGCAGAACTCAACCTGAAGTTTAGTAATGAGCCTAAGTCTAAGCCTAAGCCTAAAGCCTAAGCCTAAAGCCTAAAGCCTAAGCCTAAAGCCTAAGCATCCAAAACTGACCTTTTCCCTGTACATGATCTGTTGTCGTCGTACTCGATCGAGTGCCTCTTGCCAAAGCTCTTGCAGATCTGGTTGAAGTTCGGCGATCAGCGCCGAGTGCATCCCCAAACGGGAATCAACGTTGGCACAACTGGAAAAACAAAAAGTGCCTTTAAATCTTCTTTAAATCCTAGAGCTTTTTCTTTACTAATTCACTTCTCAATGAGCTTATCGATGAACTCTGTCTTCAGCAGCACTTTTCGTCGAGTCAAATCCCGTTGAGCCTCTTGAACTTGTCGAGAGACATCACTCAAGTCATTTGCCATGTCCTAAACGATCTTTTTCAGCTAACTACTTGGTTTAGCTTAATTACCCAATAGCTTTTTCAAATGTTACCTTCATCGGTAGATCGATTCGCGCAAAGCGTTCCCCAAAAGCGCCAGCCAAGTCGACCATGATCTGATATTTCGTGAGCACTCCCTGAAAGCCATGAGACGGTGCGGATCTAGATTTTTATGGTTTAAAAAAAAGATCAAAGAACAATTTCAAGACTATTTTTCAAGCAATACCTCAATTGTATTTAAAGCTGTGCTCAATTGTAAAGCTCATACAATTCAGGCAATAAGGTCAATCATTCAATATCATTACCGATTATTTCCTTTATAGCTGGCACTTCCCGATCCCTCTCGAGTCTCTCTACTCGGTAGCCATGCAGCCGACATTCCAATGTGCGGTTCCAAAGCCTAAACTTTGCTTCAGGAAACTGTAAAGATAGTCTATTAGTCTATTAACAAGTTCAATTCATAAGAAATGCTTACAAGGAAAAGGCAAGCGTAGGATGTAGTTAAATAAGATAAGCGATAAACCATTCGAGGCAAAATTTCAAGCTGTTTCCGAATCGGCTTTCCGTTTTTGCAAAATAACTTTCTATAAAAAGCTATACGTGTTTAGAGTTTTAGGGGGGAAAATGCGAAAATTTCCAGCTGAATGCCTTTATATGAGTTCTCTTGTGGGTCTCAAATGTGACTAGATGGTATAGTGGATAAAACGCTTGCATTCAAAACGAGCGCTGCCTTTTTTTTGCTCGAGTTCGCTTCCTTTTTGAGGCAAAACTTTTGTTTCACGTTTTGAATTTTTTTTTTGACACCCTGAATTTTATCTGATCTTAAAGCTATTTGAAATTTTTATACATTTATACAAATATGGCTTATCACATTTGATCACATCCTACTGTTGCCTTTCCCTTGTTAGCTCAAGTTCGACCTAGTACTTTTAAGACATTCACAATGGCAGGATTTAATACATTCACAATGTTTTTGGGCGTACACTCGCGTAGTTGTTAACTGTTTCATTGATTTGTGATAATTTTGTGTAAATTCAAAGATAAACTAAACTATTCTAGTCGTTCGATAGCCCTGAATCTCCTCTTTGAAAAATCCAGTCAAGCTCTATTTGGCATCATATGGAAGCCTGAAATGCCCTCTGTACAATGACAATGAAGTTATAAGCCTTGAAAGTGTTACGACCCCTTCAAAATACCTGGGAACTACGCAAGAGTTGAAATTGACAGAGGATTCGTGAAATTCGGGAAATTGATCAAATCTCTTTAAATTTGGTTCCTTTTCTGTACAAATTTGGTTCCTTTTCTCTCTAAATCTGGTTCCTTTTCTCTCTAAATATGGTTTCTTTTGTCTATTGAAAACTAGTACAACAAGTTACCAAGAACTTTCTACGAAATAAATAACAAAAGTTCTTAAAAACGAGTTGACGCCAAAAGTAATCATCCCTACGAGTGGATCGTATGACCGTGAATGTGTTAAGAGTCATTGCTCACCTTCGACAGATCAGCTCTCGCCGTGTCGAGATCTTTCCATTGAATGAGCGGCGGTCGGCCGATCGATCGACTCAAAACCGACTGAAAAAAGCGAAAAAAAAGGTACTCATCGTCAATTTGCCTTCACAAACCTGTATCCGCTTTACTAGATCCGCATAAAATTGGAGAAAATCGATTTTCGACGCCGACGAGCAAAGGATTTGAGCGCTGAGCAGGTAGAGACGGATCGGTGCCTATGAATTTCGCTTTGCCCAAAGAGAAAAACAAAGAATCGAGTGCACCAGGAAAGGTGTGCTTACAATTTTGAGTCGACTAGAAAAGTCTCACAAAATCTACCATCACATTGCTCAATTCGGCCATCTGTGCGCCGCATTCGGTCTCCAAATCTTTCCTCGTCAATCCCATCTCGTCAACGGTTCGATCACGCACAAAAGTCACCGTATCAATGATGTCTTGGCAAAGTTGAGTGATTCTACAAAAAAAAAAAAAACAAAGAACACTTTTACTCTTCTTGTTTAAAAACGCACGCTAAATGATCTTTATGCGATCGTTCGTCAATCTCGGTCAGCATTCTCTTTCGCACGTCGACCTCCTCTTTCTTTTCGACCTTTAAAAAAAAAAATAGTTTAGTTCTGGATTTTTTTTGCCATTATTGTATCAATATACAATGAAATATGATATTTGAAAAAAGATCGTCACTTTCGCGCGTCTGTAACTCCCTTGTCTTTACCGTATTTCTAAATATTAATATTACCATTGTGTAGCCGTTGAAAAGAGCTTTCAGAAATGGTATAACACTAATAGTTTAAACTCAAAGACAAGGGAGTTACAGACGTGCGAAAGTGACGATCGTTTTTCAAATATGATATTTCATTGTCCAGTACTGTACCTATTTTCAATAAAAAAAAAAGATCCCATTTCTAACCTGATAAAGTCTCAACTTGTTCGCCCATTTCTCCAACTTTTCGACATTTGCCGAATGAGCCGTGTCGATTGAAACGAAACTGTGCCTGAAAAAAAAACTTTTTCACTTCTGAAATTTGCATTTAACATACAATTGCTATGTTATTGCTATGCATTTAACATACAAAAATATGGCATAAATTTGCATTTATGTCATAGTTTTGTGTTTTTATTAGGATTTATTCTCGTAATGAATGCGTTTTCTAAAAAATCGAAAGATACGTAGGCCTTCTCGTGAATTTTTTCGCTTTATTTACCGTAAAAACTCTAATAGAACCCCTTGTAGGAGGGTCGTGTAGTCTAAGTTTACTCTGAAACAAACGCTTATATCTCGACACCAGTACGTTTGTTTCTACGCGCTAAGGGATCAAATTAAAGGAGAGAGGATGGGTGATTTTTTGAGATATAGCACAGATTTTTAGCATTAACCAGCGCTTAGAAAAAAAATGATTGAAAATCGACGAAAACTCGTGTAAATTTTTTTTGTTTTTTTATGATATTTATATTATTATTATTGTTGTTGAACACTTAAATAGAAAGATTTGAACAAAATCTTTGAATATTTATCAATTACGAAGAGAAGGGGGATTACGGAACACTATAAAACAGCTATTCAAAAAAAGAAAAACTTAAAGGGAGTCGAGTGCCCGATCAACATCTTCGCATTGGTTTCCAATATGGTTCCAATATGTTCCTTCCAGGAATATGGTTCCAATATGGTTCCAATATGGTTCCAATATAGTCCCAATATGATTCGTGTCTCCGACACGTTACTCGCCACACTACGCCGCCAATTCTTCGTCACGCATGCGGAAGCGTTATAAGAGAGTCCGAAAAGCTTGTTGCTCAAATTTCTTGCGATTCCGATCTATTTAGCAAAAACGGACAGCAGATTCGGAATCAGCGTAAAATTCTTTATCGGATTGTCTAGGTCCCATTTCGATTGGCCATCTTGATTTCATGACCATCCCTTGTTAGACTACGCGACGCTCCTATCCGGCCGTTCTATTCTCCTAGTAGCTCCTAGTAGCTCCTAGTAGCTCCTAGTAGCTCCTAGTGGCCGTTCTATTCAAGTATTTACGATAATTCTGATCTCATTCGATAATTTCCAAATTATCCACCTTTTAGAAAGAGCACTCACCTTGACTCCAGCGGTCTCCCATTGAAGCATTGTATGCAAACGAGCCGCTTCTCATCGACACAGAACAAAATGTACGGTTCTCCATGTTGGGCACAGCTTACTCGACCTCTTAAACGACAAGTTATATCAAAATTTCAATATCAAAACCCACTTCACCCTTGCGCGTTCTTCCAACGAAATCAAGCGATGGGTGGAGAACATTTTAGCCTGAAAATGTCCTTAAAAGTACAGAATTCCAGTTTTTCCAGTTTCCAGTTTTCAATTTCCAGATCAAATTACAACAAATGATTGGCTTATCAATAGAAAATCGTTTTCTAACAAACCTGATGAGTGTTCTGGCGACAATCCACACAAAGCGCTTGTTGACACGTCTCGCAAAAGAACATCGGTTGAGCGATCTAGAGAAAAGTTGAATTAATTCGAATTTTAGGTTGATGAAATCCGTTACTGTAACCCCCAGAAAGAGCTACCATTGCCTCGATTCAGCTTCCCGCAATCACGATAACCTCAGTGACTAGAAAGAGCTACCGTAATCCCTCTTTAAAGTTATTTTCTGCTCAAATCATCGCCCTCTTACCTGATCACAGTTCGCACATATCTCGGCCGGTTCGTGCGCTGTGTCGACAAGGTATTTTGCTAACAAATCAGTGGGTGGAGCTTCACCTAGCGGTGCCGAGCATTCCGGACAGCATAATGCTGCTGTATCGGTCTCATTTCCACTCTCATCCTTATCGCTTCTTTGCAAGCAACCGTTGCAAAAGACGTGAAGACACGGTAAGTGCACCGGGTTGTTGAATTCCTAAAAAGTTTAAGGATTTTAAGCAGAGCAGATTTTTCGATCAAGTTATTCTCAATTTTAGCCGGAAGTCATCTTTTCAAAAGACAAACCTTTGAACACACCCCACACTCTAATGGATTCAACCGTTTGATCGACTCATCATCCATTCTAATTTCAGAATACTACGATAATCTGTGTTGCATGAGCTAAAGTTTCATTTGAATCGAGTGTCTTTTAAGCATAAAATGTTATCAGCAAGCGTAGCCAAGCGTTTCTTTGTATTTTTCCAACTCGTTATCAACTAAAAAAAATAATTTATTCTCTTTGACTTACCAAAAACAATTCTCAGGCAACAATGGAAATACCAGAGCAAAAAAAAGAAGAAACAGAGGTGGTGGGGAACACAAAAAAAAGAAGACAAATAAAATCACATAACCGTAGAAGAGAATTATATTAGAGAAAGGGTGGAAATATCCTAGATTCATATTGGGAAAAGAGGGGACGATTGCCAAGGAAAAATATCGAACACAGCTAAATTGAATACCGGCACCCAAAAATATCAAACCACTCATCAAATAAATAGCTCATCATAACTACTAAAGTGCAGAAAAAAAACGGGGAGAGCTGGCAAAAGGTGGATCGATCACAAACGGCGGGAAACTTTTGGCAGGCTCACTTTGACAAAGAAAACAGATTTGCTGTATCCAGAAAAGGAAGAGCAATGGGAAGTATTTTACAAAAAATTCTACAACAAGGCTTATCAATAGTAAAAGAACCTCGTACCATAGAAAGTGAATATGTAAATTCTTGTGGAGATCCATTTGTTTACTCGATGAGTTTCTTGGCTTTGAAGTAGTTGCGAAGGAAGAGAACCTAAAGCCGGATTTTAGATTTTTGGATCTTGGAAAGGTTTTTTGTATGCTATATTTAAAATTGAAGGCCAAATCAACAAGGATTGATGTGACGCTCAACAAGGATCAACAAGGATTGATGTGACGCTCATTATAATTGTCCAGACATGATACTTGATTCCTCTAGTTTAATAATTAAACAAAAAAGTCTACCTGCCACATAGCAAGACCCAGCAAACAGAGCATCGAGAAGATGGAGAGATAGAGCACTCGAGAGTTTGTTGATTCTAAGATACACAAATTCAACTCTAGAATAAATCCTCACTAATTTAAATCCTCAAATGGCTTATCTTTATCGTAATGTTCTTTTTCCGTAAAACCATTTACCATTTGTGTTTCGCATCTCTTCCTCGCGTTGGCGCATGAAAGCAAAATCTTTCACAATGGCATCAGAAAGATCCTCCAATCGTCGAAGCTCAACCTAAATCAGGAAATTGAGAACCTAAACAGAGCTAAACAAATTGCGAAATTGAGAACTGAGAACAAATTGAGAAGTTTTAAAAACCTTTTCAAAGTGTATATTCAAAAAGTTTTACCTCAAGTGGCTTTAATTTCTCAGCTTTAGCTAGTTCCTCGTAATTTTTCGCCTCCACTCCGTGCTTCATGATCAACGAAACCTCTCGTTTCTCTCCAACTTGATCTAAATTTTAAACAATAAAAAGAGCTTTCAAGACTCAATGCTTATCCTGTAAATGTTAAGGCTTTGATTGTTTAATTGTTAAAACCTTTTCATGGGAGCTGGTCAAAACAGCGCCACGGCAAAAATAGCCCCTCCGCGGTTAAGTTTCTATGTGTTTCTTATTCTTATCAGATGCCGAATAAAATTATCTACATTTTGCCTACTTTGGCATCACTTAAAACAGAATTGGTGTCGAGAAAAGCTCAGTTAACCATTTTTTGAGCCCTTTTTCGTTTTTTGGTATTTTCTCATCGCAGATTTGTTTTAAACGGCTTCAAAATACAGATAGCTAATTTTTTTCTTCATCCAATGAGAATAAGAAACACAAATAAACTTAACCTTAACCGCAAACACATTATTTTGTCTGGCGCTGTTTGTACAAGGTGCTGTTTTGACTAGTTTTCCTTTTTATTACTCACTTTGTGGTGCATGATTGCTGACGCAAATTTCAAAAATGTCGTATTCTTCAGTGGTGAACGCGAATTTTCCTTTAACATCCTAAAAAAGCTGAGATAATGTTTGCAAAGGTAAAACTAACATGAAAGTTTTCTCGTTTGTACAAAGTGTGTCCACGAGTGTCGGTCACCTAAACATTTTGCATGATAAACAAAGAAACAAAGAAACAAACGATAAACCTAAACATTTTGTAAGTAAAAAAAACCTTTGGAAAGCTCAAATTGCTCTAATGCTTGGTACTATTTTATTCACCAATTTTTGAGATTCTTCAACAAAAAGTTTAATATTTTAGATGCTAGATTCGCATCTCGATTTGATTTGAAGCCAACAAATGCTACAATCAGCCTAACAAAAAGTTTAATATTTTAGATGCTAGATTAGCATCTCGATTTGATAAACAAACACTATAATGAGCCTAACTAGCAAAACAAACAAACTCACATGAATACTTTGCGAATATCCAACACCTTCCGTCACTTCATACTCGCCGGTGACGACAATGTTCTTGTGAATCTCCTCTTTGAGACATTGTTTCCCGTTTGGTGGCACATTGAAGCGAATCGCGTACGCACACTAAACAAAAAAAAGAATAAACACCAATTTTATAAGCAATTATTTAACAATTATAGCATTACTAATAAAGTTCGTGAAGCACTTTGATCTGCTTTTGATTTGATTTCGTCAGGTCGTACTTTTCGAGCGTTTTACCAATGTTATTTCATCGTTTCTGGGGTAATTAAACCTGCTGGATCTATTGGTGATATTTTTAGAAAGTTTTGAACAATCTTTGTTAATGTTTTGTTGAGTTAGCTGCAGTATAACTGCCGCAACGCTATAAAATGAGGCCAGGGGTGAAATACAAAGTGAAAGCTATTCAAAAAACTAAAAATATCACCAATAGATTAAGCTATTGAGCGTATTTACCCCAGAAAATGCAAAAGCAGACTAGAAAAACACGCGTAAAATAGGTTCAAACAGGTCAAAGTGCTCTCCGAACTTTATTAGTACTATTATAGCCTTTTTAAAGTCTTTTTAAAGCCTTTTTAAAGCTTTTTTATAGCCTTTTTAAAGCTTTTTTATAGCCTTTTTAAAGCTTTTTTAAAGACGATCCAAAAATTGAAGAACTTCCGTATTAAGCAACGCTATATTTCAAAAGAAAGAAAGGAAACGAACCTGGAGGACAACGGCGGCGACAAGAATTATCCGCATGATGGCTAGATCACCTGTAAAGAAAAATATTGATTTTGTATGAAACGAAAACAAGAACACGAATCGAAAGCAATTGAAAGCAATTGAAAGCAATCGAAAACAAGAGAAAGCAATCAAAATCAATCAAAAACAATCAAAAACAAGCCACAAAACGAGAAAATCAATTTAACAATCAAGATCTAAGGCTTTTAAGCTACTTAATCTTTAATTTAAGCTACTCAAAAGTTAAGAACTTTGTAAAACAAAAAGACGAGAAACGGTTTAACGGTAAATCTTCTGAAATTTGACTCGTTTTATGCCAAGTTATAAATCTACAATTGATTAATAAAGCTTTCAATCTTACAAGTTACTAATTTAAGCTAAAAAAGTGATGTTGTACACAAAAGCTTTAAAGAGCAACGTGTAGAAGGGACCGCGACGCAGCACGCAGAGTTCTAGAACTACGGTCTAACAAATCGCCATGTTGTTGGAAATGCTAAAAATGGGAAACCAAACGGAAACCTGTTTGTTGAAAGCTTTGAAAGCTTTATTAGCTTTATTAGAAGCTTTATTAGCTTTATTAGCTTTATTAGAAGCTTTATTAGAAGCTTTATTAGAAGCTTTCTTAGAAACTTTCTTCGAACATCTAAATCTAAATCTAAACCTAAAGCTAAACCTAAACCTAAATCTAAATCTAAATCTAAACCTAGACCTAAATCTAAACCTAAACCTAAATCTAAATCTAAACCTAAATCTAAATCTAAACCTAGACCTAAATCTAAACCTAAACCTAAATCTAAATCTAAACCTAAATCTAAACCTAAATCTAAACTTAAACCCAAACCTAAATCTAAATTTTTTCAAGTTACTCAAAAAAATTGCTTATTTTGACATAATTCTTTGAAATTTCTTTGAAATATTCTTTAAATTCAACAAATTTAAAAATTCAACCGTTTTAGCGTCTAATTTTCAACAAAACCTTTAATTTTCAACCGCTCAACAACCAAATCATTTCTTTTCAATCATTTTCATTTTATTTTGATGTTTATTTTATTTTAACCGCTCAACAAAGGTAGTTGAAGGGGGCCAATCTGTAAACTCGTCTTGACATGTTGAAATTACATAAATTACAATTACACTAGGGGTTTTTGATGATGCTGAATCTTTTGATGATCCTGATTGATGATATTTTCGAATTATAGTGTCAATGGTCATGAAATGTCAGTATTCTTTCCCTTTTCAATCCAATTTAATAGTAAAGCCTTAGGCTCCCTTGAAAGTCCCTTCAAAGATAAGAAAGCCGCGTGTGTTCCTCAGTAATGCGTTTTCTAAAGGTCACCTATTTAAGAAAACTACCGTAGTCAAATCGTTAGTTATGCTAGTTCGTTTACATGCAATTGACCTATTGTTTTCATTTTTAATTGACCTATTCAATTGACCTAGTGTCATTCGGTGAGGAATTATGAGGCTCATTGATTGATACCAAAGGCGGGCTGATCGAATGATCGAACGGTTTGGCTACGGTAGTTTTCTCAAATAGGTTCCTTTTAGAAAACGCATTGGGACACATTCTAGAAGATTCTAGGGAACACACTCTAGAAAGCCCTATAGGGCTTTAGGGCCCTATCTTTTCTCTATAAACTTTGAAAAGTCAATGGAATAATGAAATGAAGAAATGAAGAAATGGAAGTGTTTTGTACTTTTGTTTTGTACTTTTGTTTTGTACTTTTGTTTTGTAATTTTCTTTTGTATGGAAACTTAAATTTCTTTAGCTTTCTTTAGCTTTCTTTAGATTTCTTTAGATTTCTTTAGCTTTCTTTAGCTTTCTTTAGCTTAGATGTCTTTAGATTCCCTTATCCAAATGGATCCACCAGTCGAGTTCAACATCGGAACACCCAATCACTTACCACAACAACAAGTAAAAGGCTTGAAAATTCTAAAATTCCCTCATTTTCAGTCTCCTGGACAAACGGCAATCGATTTCAGTCAAGTCACCGGCATCGATACTTTAGGTTTTCTGCAAAAAACCTTAACAAATTATGCATTTTTACAGGTTTCTATGACTCTAGCGCTTACATGGTCGCAAGTCACTCAGAGGAACAGAACCAACGTGAGAAATCGAGCCAAAAATTCTCACAAATCACGAATTTAGACTATGATTACTCTGGAAATCTCTCGACGACTCCGTCAACCTCAAAAAGCTACACAAAAGTTGGAGCAGGTAGTTGAAAGGAAATTCTTTTTGTTGAAAGGCTATCGGAATCGATCAATGGAAGCTTTTGTGCTTCAAATGGAAACTTTCATTCGATGCAGAATTTGATTGCGCATCGAATGATACCAAAATCAACTCAAAATGTAAAATCCACGCAAAGTTATTAGCTAAAAACCTAGGCTTAACCTTTTGCTTCATAACTTTGCATGGATATTACATTTTGAGTTCATTTTTGTATCATTCGATGCGCAATTTGATCCTGCATCGAATGATACGCTAAAAACTGGCTAAAACTAAGCTCCGATCATTGTGGGCGGGACTTAACCTTTTACCGTTGGCAATTTAAGCTTTTTTTGTGTTTTCTCAGCATAAACCCTTCGATTTTGACTATCATTCGATGGAGAATCAAATTGCGCATCGAATGATATCAAAATGAACTCAAAATGTAATATCCATGCAAAGTTATGAAGCAAAAGGTTAAGCCTAGGTTTTTAGCTAATAACTTTGCATAGATATTATATTTTGAGTTGATTTTGATATCATTCGATGCGCAATCAAATTCTGCATCGAATCATAGTCAATATAGTCAAAATTAAATGGCTTGTGATGAGAAAACCCTCAAATTATCACCGGCAAAAGGCTAGGCTACGTTTTTAGTTAATAACTTTGCAGAGATATTATATTTTAAGTTGATTTTGGTATCGTTCAATGCGCAATCGAATTCTGCATCGAATGATTATTAAAACAGTCAAAATAGAAGAGTTGGTATTGAGAAAAAGACGAAAAACCTTAAACTACCAACGACAAAACAAGAATAGACGAATATTTTCGTTACAAATCTTGTACAAAGTATAAAGAGCTTATTTTGAGCTCTTTATGAGCTCTCAAAGAGCTTAATGATCTCTCAAATAGCTTAGTGAGCTCTCAAAGAGCTCATTTTTTCGCTAAACTTTACAATTTCCAGGGCCAGCCTCAAAATTTTTGGATAGTCGTGGTTTCGGGTGGTTACTCGAGGTGGACGAAGAGGACGAGAACCAAAAGCCACTTTTGTAAGTGCTCAAAAAGCAGAAGTCTTTGATTCTAAGATGAAAGATTTAAAGTAACCAAATAGGAACTATAAAAAAACTAATAAACTAAACTAAATAGGAACTGAATAGGGACGATAAAGTAACTAAATAGCACCTAAATAGGAAATTAAATTTTTGAGCCACCTAAAAATGTAAAGATTAAATCTCTAAAAGCTATTCAGCTAAACCCCGAAACTTTCACATTCTAGAGAAGAGCTCGACGTTGATCTCACCGATATCTACTACAAAATTCGCTGTGTCCTGCTGCCATTACCGTATTTTCGGTAAAAACTCTTTCTTAACCATAAAAGATACTCAGTTAACAGCAGTTTTCAGCTGACAGTTCTCAGCTGACAGTTCTCAGCTGACAGTTCTCAGCTGACAGTTCTCAGCTGACAGTTCTCAGCTGACAGTTCTCAGCTGACAGTTCTCAGCTGACAGTTCTCAGCTGACAGTTCTCAGCTGACAGTTCTCAGCTGATAGTTCTCAGCTGACAGTTTTCGGCTGACTGTTTTCGGCTGACTGTTTTCAGCTGACAGTTCTCAGCTGCCAGTTTTTAGCTACCAGTTCTCAGCTGACAGTTCTCAGCTGCCAGTTCTCAGCTAACACAGCTGAAAACTTCTGAGGGTGAAGGTCTCACGTAAATTTATAATCCTTGTTATCGTGCCAATCGATAAGGCTCAGGCTTAGTCTCAGGCTCAGGCTTAACCTCAGGCTCAGACTTAGTCTCAGGCTTAGGCCCAGGCTTAGGCTTAGGCTGTGCTTGTAAGTGTTCTAAAAGCTTTTCAAAATTGTCTTCGTAGAATCTTTTCGGCTAACGTCACTTTTCCTACTGAACAGTTGGCGAACAGTTAGCGAACAAAGCGAAGCGAAGCGAGTTTTCCTACGTACTCGGCGATCCATTTATTTAATTTATTCAAGTTGTTTTAGACCGATTCCTATAGTTAGCTCATTCCAAAGCTCATCAATATTAGAATCTCCATGGAGAACGGCGCGAAAAGAAAAGAAAAACTCTAGAAGAACTCTAGAAAAACTCTTACCCATGACCCAGATCAAAGATCTGTGGATGGGACCTAGCCGAAAAGTGCCTAAAGTCCTAAAAGTGCCATTGAGTTCATTTTTCCATAGCTTATCTGAGAAATTCATTGTATTGTATTGTATTGTAGAATGTAGACTACAATAAATTGTAGACAATGTTGCGCCAAATGTTATTTGGACAGACGAACGTCTCTTCTCTTTTATATAGTAGAAAACGAATGAAATTGACTTTCCAACAGTTAAAATCGATTTTGAAAAGAAAAGCAATCCAGCCTATTTGGTTTCCACCGTTGACACCATCCCGAAATGCCTGCGCATGCCTAAACCTGAGCCTGAGCCTGAGCCTGAGCCTAAGCCTAAGCCTAAGCCGAAACGCCTTCGAGCCTACAATTATGGCGCTACTTATCGTTAGAAATTCAAAGCAAATTCAGATTAAAACTGAGCATCGTTCGCGAATCTCCCGATTTTTGGGGCCCGCTCCTTGTCGTCATCGCCTACTCAGTTCTCTCTATTTATGGGCAATTGAGTGTCAGTTTGTTGAATTGAATGGAAATGAATCTTAAATGGAAATGAATCTTATATGCTAATCAATCTTATATGCAAATTAGATATCACAAAATAGATATTCAGGTAGTTTCATGGATTCTAACGATATGGTTTTGCGGTGCGTTTCTCGTCTTTTTCTTGGCGAGAGCTCTCGGTGGAGAAGTTGGCTACAGTCAGGTGAGACAACAAGACGTACGACAGTAAGTCTACAGCAAGACTACAGTAAGACTACAGTAAGATTACCAGAGGCTACAGCACTACAGTAACCCTGCTACATCTACTACTGTAAGACTAGCAGAGGCTACAGTAAGACTCCTCGAACCTACAGTACTACAGTAAGACTACCAGGGGCTACAGTAAGACTACTAGAGGCTACAGTAAGACTACCAGAGGCTACAGTAAGACTGCCAGGGGCTACAGTACTACAGTAAGACTGCCAGGGGCTACAGTATGATTCCTAGAACCTACAGTACTACAGTAAGACTGCCAGAGGCTACAGTAAGACTGCCAGGGACTACAGTAAGATTCCTAGAACCTACAGTACTACAGTAAGACTACCAGAGGCTACAGTAAGACTCCCAGGGGCTACAGTATGATTCCTAGAACCTACAGTACTACAGTAAGACTGCCAGAGGCTACAGTAAGACTACTAGAGGCTACAGTAAGACTGCGAGGGGGCTACAGTAAGATTCCTAGAACCTACAGTACTACAGTAAGACTACCAGAGGCTACAGTTAGACTACCAGTGGCTACAGTAAGACTACAGTAAGCTTCCTAGAACCTACAGTACTACAGTAAGCCTGCTAGATCTACTACAGTAGCACTTTACTACATAAAAACTATACTAAACCATTGTACAATCAGACAACAGTATCCAGTGCCAGTTTAGGTCCTCGGAATCATTGGCTACTGTTTGATTCCACTCGTCGTCACCGGATTATTGATGTCTTTATTTAAAAGGTTTAAAATTTTAAAGAAATACAGCTTAAACTTGAGTACAAAGTACACCTAAGTACATTGAGGTAATAGACAAGCTTTTGTTACTACGGATGGCCTCTACTCGGCTCTCTGGATAGTTATAAAGTTGATAGATTGAATTGATTAGATGAGTACCGTTCTAGGAGATATACTTAAGAATTAACTCAAGAAAAACCAGAAGATACACCCGGTTTTCGCCCAGTTTTCATCAATCTAGTCTCTCTGAAGTGTGGCCACTATAATTGTGGGCTGGATGCTATTAGTTGCTTAAGAAAAACGGGCTTTCTTTGCTCTTTTTCACAATCAAACTCACAATCGATCACTTTTCAGTTTTCGATTCGTTTCTTTCCTTTTCGGCACATTTGGCATTGGTTGGTCTGTCTACAGTGCTGGTGCTCTGCTTTGTATCGAAGAGTTGACAGAGAAACGAACTCTTCTTTTATATCCCGTCTTTCTTCTCTACATCTATTTCTTTTCTTTATATCATGGTGTTTAGGATATTAGAAGCTGTTTTAACAGCTTTCAGTTCCTTTAAAAAGTACTGTAAACAGTTAAAAGTACTGTAATGCATCTAAAAGTACTGTAATGCATCTAAAAGTACTGTAAAGCATTAAAGTACTGTAAAGCATTAAAGTACTGTAAACCCTTAAAAGTATTGTAAACCATTAAAATTATTGTCACTGTAAGTACTGTAAGTGTTTATGAGATACTGTAGGTTCCTAAATGTACTGTAAGTCTTGGAAAGTACTCTAAATCTGTACTCTACGGTATTAAAAGTACTGTAAATCTGTACTGTATGGTATTAAAAGTACTGTAAATCTGTACTGTATGGTATTAAAAGTACTGTATTTCTGTACTGTACGGCATTAAAAGTACTGTATTTCTGTACTGTACGGCATTAAAAGTACTGTATTTCTGTACTGTGCAGTATTAAAAGTACTGTATTTCTGTACTGTACGGTGTTAAAAGTACTGTAAATCTGTACTGTAAATCTGTACTGTACAGTATCAAGAGTACTGTAAGTCTGTACTGTACGGTATTAAAAGTACTGTAAGTCTGTACAGTACGGTGTTAAAAGTACTGTAAGTCTGTACAGTACAGTATCAAAAGTACTGTAAACCTGTACTGTACGGTATTAAAAGTACTTTAAGCCTGTACTGTGCAGTATTGAAAGTACTGTATTTCTGTACTGTACAGTATTAAAAGTGCTGTAAGTCTGTACTGTACGGCATTAAAAGTACTGTAAATCTGTACTGTACGGTGTTAAAAGTACTGTATTTCTGCACTGTACGATATTAAAAGTACCGTAATTCTCTAAAGATTCGTTTTCTTTCCAATCTTTTCTGTTTTCTTTTCTCAAAGTGCCTTTCTTCAGCTAAATTTCTTCCGGATACGGTGTTTGGTAATTATTTTTTTATTATTTTATTATTTTTAATAATCCTTGGTACTAAATTATATAAAATTTCATGAAATTTTCAAAAATAAATATATTTATCAGTACGATTTTCATGAAAAAAAGACAAAAAAGACGAAAATTTTTTGGCATTACAGGATAAGGCGGAGAAATCGACGCGGGAAATTCGCATAGATATTGTTTTAAATACGTTTAAATAAACGAGAGTTTTGTTTTAAAGAAGTTTTGTCGACTTTGATTATCAGACTTTGATTTTTGATTATCATGCTTTATGTTAGTAGTAGAAATCGTGGAAATCCTTGAGTATACTCTTCGAAAGACAACACGCAAAGCAAACGCCCAGCACCTGAAAGAAAAATTTACAGTAGATTCTCAAACGTTATTTTACCTGAAAGTGCCCCAAGGAAGTGCCCCAAGGAAGTGCCTCAAGATAGTACCCAAAGAAGTATCTCATGGTGCCCAAGGTAGTGCCCAAGGTAGTGCCCAAGGAAGTGTACTAAGGAAGTGCCCAAGGTAGTGCCCAAGGAAGTGTACTAAGGAAGTGCCCAAGGAAGTGTACTAGGGAAGTGTCTTAAGGAAGTGCCCAAGGAATTGTACTAGGGAAGTGTCTTAAGGAAGTGCCCAAGGAAGTGTACTAGGGAAGTGTCTTAAGGAAGTGCCCAAGGAAGTGTACTAGGGGAGTGTCTTAAGGAAGTGCCCAAGGAAGTGTACTAAGGAAGTGTCTTAAGGAAGTGCCCAAGGAAGTGTACTAGGGGAGTGTCTTAAGGAAGTGCCACAAGCAAGTGCCCAAGGAAGTATCTCAAGGAAGTATCTCAAGGAATTGCCTCAAGGTAGTGCCCCAGGAATTGTCCTAAGGAAGTGCCCAAGGGAGTGTCCCAAGGAAGTGCCACAAGGAAGTATCTCAAGGTAGTGCCCAAGGAAGTACCCAAGGAAGTGCTCCAAGGAAGTGCCACAAGGAAGTGCCCCACGGAAGTATCTCAAGGAATTGCCTCAAGGTAGTGCCCAAGGAAGTGTCCTAAGGAAGTGTCCTAAGGAAGTGCTCAAGGAAGTGTTCAAGGCAGTGTCTCAAGGAATTGTCTCAAGGAAGTGCCACAAGGAAGTGTCCGAAGGAAATGTCACAAGGAAATGCCTCAAGGTAGTGCCCAAGGAAGTGCCCAAGGAAATGCCTGAAGGTAGTGCCCAAGGAAGTGCTCTGAGGAAGTGTCCCAAGGAAGTTATCTTTAGCTTTGATTGCACTCTTCACAAAGCATTGTTCTGAAAAAAAAGCGAAAAAGGAAAGGAATTCGTGTTAGATTGGTAATCGTGGAAATTTCCACCCCAAAAGCCGATAAATCAATACCGGCTATTGCTCAATCTGCCATTCTCATTTTCGGCTTAACTTTCAAAGGCACAGCTTACGGTAAAACTACCGTAAGCTTGCCATTGTCTTAACCAATTTCACTCACTTGTAACGTGACGACTACTGTTGACAAAATCCCGACTATCAATGTGTGTTGACTGAAGAAATCTGTAAAAAAAGAAATCAAAGCTTAAGCTGATCGTTTTTTAATTTAAACCCACTTTGTGCTTTAATCATACAGCCAGATGTGTGAATTGGAGCCTTTGATTTGATGCAACTGAAAAAGAAAGCATTTCAATATCCAGTAGCATTGGATTGGAAGCTTTGGAATTGGAATTGGAAGCTTTTAAAGCTTCCTTAAAGACTTAAAGACTTGAAGACTTGCTATTTCCTTAAAGCCCTTCTTTTACGAGAAAAATTCAGCGCAGTGCAGAATTCAGTGCAGTAGAAAGGGTGTGTTTTCACTTTTGAATCAAAAGTACCCTTAGTATCGAACCTTCCGTTCGATTTCTTACTTGGACACTTGCTGAACACAACAAGATTCGGGTAAATTCCCTAGGAAATCCGTCGAATTGTGCACACCGCAACATTGGAACTTCTGAATTGCATTTTTCAAGATTTTCACCACCAATTCACCTGTTGCATCTCGTCCCAAGCCCACGTCACACCTTCGCTTTTCCCATACCTTTTTAGACCTAGATTTTTTAATGAAAAGTTTTAAGGTCATACCCATGAGGTCCTGTGCTAATTTTAGTGCTATTTTCCTCATGCCCATGACCTAGGTCATACCAATAGCTTGAGGTATACCAATAGCTCGAGGTATGCCAATAGCTCGAGGTAGACGCACACCAATACCGTTCCAATATGGTTCCAATATGGTTCCAATATGGTTCCAATACCGTTCCAATACCGTTCCAATGTGGTTCCAATACCGTTCCAATACCGTTCCAATATAGTTCCAATATGGTTCCAATACCGTTCCAATACCGTTCCAATATGGTTCCAATATGGTTCCAATATGGTTCAGATACGGTTCCAATGTGGTTCCAATATCGTTCCAATACCGTTCCAATATGGTTCCAATATGGTTCCAATATGGTTCCAATACCGTTCCAATACCGTTCCAATATGGTTCCAATATGGTTCCAATATGGTTCAGATACGGTTCCAATGTGGTTCCAATACCGTTCCAATACCGTTCCAATATGGTTCCAATATGGTTCCAATATGGTTCCAATATGGTTCCAATACCGTTCCAATACCGTTCCAATATGGTTCCAATATGGTTCCAATATGGTTCCAATACCGTTCCAATACCGTTCCAATATGGTTCCAATATGGTTCCAATACCGTTCCAATACCGTTCCAATATGGTTCCAATATGGTTCAGATACGGTTCCAATGTGGTTCCAATACCGTTCCAATACCGTTCCAATATGGTTCCAATATGGTTCAGATACGGTTCCAATGTGGTTCCAATATCGTTCCAATACCGTTCCAATATGGTTCCAATATGGTTCCAATATGGTTCCAATACCGTTCCAATACCGTTCCAATATGGTTCCAATATGGTTCCAATACCGTTCCAATACCGTTCCAATATGGTTCCAATATGGTTCAGATACGGTTCCAATGTGGTTCCAATACCGTTCCAATACCGTTCCAATATGGTTCCAATATGGTTCAGATACGGTTCCAATGTGGTTCCAATATCGTTCCAATACCGTTCCAATATGGTTCCAATATGGTTCCAATATGGTTCCAATACCGTTCCAATACCGTTCCAATATGGTTCCAATATGGTTCCAATACCGTTCCAATACCGTTCCAATATGGTTCCAATATGGTTCAGATACGGTTCCAATGTGGTTCCAATACCGTTCCAATACCGTTCCAATATGGTTCCAATATGGTTCCAATATGGTTCCAATATGGTTCAGATACGGTTCCAATACCGTTCCAATGTGGTTCCAATATGGTTCCAATATACAATATGGTTCCAATATGTAGAAAAAACGAACCAAATTGTAGAGAAAAGCCCATACCTCGAGACTCAAGATTAGAGTGTGTTCCTCGCGAGTAATGCGTTTTTTAAAACGCACATTTGGGAAAAAATCCTCGTACTTTTAGCAAAAATTATTGCAAAAAAATGACGCAAAAATCATGAGCCCCGCATTATATACGACACTTTTTAAAGATACTCAGCCATTTAACTGATTTGGTGGGAAAATCCCGTCCAATGCTAAAAAATGATTTTTTTTTTTGAAAAACCTGCGCGAAAAATTGCTTTTATATTTTTTACGCGCAGGCGAACTTTTTAGAAAACGCATTACTCGAGCTATTACTCGAGCTATTACTCGAGCTATTACTCGAGCTATTACTCGAGCTATTACTCGAGCTATTACTCGAGCTATTACTCGAGCTATTACTCGAGCTATTACTCGACAATTACTCATGCAAATTTACTCGAGTAAAAGTAATAGCTCGAGTAATACTCATGCAAATTTACTCGAGCAATTACTTACTCGCGAGGAACACACTCCACTCAAGTTTGTCATTGCCATTACCATTTGTTTGTACGATACTTTCCGGTTAAAATCCTATTTAAATTAATTAAATCCTATCTAATTGCTTTATTCGATTTTAAACTTCTAAAACTAAACAATTCCTGCTTTTCTATACTATTAGCATTAATTTGAAAGAACAATTGGGGGAATTTAACCAGAAAGTATCGATTATTGAGCTATAGAGCTATAAAGCTATAATCTATTTACAAGGCGCTCCAAAATTATAGCAACTAGGATCTCAATTAAGACAGAATTCAATTAAGATGCCGTTGATTTACTTTCTTAAAGCTTTAACGAGCTTTAACGAGCTTTTTTCTGTCTTTTTCTTGTTATTTTCTTGTATTTGATATTATTACTTGAAAATTTTGCAAATTTTAGAAATGAGGAAGCAAGCTGTTCATCGCGATTCGATCATAGTCTTGGACAAAAGTGAAATATCGGCAACCGACCCGGCCAAACGGCCAAACAACGCTAAGCGACTGAAGATCAACAAGAACGTTGATTCAAATCAATGGAGGATTCAATTCAGAGAACGATTCAAAGGTTTAAAGTCTTGAGAACAAATGAGGATTGAAATGGAAGAGGAATTGGAAGAGGAGCAGCTAGAACTAAAGAACACGATCAAAAAAGATCGAGACAGGATCCGCAAAAGTGTTTTGTGCGCAAAATGACGAAAGGGATCAGCTTCACTTGATCTTCTTTGAAGAGTTATTGTTGAAGATCTTAAATTGAACGCCTACAAGCAGAATGAAGTTCATGTTGTCGGTGATTACACAAGCTAAATGATTAGCAAGCTCAAAGTCTCAAAGGTTCATCGCGATTCGATCATAGTCTTGGACAAAAGTGAAATATCGGCAACCGACATCGCTAGGCGACTGAAGATCAACAAGAACGTTGATTCAAATCAATGGCGGATTCAATTCAGAGAACGATTCAAAGATTTAAAGTCTTGAGAACAAATGAGGATTGAAATGGAAGAGGAATTGGAAGAGGAGCAGCTAGAACTGAAGGAAACGATCAAAAAAGATCGAGACAGTTTCCGCAAAAATGTTTCGTGCGCAAAATGACAAAGCTTCACTTGATCTTCTTTGAAGAATTATTGTTGAAGATCTCAAATTGAACGCCTACAAGCAGAATGAAGTTCACGTTGTCGGTGATTACACAAGATAAACGATTAGCAAGCTCAAAGGCCCTGCTGCAGCAGACAACCGGCCTCTTCATTTGTTCAGTGATGAAAAGATATTGTTGAAGAGTATCCTAACAAGTATCGCATCTCTTCAAAGATTAAGCCGAATTCTCGAATTCATCGTGTTTCTCATCCACAATCGATTATGGTTTTTGCAGCTGTGATAGAAAAATGTCGTGGACACTGGTGTTAAGATGATGTCAGGATGTCAGGACTGATGGGATCAATCCTCACTGATGTTAGGACGTTCAATCCTCACTGATGTATTGTTCAATCGATTTCTTTATATGGTTCTCAAAAACGATCAGCAAATGCTTAGTTTGGAGCATTGAGCGTTTCAGCAAGACCATTTAAGCAAGACGATTTCAGCAAGACGACTTCAGCAAGACGATCGCCTGTGCACAAAGCTTGCAAAGCTCAGGATTGATGCGAGAACAATCTTCCCGAATTTATCGTTTTTCAAGTGACCACCAAGCTCTTCTGATCTCTCCTGAGCATCTTAACTCCCTTGATTACTCTGTTTGGAGGATTTTGAAAGTAAAGCTTGCTCAAAAGCGCACAAAAACATCAATTCCTTGAAGAAATCATTGATGAAAGTCTGAGATGAGTTGGATACAGCCTACTTGATCGCCAATGCGTTTTCTAAACGATTCAAAGTCTGCATTAACGCTCTTGAAACGATCTATTGAAGCGATTTCTTGAAGCGATCTATTGAAGCGATTCCTTGAAGCGATCTATTGAAGCGATTCCTTGAAGCGATCTATTGAAGCGATTCCTTGAAGCGATTCCTTGAAACGATCTATTGAAGCGATCTATTGAAGCGATTCCTTGAAGCGATTCCTTGAAACGATCTATTGAAGCGATCTATTGAAGCGATCTATTGAAGCGATCTATTGAAGCGATCTATTGAAGCGATCTATTGAAGCGATTCCTTGAAGCGATCTATTGAAGCGATTCCTTGAAGCGATCTATTGAAGCGATTCCTTGAAGCGATTCCTTGAAACGATCTATTGAAGCGATCTATTGAAGCGATTCCTTGAAGCGATCTATTGAAGCGATTCCTTGAAGCGATTCCTTGAAACGATCTATTGAAGCGATCTATTGAAGCGATTCCTTGAAGCGATTCCTTGAAACGATCTATTGAAGCGATCTATTGAAGCGATCTATTGAAGCGATCTATTGAAGCGATCTATTGAAGCGATCTATTGAAGCGATCTATTGAAGCTATCTATTGAAGCTATCTATTGAAGCTATCTATTGAAGCGATCTATTGAAGCTCAAGCCTCCAAATTGATTGATTCTTTTGTTGAAAAAAGAATAGAAATTGTTTTCTCAGTGGTTTAATTATTTAAAAATTTGACTGATTCCAGAGTTGCTATAATTTTAGATCCTTGTCTTTTACATAATTCATTAATAACCAACCATCAGTGAGCTCTTTTCCAAAGCTTTTCTCAAGTGGATCAATAAGTGCATAACCAGCAATGATCGCCGCTGTTTCGACCATCTAAAAATAGGATTTTTGATATGAAAAGCTTTCATTCACAGATTGGTTGGCTTTTCGAAAAGTTGTGGTTTTAAAAGCTAGCTTTAAAAGCTAGTTTTATTAGGCTAGCTTTTTTAGGCTAGCTTTAAAACCTAGGTTTTTTATGCTAGCTTTAAAAGCTAGTTTTAAAAACCACAACCACAAAAGCTAGCCTATTAGCTTTTTAAAGCCTATTAGAAGCTCTAAAATTCCTTTTGCTGTTCAAATTTCTTTAAAAAAGATAGCAATATAGCTAATATTTACTAAATTTTGTGAATAGTTAGTGAATTTTCTCCAAATTTACCATCACAAGCGCTAAGAGGACAGCGAAAGAGACGGTGAGGCAATAGTTCTCACGGATCGCTCCACAGCAACTAAAAACGTTTTCGTTTAACTTTCAACAAAAGTTACAAAGAGTAGAAGGATTTGATAGCTATTCGATAGCTAGCTACTACAGTGCGTTTCAAATTCTTAAACGCACCCTCTAAAATAGCGGATTTTGCATTTTGACCACCACTACAACTATTAATCTTTTTCTATTAGAAAGAGCATGTCTTAAAACCTAAATAACACGAAAAAGAACCATACTGTAAAAAGTAAAAATTTTCAAAATAGAAACTTTTTGCTAAATCAAGCGTTTCAAATTCTTAAACGCACTCGCCTTTGCTGTTGTTATTTGAAATTTTTCGTTTTGTTGTGCATATTTTTTTATTAAATTTATAATTTTTGTTAATTTCCAGGTAAATGGCACACGGAAAGCTGCTCACGGGTTATGATAAAGGCCAGATTGATGCCCGTTTGATGATTGGCGACTCAATAAGGAAAATCGCAAAAAATTTGGGCCGATCCGACTCTGCCGTGCGAAATTATAGAAAGTCCGAGTTCGTTTCTGCACCAAACAAGAAGCCAGGACCAAAACCAAAGCTTACACCGCGAGCTAGACACCATATTGTGAACAAAATCCACGGAAAAACGATCAATGAAGTGAAAACGGGACTGAAAAGCGACGCTTCGAAGTCGACAATTTGGCGAACCGTCACGGAAAATGCACATATCGATCAACAATTATTGAACATGCAACCGGTCGTGAAGCTTTTGCACAAGAAAGCCCGATTGGAGTTCGCCAAGGCTCATAAGAATCAGGATTGATCTATGGTTAGAAAGCCGATTATTTTTATTATTTTTTTTGCGTTTAGGTGATCTTTTCCGATGAGAAGAAATGGAATTTGGATGGCCCCGATGGCGTTGGCTACTATTGGAGGATCTTCGACGTGATCCGATGATGTTTGGAACTCGAAACTTTGACGGTGGTTCTGTGATGGTTTGGGCCGCCTTTTGTGCTGATGGAACGGTCGCTCTGAAGATGGTTTCGAATCGGATGACTAGATAGATATCTTGAACAATTGCTTGTTGCCATTTTTGCTCCTAAATCCAACCGTTCCGGACTTGTTTCAATACGACAACGCGTCAATTCATCGAGCCAGAGACACCCGAGACTGGCTGAACAGCAACAACATTGCAACTTTGGACTGGCCCGCTCAGTCTCCTGACCTCAATCCGATAGAAAATTTATGAGGAATACTTGTCCGAGCTGTCTACAAGAATCATCGTCAGTTTCAAGACATTTCTACACTTAAAGCAGCAATTTTTTCGGCCTGGAGCTATCTCGACGTCTCTGCTCTTCAAAACCTCATCAATTCAATGCCAGACCGCATTTTTCAAGTAATTAATCGTTCTGGTGCGTGTACAGATTATTAGTTTTGATTTTTAACCTTTGATTTTTAATTTGTGTCGATAAATAAAAATATTTTCATAGTGCGTTTAAGAATTTGAAACGCTTGATTTAGCAAAAAGTTTCTATTTTGAAAATTTTTACTTTTTACAGTATGCTTCTTTTTCGTGTTATTTAGGTTTTAAGACATGCTCTTTCTAATAGAAAAAGATTAATAGTTGTAGTGGTGGTCAAAATGCAAAATCCGCTATTTTAGAGGGTGCGTTTAAGAATTTGAAACGCACTGTAGCTATTTGTTAGCTAGCTACTAGCTATTTGTTAGCTAGCTACTAGCTATTGGTTAGCTAGCTACTAGCTATTGGTTAGCTAGCTAATAGCTATTGGTTAGCTAGCTACTAGCTATTGGTCAGCTAGCTACTAGCTATTTGTTACCTAGCTACTAGCTATTTGTTAGCTAGCTACTAGCTATTGGTTACCTAGCTACTAGCTATTTGTTAGCTAGCTACTAGCTATTTGTTAGCTAGCTACTAGCTATTGTTTAGCTAGCTACTAGCTATTTGTTAGCTAGCTGTTAGCTATTTGTTAGCTAGCTACTAGCTATTGGTTACCTAGCTGTTAGCTATTTGTTAGCTAGCTACTAGCTATTGGTTACCTAGCTACTAGCTATTTGTTAGCTAGCTGTTAGCTATTTGTTAGCTAGCTACTAGCTATTGGTTACCTAGCTACTAGCTATTTGTTAGCTAGCTACTAGCTATTTGTTAGCTAGCTACTAGCTATTTGTTAGCTAGCTACTAGCTATTGGTTAGCTAGCTACTAGCTATTTGTTAGCTAGCTACTAGCTATTTGTTAGCTAGCTACTAGCTATTGGTTAGCTAGCTACTAGCTATTTGTTAGCTAGCTACTAGCTATTTGTTAGCTAGCTGTTAGCTATTTGTTAGCTAGCTGTTAGCTATTTGTTAGCTAGCTACTAGCTATTGGTCAGCTAGCTACTAGCTATTTGTTACCTAGCTACTAGCTATTAGCTATCGAAACAAAGTTTACAATATGATTTACCCCAAAAATCCGAGCAGAGTGCACATAAAGCCGAGTGCGATGAGCACATGCGGCGTCGCTAATCGATCGTCTCCTAAATGTTCGTGTTACAAGTACTACAAGTACTGTAGAAGTACTACAAGTACTGTTACAAGTACTACAAGTACTGTTACAAGTACTACAAGTACTCTAGAACTTCTAAAACCAATTTTGCGTTGGAAGTGATTGCTATAAGATTCCATTTTATTCAAAGACACTAATAAGAAAATAGATAAAGGCACTAGATACTTTAAAAACGTTTTGTGAAACCTGAGAAAATCATGAGCTAAGCTTTCGCTTAAATCGCAATTCTTTTCTCAATTTAGCTATTATTCAAAAGCTATTCAAAAGCTATTTAAAAGCTATTTAAAAGCTTTTCTGAGCTATTGTTCAAGCTATGCAATAGTCTAACAGAATGTAGAATTTCTATTAAAAATACAGCCAAATTTAAGGCTAAAATTCATCCCAGGAATACAGGCATAGCGATGTTGAAAAGGCTGAAACCTTTTTATTTTTCATAAAGATAGCATCAGGAGAGACTTGCTTTGAGGACTTGCTTATGAGGAGAGACTTGCTTTTTTTGAACTAAAAACTTTACAGCATCGTCGCTTTGTCATTGATTTAGTCGAAACTTTCAAAATCCTCCGTTGTAAACAGATTAGCCCTTTGTTTATAGACTTTTTCAAATTTAAACCGCGGTCAGGGCCCAGAAGTGGCTCATTCCTTTTGCAAATTCCCTTTGCTTCCAATGCCTCTTTATCAAATTCATTTCCCGTTAGAGCCGCTAGATTATGGAACTTGCTCCCAAACGACATACGAGAAATTCAGTCGCTTTTCATATTCAAGAAACGTATCGATGCTTTAGATCTAGTGGCTCTTTGCCGTAAGTAATTGGCTTATTGATTTCAGTATGTATTGTATGATTAAGTATCACTGTGCATTTCTCTATGATTTCTTTCACTTTATCGTTTGAATAAAGTATTATTATTATTATTCAAAAGCTATTTAAAAGCTATTTAAAAGCTATTTAAAAGCTATTTAAAAGCTTTTCTGAGCTATTGTTCAAGCTATGCAATAGTCTAACAGAATCTAGAATTTCTATTAAAAATACAGCCAAATTTAAGGCTAAAATTCATCCCAGGAATACAGGCATAGCGATGTTGAAAAGGCGAAGCCACCTTTTTATTTTTCATAAAGATAGCAAAGGGTTTGTCAAGCGCGGGATTTGAACTCACTACAAAACGCCAAACGCCCAAAAAACGCCAAACGCCAAAACCGCCTCAGTCGCTCGCCTTAGACGTATCCAAAAAGAACACCTAGCTATCGGAAAGATGTGCTAGAAAGCGAGCGATTGTGCGCGCGTCTTTGCCTTTGCCAAATCTTTGCAGAACACTTTGCCAGCCATTTTGTAGATGACACAAAAAGAAGATATTTAGCTCTAAATTTGCACCAGGGGCTTTCAAGGTCGGGGAATCGATTGGGACTATTTATTTTGAGACTACCGATCAGAACTCAGAATCATTGGCTTGAAACAGCCAAATCAGGAAGCTGAAGTGGCCCGAAAATTCAAACATTGAGATTTTCGTTAAAATTGGATCCAATTTCGCTCACTCACCTAATAAGTCGAATATGTACTGGAATTTGAGCTGCATCACCGTGCCCGTTATGATCAAACCCAAGCCGGCCACCTGAACGACTAGTAAATCATTTGTAAGAATGGAAAGTTGTCTAATAAATAATATAACAGTGCACAAAACTCACCCATAACACGAGATTCGAGAGGAAAAGTATGTATTTAACAATGGCCACACCACCTTCTACCATTCTTCTCCCTTTGAGATCTCGAAATCGGAAGCAGATCTAAAGAAGATCTAAAGCGAGATCGAAAGAAGATCGAAAGAAGATCGAAAGTAGATCTAAACAGATCGAAAGCAGATCGAAAACAGATCTAAACAGATCTAAACAGATCGAAAACAGATCTAAAGAAGATCTAAAGCAGATCTAAAGCAGATCTAAAGCTAGATCTAAAGCTAGATCTAAAGAAGATCTAAAGCTAGATCTAAAGCAGATCTAAAGCAGATCTAAAGCAGATCTAAAGCTAGATCTAAAGAAGATCTAAAGCTAGATCTAAAGCAGATCTAAAGAAGATCTAAAGCAGATCTAAAGAAGATCTAAAGAAGATCTAAAGAAGATCTAAAGAAGATCTAAAGCAGATCGAAAACAGATCGAAAGTAGATCTAAAACAGATCTAAAACAGATCTAAACAGATCGAAAACAGATTGAAAACAGATCTAAAGCTAGAATACTATAAAAAGATAAACAGGAATATCAGGAAAGATATCAGGAAAAGTTTACAATATAATTGAAATTTGTAAAGTTAGTTTGCTGAAAGACTAGTTGTAAAGCTGAAAAACTAGTTTGTAAAGCTGGGAAACTAGTTGTGAAGCTGGAAGACTAGTTTGTAAAGCTGGGAAACTAGTTGTGAAGCTGGGAAACTAGTTGTGAAGCTGGGAAACTAGTTGTGAAGCTGGGAAGACTAGTTGTGAAGCTGGGAAACTAGTTGTGAAGCTGGAAGACTAGTTGTGAAGCTGGGAAACTAGTTGTGAAGCTGGAAGACTAGTTGTGAAGCTGGAAAACTAGTTGTGAAGCTGGAAAACTAGTTGTGAAGCTGGGAAACTAGTTGTGAAGCTGGGAAACTCTTGTCTAACTCTCTGATAAACATTACATAAACAACAATGACGATTAAAATCCCCCAAATCAAAGCAATCAAAGCCAACAAAGTCAACAAAGCAATCAATTCAACTTCAGTTTCTCAACCAAAAACTAGAAGCTAAAAGCGTGGCTTTGTTTTCCGAAATTTCGTTTTTCGAGTGATGCTAAAGTTGGAAGGAGAAGGGGAGAAGGGGATGGTTGGAAAGGGGGCACATATCAGTCCCTGGGGAAAAGGAGAGGAGAAAGGAGGAAGGGATCGGCCGAAAAGACTCCAACTCTCGCTAGGAGGGTCAAAAAGGCCTAGAACTCTTCATTCTTCTACACTTCTTCCCTTCTACACTTCTTCCCTTCCACAATGACTTCATTTTGGAGATTTTAGCAAGCAAAAGACTAACCTTTACATTGAGCTTAGTATGTTGTGAGCTTTGTGATGTTATGAGCTTTTAAGAATGACAGCTTGATCAGAGATAATCCTAAAAAGAAAAGACTTTGCTAGACTAAACTTTACTATACTTTACTATAAATTGAAGATGACAAGAGCTGAAAAATGGAAACTTAATGAAAACTGGAGAGCAATACTCAATTGTTAGGATAAAGATTGTTAAGATAAGCTGATCCTAAGATCAAGAATTGGTTCAGGTTTAGGATTAGGGTTAGGGTCAAGGCTGATTTCTGAGCCAGGCTGATTTCAGAGCCAGGCTGATTTCAGAGCCAGGCTGATTTAGCCAGGCTGATTTCAGAGCCAAGCTGATTTCAGGCTCAAAGTCAAGACCAAATCAGGGTCAGGGTCTGGATCAAGCCAAAGTTAGAGCTAAAGCCAGAGTCAGGACTAAGCTAGAGTCAGGATTAAGCTAGTGCCAGGGTCAGGGCTAAGCTAGAGTCAGGATCAAGACTCAGAATTAGGGACAAGGACAGAGCCAGGCCTGGGTCTCAAAGTCAGGGCTAAGCCAGGGTCAGGCTCAAGGCTCAGAATCAGGGACAGAGCAAAGCCTGGGTCTCAAAGTCAGGGCTAAGCCAGGGTCAGGGTCAAGCCAGAGTTAGGGCTAAGCCAGAATCAGGACTAAGCCTAGGGTTTGGACAGGCTAGGGTTAGGACCAGGCTAGGATTTAGGGCTAGGACTGGATCAAGCCAAAGTTCCAGCTAAGCCAGCCAAGCCAGAATTAGGATCAAGCCAGGATCAGGACTAAGCCAAGGGCTAGAGTCAGTCTAAGGTAAGAGCTAGGCGTAAAGCCAAGGCTCGAACCAAGCCAGGATCAGAATCAAGTCAGTCAGTCAGTCAGTCAGTCAAGTCAAGTCAAAAAAAGCTAACATCAAAACTCAAATCTTCAAGAAAAACGAACTACTCCCTAGTCAAGGGCAATTTCTCGAGGCATCTTGGTTTTTTCTCGGCTCAAAAGAAAAGCCTTTCTGCTTAGATATATGAATGTTCTGATGTCCCTCTTTTTTTTCCCTTTTTTTGTTTAGAGAACCACCCGGAGGCGAGGCTTTACTGAAGAGATTTGTCAAAGTCGCTTCTCACTTTTCCCTGCTCACCCTTTGGCCAATTCTTTCTGAAATTTGATGTTTTCTTGGGGGAAAAGGGAAAAAGTAGATAAGCTTAAGAATAAGAATGAGAATTTGACGCTAATAAAGCTGAAGTAATGCCTAAGCAATGCTATAAGCTTGTAAGCAATGCTATAAGATCGTAAACAATGCTATAAGCTTGTAAGCAATGTCTATAAGCTTGTAAACAATGCTATAAGCTTGTAAGCAATGTCTATAAGCTTGTAAACAATGTCTATAAGCTTGTAAGCAATGCTATAAGCTTGTAAACAATGTCTATAAGCTTGTAAGCAATGTCTATAAGCTTGTAAACAATGCTATAAGCTTGTAAACAATGCTATAAGATCGTAAACAATGCTATAAGCTTGTAAGCAATGCTATAAGCTTGTAGGCAATGCCTATAAGCTTGTAAACAATGTCTATAAGCTTGTAAGCAATGCCTAAAGATAAACGATCGATTAGATGGGCCAAAGATGAGCAAAAGATGTGCTAGAATGGGTTCTCTTTCCCAGAATGGGTTCTCCAAAAGGAGGGGTTGACTGGTTGGGGATTCAATTTGTCGCCGCTTGTCCCTTCCCTTGTCTTTTTCTTCGTCCATTCCACTCCGTTTCACTCATTCTCAAATAGAGTCAGTGTTAGTGATGTTGAGTCGATTCTTTTCCTCGGCAAAAGACCCCCAAAGCACTCAATGACACGAGAAAGAGATCCGAGTAGGCCCTAATTGCCTTTGTAAACCCTCAATGACTCCTAGACACATCTTGAAAAGCTGAAAAGTTCTGAAAGCTGAAAAGAAAAGCTAAATTAAAAGGAATTGATGCTGTGGAGGTACTGTAAAGTCGAATATCTCATCGAAAGATGACGGAAAGAGGCTTTTAAATGATTTTAAATGATTTCAAATGATTTTAAATGATGCTAAATGATTTCAAATGATTTAAATGATAAAACAGAATTTGATTGGAGCAATGAATCCAAAAATCAAAACAAAAAACGATTCAGGCACATCGATTAAGGCAGATTTCTTTTAATTTAGCTATTCTTCAAGCTATACAGCTATTGGAATCAAATCGTACCGTATTGTTGTGCCGGGACCGTATTAGAACCAAATCGTACCGTATTGTTGTGCCGGGACCGTATTAGAACCAAATCGTACCGTATTGTTGTGCCGGGACCGTATTAGAGCCAAATCCTACCGTATTGTTGTGCCGGGACCGTATTAGAACCAAATCGTACCGTATTGTTGTGCCGGGACCGTATTAGAGCCAAATCCTACCGTATTGTTGTGCCGGGACCGTATTAGAACCAAATCGTACCGTATTGTTGTGCCGGGACCGTATTAGAGCCAAATCCTACCGTATTGTTGTGCCGGGACCGTATTAGAACCTAATCGTACCTTATTGTTGTGCCGGGACCGTATTAGAACCAAATCCTACCGTATTGTTGTGCCGGGACCGTGTTAGAGCCAAATCCTACCGTATTGTTGTGCCGGGACCGTATTAGAGCCAAATCCTACCGTATTGTTGTGCCGGGACCGTATTAGAGCCAAATCCTACCGTATTGTTGTGCCGGGACCGTATTAGAGCCAAATCCTACCGTATTGTTGTGCCGGGACCGTATTAGAACCAAATCGTACCGTATTGTTGTGCCGGGACCGTATTAAAATCAAATCGTACCTCTTGTTGTGCCTAAAAGTTTGAAAAGCTCTTTTAAGATAGACAAAAGCAATAAACTCTTAATTTAAACTAATCACAAACTCTTTATTCAATCATTATTTAATAAAAACTACTAGATATCTTCCTTCATCAGCTTCAATAAACTTTTTTAAGCGCTTGGGAAAGTTCTTCATATGGTCGATTCGATGCTCGCACACTGTTGCACAAAAATCTCGGACCAGGCTTTTTACAAAGCGTGGTTTAAGGCATTCACTGTCTGATATCGTTTGCTTGAAATCTTGTCTTCTAGAGTTGACCATATCGAGAAGTCTAACGGGTTCTAACAGGTTCTAACAGGTTCTAACAGGTTCTAACGGGTTCTAACAGGTTCTAGCGGGTTCTAACGGGTTCTAACAGGTTCTAACGGGTTCTAACAGGTTCTAACGGGTTCTAACGGGTTCTAACGGGTTCTAACAGGTTCTAACGGGTTCTAACGGGTTCTAACAGGTTCTAACGGGTTCTAACGGGTTCTAACAGGTTCTAACGGGTTCTAACAGGTTCTAACGGGTATTCGAAGGCTAGACATCCTTTTCCCAAAAGTCCGGAAACAGTTGGTTGCATCGATCTCCATGATCTAGAGCCCAATCCTGTTGAAGAGTAAAGCCACCATTTCATTGATTTGCTTCTGAGATCTTTCAAAACTTTTTGTTGATAGTTTCCTGCGTTGATCACGTTTCAATCCAGAAACACAAGTGGACTCTTCTCCGTGGAGCAAATGCCCGTCCAGACCATTAGAAAAATATTGCCGTACCATCAGTTTTGCTGCAAAAATGTTCTTGAGGCCTCGCTTAAGAAGTTGGCGATCGTTTTGGCCATTATGGATTGGTCGGATGGTGAAAAGCTTCTCATCGATAAACACAAAGCGACCATTTGCCACCAACCGAATGAGCTTCTTGCATTGGAGATTCCTTTTTTTCCTCATGTTGCCATTGAACAAGAAGTGTACCCGGTTGAATTTGTAGCTGCGCATTCCAAGCTTATGGACAGACACTGTTCTTGCTGATTCTGAGGCATTGTTCTTGCTGATTCTGAGGCATTGTTCTTGCTGATTCTGAGGCATTGTTCTTGCTGATTCTGAGGCATTGTTCTTCCTGGTTCTGAGGCATTGTTCTTGCTGGTTCTGAGACACTGTTCTTGCTGATTCTGAGGCATTGTTCTTGCTGATTCTGAGGCATTGTTCTTGCTGATTCCGAGACACTCCGAGACACGAGACCTAAAAGACGCCTAAAACAGTAAAAGCAGCCTCAGCCCCACACCTTAAACGTATCCAAAAAGAACACCTATCCATCTGGACGGGGTGCCAGAAAGCGAGCGATTGCGCGCGCGCACAAAGAGCATTTCGCCAGTCATTTACATTGGGATTTTTAGACCAAAAAAAGATTCAATCCTTTGCCTAATTTAAATAAATCTTTCTATATTCAGATTAAAATGCAGATTTCGAAAGGCAAACAAGATTTCTTTCATTCAAAACCATGAATTGGTGGTTTTAGCGATTGTGGATTGGTTGGAGGGTGAAAATCTTCTCATCGGTCAACACAAAGTGACCATTTGCCACCAACCGAATGATCTTCTTGCATTTAATCCTTTGCCTAATTTTAAATTTCTCTATATTTAGATTAAAATGCAGATTTCGAAAGGCAAAACAAGATTTCTTTCATTCAAAACCATGGTGACCCGATTGGTCGATTTGACGAAGATTTTCTGGCATTTTTTTGGCATTTTCATTCGATTTCATTCAAATCAGTCAAATCAGAGAAATTCAGTCGCTTTTCATATTCAAGAAACGTATCGATGCTTTAGATCTAGTGGCTCTTTGCCGTAAGTAATTGGCTTATTGATTTCAGTATGTATTGTATGATTAAGTATCACTGTGCATTTCTCTATCATTTCTTTCACTTTATCGTTTGAATAAAGTATTATTATTAAATCAAACTTAAACAAATCAAAACTTTCAAATGTTCACTTAAAATGTTCACTTAAAAATTCAGTTCCTTACAAAGCTCGTTCCTTTTGCATTTTTGCTGATGTCAACTTCTCGAAAAGATCTTTCGATCACGTACTCGGAGGACGATCTTCGGGAAACGATCTTTCAGAGGAGTGGAGGTAACATTAGTGGCTTGGTTTGGTATGCTTTGTGCTGTCTGTCTTCTGATGATGTCTGTCTGTCTTCTGATGATGTCTGTCTGTCTTCTGATGCACTTCTTGCGATGTCTGTCTTCTAATGCACTTCTTTTACCTTTTTTTTCGTCCCTATCGCTTTCTTTTGTTAGGCAGAGTTGTTTAAGAAAGGTTTATTCCAGGCAAATCCAGAGCTAGGCCAGAAGCAAGGCGCTTCCAGCTAGTCTAGCTAGTCTAGCTACTAGTCTAGCTAGTCTAGCTGCTAGTCTAGCTAGTCTAGCTGCTAGTCTAGCTAGTCTAGCTTCTAGTCTAGCTCTATGGCTCTACCTGGCTTGATCTACCTGGCTCTACCTGGCTCTACGGCTCTACGGCTCTACCTGGCCTAGAATGTGTTCATTTTGAGTCATTCGTTTTCTAAAAGAAGAAAAGTACTTAAGAAAGTACCGTACTTGAGAAAAGTACTTAAGAAAGTACCGTATTTGGGAAAAGTATCGTAGTCAAACCATTATTTTACATTCAATCCATCTGATTTTGATGTCATTGACTGAGCATTGTAAATCCTAATCAACTGCTACAAAAATCACGCTGATCTAATAGAAACTAACGATTTGACTACGGTACTTTACTCAAGTACAGTACTTTCCTCAAGTACAGTATTTTTCTCGTTTTAGAAATCGGATTAGACAAGAAGAACACATTCTAATCCCAAAGAATCCCTGTGTCTCTTGCCAATCAAATCCTTGCCTAGCTCACTCTCGCTAGGCTAGACTTTCCCTAAAAGTATCTCTAAATTTTCAATTCTTAAACAAGACAAGCAAGTTAAAGCTTTCTTTAAAGTCTATTTTAAGGATCAAATGATGTTTCAAAGCGGATCTCAAGAACCCCACAACGGGCGCCTTCACTAGCTGGAAACGAGCGCTCGCTCATTGATCTGATTGAAGGCAAGTCTGAGGACATAGAGCCAACTACGGCAGCCAACGGTAGCCAACGGTAGCCAACTAGGGTAGCCAACTAGGGTAGCCAACGGTAGCCAACTAGGGTAGTCAGCTAGGTAGCCAACGGTGGCCTACTACGGTAGCCAACGGTAGCTAACTAGGTAGCCAACGGTAGCCAACTACGGTAGCCAACTACGGTAGCCAACGGTAGCCAACTAGGGTAGTCAGCTAGGTAGCCAACGGTGGCCTACTACGGTAGCCAACGGTAGCTAACTAGGTAGCCAACGGTAGCCAACTACGGTAGCCAACTACGGTAGCCAACGGTAGCCAACTAGGGTAGCCAACGGTAGCCAACTAGATAGCCAACGGGAGCCAACGGTGGCCAACTAGGGTAGCCAACGGAACCCTACTACGGTAGCCAACGGTAGCCAACTAGGGTAGCCAACGGTAGCCAACGGGAGCCAACGGTGGCCAACTAGGGTAGCCAACGGAACCCTACTACGGTAGCCAACGGTAGCCAACTAGGGTAGCCAACGGTAGCCAACGGGAGCCAACGGTGGCCAACTAGGGTAGCCAACGGAACCCTACTACGGTAGCCAACGGTAGCCTACTACGGTAGCCAACGGTAGCCAACGGTAGCCGTAGCCAACGGTAGCCAACGGTGGCCAACTAGGGTAGCCAACGGAACCCTACTACGGTAGCCAACGGTAGCCTACTACGGTAGCCAACGGTAGCCAACGGTAGCCGTAGCCAACGGTAGCCAACGGTGGCCAACTAGGGTAGCCAACGGAACCCTACTACGGTAGCCAACGGTAGCCAACTAGGGTAGCCAACGGTAGCCAACTAGATAGCCAACGGGAGCCAACTAGGTAGCCAACTTACAAAATTGGTTTACGGGTCTATCCTGCAATCATGGTTCAATGGAAAATCGTAATCCATAGCCGGAATCGGGTTCAATCGATTTCCGCTCATTTAACCTCGATTCCAGCTGTTTTATATAGTTTTGAAGCCAAAAAACTAACTCGCCAAACAGCTACCTTCTTTAAAAACGTTTCCACTAGTGTTTAGTAATGTTTTGTACAAGTTAAAATACAAGTTCAGCATGTTTTTTAGAGAACGATCGCCTTGAGAGAGCCCGCACTCGATATCGAGATGGAGAAAGCGAAAGAATTCAGTGGCTAGAATTTGAAATTCAAATTCTAAGCTATTATTTAGGAAAGCTGAAGACTTTGCGAGTCGAATGACGCTGAATTCGAGAAATTCGAGAGATTCGAGAGATTCCAGGGATTCTAGGCTTGAGAGTAGAGCTAAGAGTTTGTCTAGGTCAGCATTAAGCTAAAATCTGGGCTTTGAACCGCTAGAAACGGCTTTGAACCGCTAGAAACCGCTTTGAACCCTTTCTCGGTGCATTTGTATCTTCGTTTTTCATAAAATTCTTTTTTTCTGGAGCATTGCTCTTAGTTTAGTCTATGCGAATTACTGAGAACGTAAAATGGAAAGGATTCAGTGCCCGAGAAAGAGTGCGTTTGTAAAACAGAGCGCAAAACAGAGCGCAAAACAGAGCGCAAAACAGAGCGCAAAACAGAGCGCAAAACAGAGCGCAAAACAAATAAAGTACAGCTAAATAGCCACTTTGAATAGAAGATTTAGAAACTCTCGTCCTAGCCGTCCTAGCCGTCCTAGCCGAGAGAACTCAGCTCAACGATCGAGGCTTAGCTCAACGATCTCAAGAAATCCAATCCAGCCAAAGCGCTACTCGAATCGGGAGTTTTTCCGCTGGAATTCGGATGAGGATTTGGTGTCAGATGATTCGAGAAGAGAACATGGTTTGGTCTAAACTCTAAGCTCAGATACAGTACCCAGTCTTTCTAGAGCAGCTATAGTACCCTTACAGTAGCTACAGTAACCCTACCGTACCCCTAGAACAGCCACAGTACCCCTACGTTAGCCCTATAGCAGCTACAGTACCGCTAAAGTAGCCGGATCAGCTACAATGCCCCTTCAGCTGCTACAGTATCCCTACAGCTGCTACAGTACCTCTACAGTAGCCCTGCAGTAGCTACGGTAGCCCCACAGCACCCCTAGAACAAATACAGTACCGCTATCAGCCGGATCATCTACAATGTTCCTTCAGCAGCTACAGTAGCCCTCCAGTAGCCCTGCAGCAGCTACAGTACCGCTACAGTACCCCCATAGAAGCTATAGTGCCTCTACAATACCCCTACAGCAGCCAAGTACCCTCTTAGCAGCTACAGTACCCAGATCAGCTACAGTACCGCTACAGTACCCGGATCAGCTACAATGTCCCTTCAGCAACTACAATAGTCCTACAGCAGCTATAGTAGCCCTACAGTACCCCTAGCACAGCTACAGTGCCCCTACAATGCCCCTACAGTACCCTGATCAGCTATAATATCCATTCAGCCGCTACAGTAGCCATGTTATTCTACTGTCGCTACAGTAATGTCAGGGTACTGTAGAAGTGTGATTAGCTACAGTAGACCTTGGCCAGCTAGAGTACCCACACAGCAGCCATTCTTCTACATTCTTTTACAACATTTCCAACTTCAACAGAGCTACAGTACTCCCTCACAGTTTTCCCAACTAATACGACAGCTACAGTACTTCTAGAATGGCTACGTACTACAGTATCCTTTAATCTCTGATGCTAAGATACTCAGATGATAACTTTAGGCCATCGAATCGTTGAATCGCCGTGTCTCTTGTGTAAATGGGCTAGGGAATTTGATGAGAAAGCGAGAAGGAAAAGAGCTGTCAGAGAAAGCGAGAAGTCTAATGAACATTGTCGAGAAGTGAATCGGTAAGAAAGGGTTTGAATTTGATTACAAATTATGGTAGTCTTTTAAACTGGAGACGGATTACAATCGTTTTTTTGAAGATTACACTTTTTAGCAAAACGGCATACGCTATAATCAAAGCTTAAAGCTTCTAGAATCGTCAATTCTCGTCAGGAACGTTTGGGAGGTTGGGAGGAACGTTTTTTTCGATGAGAACTTCGATGAGAACACAACTTCTCGTCAATCAATGCCAAGAAACAATGCCAATCAATGTCAATCAATGTCAATCAATGCCAATCAATGCCAATTTTGATTTAAATGAGATTTAAATCAAATTTAAATCAAATTTGAAATGAAAAAATGAATTTATCAAAGTTTTGGCTTGATTTTTGTTCTTTCTTGTGACGTTGACATTAGCAATTCTCCAGTTTTCGACCAAATTCGTCCCAAATACAAATTGCGATCTCTCGATTTACCGATTTCATCCATTTCGAAGAAAAGCCAATCGTTTGGATCAAAACTGAATCAAAACTGATTGAAACTGATCAAAAGTGATCAAAACTGATCAAAATTGAATCAAAAGTGATCAAAACTGATCAAAACTGATCAAAAGTGATCAAAAGTAATCAAAATTGAATTAAAACTGATCAAAACTGATCAAAAGTGATCAAAAGTGATCAAAAGTGATCAATATTGAATGAAAATTGAATCAAAAGTGATTAAAACTGATCAAAACTGATCAAAATTGATCAAAATTGATCAAAAGTGATCAAGGTTGAATCAAAATTGAATCAAAACTGATCAAAACTGATCAAAATTGATTAAAACTGATCAAAAGTGATCAAAACTGATCAAAATTGAATCAAAACTGAATCAAAACTGATCAAAACTGATCAAAATTGATCAAAATTGATCAAAACTGATCAAAACTGATCAAAATTGAATAAAAACTGTTCAAAGTTGATCAAAATTGATCAAAATTGGGGAGTGGGACAAACGCCACCTTCTTTTGCGCACCTGGACATTTGCGCACCTTTTTTTTTTGCTGGAAAAGGCCTTAGGAAAGGTCGTAGAGCTTCGAAAATCTTTCCAGATAAGGGAATCGTATGCGTAGATTCCGAATTTCGACAAATCACACCTCGCTGACACGTTAAATTTGGGCTAAAAGGCAAAAACAACTGCGGAAAAGCGTTAAGTTGCGTCGTTTTTGCCTTTTAGCCCAAATTTGACGTGTCAGCGAGGTGTGATTTGTCGAAATTCGGAATCTACGCATACGATTCCCTTCTATGAAAACATTTTTGAAGCTCTACGACCTTTCCTAAAGCCTTTTCCAGCAAAAAAAAAGGTGCGCAAATGTTCAGGTGCGCAAAAGAAGGTGGCGTTTGTCCCACCCCGTCAAAACTGATCAAAATTGAATCAAAAGTGATCAAAAGTGATCAAAAATTGAATCAAAACAATCAAAACAATACCTTCTTTATAAAAATGAACTTAAAACCTTATTTATAGACTAAATAGTGAATATTTACAGTAATTGTACTTACAAATTTGTAAGTACAATTACTGTACTTACTTTTAGTCGACTTTTTTGCTTGAAATGTACTCTTTTTATCAAAGAATCAAGTGCACGAGAAAGGGTGTGTTTTTAAGCAAAAAAAAGTAAACCTATTTGACTCACAAATATTGATGAAACCAAGTAAAATAATCGTTGATTGGCTCATCGTTATGTTCGTTAAAGAGATCTAAAGAAATTTCATCAATTTCACATTTCAAAAGCTTACTGTAACCAGAGAGCTTTACTAGAAAAGCTTGGCGTTCTTTGATGTCATCAGGATCTTAAATTCTTGAGTTTTTTTTGAGCTTTCTTGAACCTTTCGAGCTTTTTTGAGCTTTCTGGAGCTTTCTGCAGCCTTCTGGAGCTTTTTTGAGCTTTCTGCAGCCTTCTGGAGCTTTCTGGAGCTTTCTGCAGCTTTCTTTAGCTTTTTTGAGCATTCTGGAGCTTTCTGCAGCCTTCTGGAGCTTTCTGGAGCTTTCTGCAGCTTTCTTTAGCTTTTTTGAGCATTCTGGAGCTTTCTGCAGCCTTCTGGAGCTTTCTGGAGCTTTCTGCAGCCTTCTGGAGCTTTCTGGAGCTTTCTGCAGCTTTCTTTAGCTTTTTTGAGCATTCTGGAGCTTTCTGCAGCCTTCTGGAGCTTTTTTGAGCTTTCTGGAGCTTTCTGCAGCCTTCTGGAGCTTTTTTGAGCTTTCTGCAGCCTTCTGGAGCTTTCTGGAGCTTTCTGCAGCTTTCTTTAGCTTTTTGAGCATTCTGGAGCTTTCTGCAGCCTTCTGGAGCTTTCTGGAGCTTTCTGCAGCTTTCTTTAGCTTTTTTGAGCATTCTGGAGCTTTCTGCAGCCTTCTGGAGCTTTCTGGAGCTTTCTGCAGCTTTCTTTAGCTTTTTTGAGCATTCTGGAGCTTTCTGCAGCCTTCTGGAGCTTTTTTGAGCTTTCTGGAGCTTTCTGCAGCCTTCTGGAGCTTTTTTGAGCTTTCTGCAGCCTTCTGGAGCTTTCTGGAGCTTTCTGCAGCTTTCTTTAGCTTTTTTGAGCATTCTGGAGCTTTCTGCAGCCTTCTGGAGCTTTCTGGAGCTTTCTGCAGCTTTCTTTAGCTTTTTTGAGCATTCTGGAGCTTTCTGCAGCCTTCTGGAGCTTTCTGGAGCTTTCTGCAGCTTTCTTTAGCTTTTTTGAGCATTCTGGAGCTTTCTGCAGCCTTCTGGAGCTTTCTGGAGCTTTCTGCAGCCTTCTGGAGCTTTCTGGAGCTTTCTGCAGCTTTCTTTAGCTTTTTTGAGCATTCTGGAGCTTTCTGCAGCCTTCTGGAGCTTTCTGGAGCTTTCTGCAGCTTTCTTTAGCTTTTTTGAGCATTCTGGAGCTTTCTGCAGCCTTCTGGAGCTTTCTGGAGCTTTCTGCAGCCTTCTGGAGCTTTCTGGAGCTTTCTGCAGCTTTCTTTAGCTTTTTTGAGCATTCTGGAGCTTTCTGCAGCCTTCTGGAGCTTTCTGGAGCTTTCTGGAGCTTTCTGCAGCTTTCTTTAGCTTTTTTGAGCATTCTGGAGCTTTCTGCAGCCTTCTGGAGCTTTCTGGAGCTTTCTGCAGCCTTCTGGAGCTTTCTGCAGCCTTCTGGAGCTTTCTGGAGCTTTCTGGAGCTTTCTGCAGCCTTCTGGAGCTTTCTGCAGCCTTCTGGAGCTTTCTGCAGCCTTCTGGAGCTTTCTGGAGCTTTCTGGAGCTTTCTGCAGCCTTCTGGAGCTTTCTGGAGCTTTCTGGAGCTTTCTGCAGCCTTCTGGAGCTTTCTTTAGCTTTTTTGAGCATTCTGGAGCTTTCTGCAGCCTTCTGGAGCTTTCTGGAGCTTTCTGCAGCCTTCTGGAGCTTTCTGCAGCCTTCTGGAGCTTTCTGCAGCCTTCTGGAGCTTTCTGGAGCTTTCTGGAGCTTTCTGGAGCTTTCTGCAGCCTTCTGGAGCTTTCTGCAGCCTTCTGGAGCTTTCTGCAGCCTTCTGGAGCTTTCTGGAGCTTTCTGCAGCCTTCTGGAGCTTTCTGCAGCCTTCTGGAGCTTTCTGCAGCCTTCTGGAGCTTTCTGGAGCTTTCTGCAGCCTTCTGGAGCTTTCTGCAGCCTTCTGGAGCTTTCTGCAGCCTTCTGGAGCTTTCTGGAGCTTTCTGGAGCTTTCTGGAGCTTTCTGCAGCCTTCTGGAGCTTTCTGCAGCCTTCTGGAGCTTTCTGCAGCCTTCTGGAGCTTTCTGGAGCTTTCTGCAGCCTTCTGGAGCTTTCTGCAGCCTTCTGGAGCTTTCTGCAGCCTTCTGGAGCTTTCTGGAGCTTTCTGCAGCCTTCTGGAGCTTTCTGCAGCCTTCTGGAGCTTTCTGCAGCCTTCTGGAGCTTTCTGGAGCTTTCTGGAGCTTTCTGCAGCCTTCTGGAGCTTTCTTGAGCTTCCTTAAGCTTTCTTCAGCTTTCTTCAGCTTTCTTTAGCCTTCTTAAGCTTTTTTGAGCTTTCTTGAACTTTCTTTAGCTTTTTTGAGCTTTCCGCAGCTTTCTGCAGCTTTCTTGAGTTTTCTTGAGCTTTCTTAAGCTCCCTGGAGCTTCCTTAAGCCTTTCTGGCGCTTTCCTGAGCTTTTTTGAGCTTTCTGGGGCTTTCTTTAGCGTTCTTAAGCTCCCTGGAGCTTCCTTAAGCTTTCTAGAGCTTCCTTCAGCTTCCTTCAGCTTCCTTCAGCTTCCTTCAGCTTCCTTCAGCTTCCTTCAGCTTTTACTTACCAATTTGATTCTTTGATTTAACCCAAAAGTGCAACTTCGAAGTGGGAAGAGTGGAAAATGGTCGAATTTCAATCTAAACCTCTATTATAATCTTTTTTCAAATTTTTCTCAAAAAATTCTTCAGGAAATTTGTTTCATTTTCAAATCTTAAAAAGATCTATAATTTCTGTTGCTTTAAAGATGCTTTAAAGAAAGAAATTGCTTTAAAGAAAGCTCAAAGCTTGTCTTAATTCAGTAAAAAGGGATTTTTGTCTCAAGGGATTGTTCTCTCAAGGGATTTTCCCCTTTTAAATTCCTATTTTAAAGAAAATAGGTAGAGGGAAAGCTTCCAAATTTTGCATACTTTTTTTTTTTTTTTTTTTGATCTGTCTTTGCACTCAGGTGTTCCTATTTGCGCAGATCACAACCTGCTTCCACATTTCTCTATCCCTTGCTATTGTCATCCAGTGTTTCCTAGCTTGATTGTTCCTGGTTCGAAGTCTTCGACTTGCTGGTGCTGGTGGTGGTTGCAGTCTAGCCATCCTTTCTCTGACCGTCTCTGCCACTCTTGTGCTCCACCTCGTTGCTGGTCTTCCGACTGGCCTCTTCTGGTCTCGTGGTAGCCACTCTGTGATCCGTATCGTCCATCTGTCGTCTTTTCTTCTGGCTACGTGACCGGCCCATCTGAGTCTTTTTCTCTCAATCACTTCCACTGGATCTCTGAATCCCGAGAGCTGGCGCATGTCCGTACTTCTTAGGTCGTGGCCCAGGTCTCTGTCGTGGCCCAGGTCTCTGTCGTGGCCCAGGTCTCTGTCGTGGCCCAGGTCTCTGTCGTGGCCCAGGTCTCTGTCGTGGCCCAGGTCTCTGTCGTGGCCCAGGTCTCTGTCGTGGCCCAGGTCTCTGTCGTGGCCCAGGTCTCTGTCGTGGCCCAGGTCTCTGTCGTGGCCCAGGTCTCTGTCGTGGCCCAGGTCTCTGTCGTGGCCCAGGTCTCTGTCGTGGCCCAGGTCTCTGTCGTGGCCCAGGTCTCTGTCGTGGCCCAGGTCTCTGTATTTTGCATACTTATGTAATCAAATGAGCTGAATCTTTTTACTTTTACATAAAAATAGATTTGTTTGAAAGAAAGAGGTTAAATTGTGATTTTGGAACGAGCAGGATTGACTTGAGTACTTGAGTCAATGAAAATCTATAAAAACAATTGGAAAAGCGAGAAAAGCGAGAAAAGCTTACCAAAGACATTTCAGTAGTTGCTTTGAGCTGAGCTTTGAGCGTTTCCGGGTCTAAACTTAAACTTGATCAAGCTGAATATCTTTAAAGGGTATTAATCGCGGCCGGGTGACCATAAAAAATTTTTTACGCCAACCACCTGTTTTTTTGTTTTAATATCGCTGATTTTATTATAAAAAGAATAAAAATCACCCGGCTAGAGTGATTTGATGGGTTTACAAATTTTTGGAGACACTGCAAGGCTCGCGTAGTTCATCTACAAGGTAAGTGCGAAAGTAAAGCAAAAGTCAGGCATTATGTTTTCTTTTTGTTTTCTTTAGCCTTTCGATCTACATTTTTGGTTTTTAACATCTCTAGATGCCTTTTTCAAGATGGAGATTTTATTTTTAGATAATGCAAAAGATCATTAAGCTAATCTAGCTTATGGTTTTCTAAATACTCTTGTTTTTTCGAAAGCCAAGAAAACTTATGTTAGGAAACAAAAGAAAACCACAATCGAATGGAAAAAAAAAGATCTAATTGCGTCAATCAAAGCGCTGAAGATGGGGGAGATTTCTGTTGAGGATGCGCTGGAAATTGACTAAGATAGGAAGCCAATCTGAGAAACTGGTGTACTTGAGCGAAGATGAAAGTGAGCAAGAGGAAGAATTATAGATTAACAACTTATTTGTATTGTTTTTTGTGCTTGGTTACAGGTGGTTGGCGTAAAAAAAATTTTATGGTCACCCGGCCGCGATTAATACCCCCCCCCCCTTTAAGTTGACGATTTTCTTGAAGCTCTGGATGAATCAAGGGTGTTTCGTTAATGCCTTGCTTGCTTAATAACGTGAATGCCTTGCTTGTCTCTATTTTATGCACCTATCTCTCCACCCGATCATCTATTCTTTTACCCCGTTTTCCCTCAAAAAGGATCCAAAACCCTCAGGACTCTTAAAAAGGACAAAAGGGGACCATAATCCATCTCCTTTCACCCAAAAATCGTGCCCAACTAAGCCCGTTGTTCCTTTTTGTGAAAGCAAAACCCGAGGCAGGACGAAGATTGAGTAAATCCTAGTTATCTTTTTTGATCTTGCTCCTACATAAATCCACACAGGTCAGGGGATTTTGGAATGCGATTTTGGAGTTTAGTTCTTCAATGGTTCGAATGTTTTCAAGTAGTTTAGTCAAAGTTTTTCAAATCCAATCCAATCAAATCAAATCCAATCCATTCCAATCCAATCAATTCCAATCAATTCCAATCCAATCAATTGCAATCAATTTCAATCCAATCAATTCCAATCCAATCCATTCCAATCCAATCCAATCCATTCCATTCCAATCCAATCCAATCCAATCCAATCCAATCAAAATCTTCCAAATTCAAACCTAATTCAAACCTTTTTGCTAATCAGAGAACTTTAGAGCACTTTAGAGCAAAATCAATCTTTATGCCTTGCAAGAAGCAAAAGTCTTGCCATGTCTTGCCATCATTCGAACCAAAGACCAGGAAAAGCGCTAGTACACTATCAACTAGGCTACGAAAGACCAGACCAGAGCCGTGTCTGAGTGACGATCTTGTTTTTTTCCAAGCCTTGCAACGTCTCCAAAAATTTGTAAACCCATCAAATCACTCTAGCCGGGTGATTTTTATTCTTTTTATAATTAAATCAGCGATATTAAAATAAAAAAACAGGTGGTTGGCGTAAAAAAATTTTTATGGTCACCCGGCCGCGATTAATACCCCCCCCCCCTTTAAAGTATCGTTGGTTAGTTGGTTGTACCGTTTTCGAAAAGTAACCGATTCTTCGGATTTCAGAGGACCACAAGTACCATTTGTTAGCCAGCTTTATTAGCCAGCTTTGTTAGCCAGCTTTGTTAGCCAGCTTTGTTAGCCACGAGTAAATCGTGGGCTCCGATGCGATAAGCTTGGGGAAATAACCCTTCAAATGTTAACTCTCTTGTAGACAGAGAAGTTAATGTTGTTCATCAAGACATAGCCATTAACTTTACCGGAATTGACCTAATCGTAACCATACCGCAACTAGTTACCCTTCTTTTTCCGTATTTAAAATATCAGCTGGCTACAAAGCTGGCTACAAAGCTGGCTACAAAGCTGGCTAACAAAGCTGGCTAACAAAGCTGGCTAACAAAGCTGGCTAACAAAGCTGGCTAACAAAGCTGGCTAACAAAGCTGGCTAACAAAGCTGGCTAACAAAGCTGGCTAACAAAGCTGGCTAACAAAGCTGGCTAACAAAGCTGGCTAACAAAGCTGGCTAACAAAAGCTGGCTACTCACTACCACTCGGCCACAGCCGTCATGATGCTCAACGGTCGAAACGAGGTTAGAACGTCGATGCTTGATTTCTCCTTACAAAACTTTCAGGGCTTATAGCTTTTGACAGAGTGATCCATAGCAAAAACGGAAAACAGATTCGGAATCAGCGTGAAATTCTGCGTTGAATGGTAGATGGCATTTGGTCAGCGTATCAAGTTATCTTCCATTTTTAGCCAGATTTGTTTAGCCAGACCAGAAAAACGTTGAATTTGCTTGATTTGACGTGAAATGAGATTTTCTATAAAATGAAAATAAATTCTAAATCAAATTTTCCATAAAATGGAAGTAAATTCAACGTTTTTTCAAATAAAACCAGTCAAGATACGTCGAAAATTGCCAATGGATGATTAGATTGCCAGTGGCAAACGGGAAAATAACGGATTTAGCATGGCTATCATTTAGCATGGCTATCATTTAGCATGGCTATCATTTAGCATGGCTATCATTTAGCATGGCTATCATTTAGCATGGCTATCATTTAGCATGGCTATCATTTAGCATGGCTATCATTTAGCATGGCTATCATTTAGCATGGCTATCATTTAGCATGGCTATCATTTAGCATGGCTATCATTTAGCATGGCTATCATTTAGCATGGCTATCATTTAGCATGGCTATCATTTAGCATGGCTATCATTTAGCATGGCTATCATTTAGCATGGCTATCATTTAGCATGGCTATCATTTAGCATGGCTATCATTTAGCATGGCTATCATTTAGCATGGCTATCATTTAGCATGGCTATCATTTAGCATGGCTATCATTTAGCATGGCTATCATTATTCTATTATTTAGCCTTTATCCTTCATCCTTTATTCTTTATCCTTTAGCCTTTAGCCTTTAGCCTTTAGCCTTTATCCTTTATCTTTTATCCTTTAGCCTTTAGCCTTTAGCCTTTATCCTTTATCCTTTATTCTTTATCCTTTAGCCTTTATCCTTTAGCCTTTATCCTTTAGCCTTTAGCCTTTAGCCTTTAGCCTTTAGCCTTTAGCCTTTATCCTTTAGCCTTTAGCCTTTAGCCTTTATCCTTTATCCTTTATCCTTTAGCCTTTAGCCTTTAGCCTTTAGCCTTTAGCATTTAGCCTTTAGCCTTTATCCTTTAGCCTTTATCCTTTAGCTAACATTTCCTACCTGGCAAATCTTTTGGAAACTTTGGATTCATTGAGTAACGATCTTTCACCGATTCTTTCTAAAACAATATTCTTTTAGTTCATTTTTTGAAGCAGCCGTTTACTCGTTGAAAAGAAAACTCAGAAAGGAGACAGAGTCGCTCGTTTTCCTCAGCTTTCACAAAACTGAAAGAATTGTTGATCTTGGAAAGATCTTTGAATTTTATCGATATCTAAGCTTGATATCTAAGCTTGATATCTAAGCTTGATATCTAAGCTTGATGTATAAGCTTGATGTCTACGTTTGATATCTAGCTTTATCGATATCTAAACTTTCTCATGACAAATCTACCGTATCAGAAAATTTCGTCCATCCCTTGTGCGCTCGACATTGAATCTGACAGAGTTTTGTGAACCTAAAATTTCTTTTACATTTGATTTTACATTTGATAGAACTTAACTCGTCTTTCTCTCTTTCTTGTCTGTTAATAACACCGTAAATACTGTAATAGTACCCCACCCTCCTCGTACAGTCGCGTAGTCGCAGTCGCAAAAGTTCGCAAGTCGCGTAGTCGGAAAAGATTTTATTTATTGTTTTTCAAAACGTCTGTACTTTCAAAAAATGCGTTTTTGGTATCAAAAAATAGCTGAAATTCAGGGCTATTTTTTGATACCAAAACGAACATTTTAGCATAAACCAGTGTCGAGAAAAACTCGTTCAAAGCTAGACTACACAACACTCCGCACCGTCATTATGGGGCTGGGGTACTATTACAGTATTTACGGTAATTTCTTAGCTTCTTTCCAGGCTAGTAAGCTTTCTTAGAGAATCCAATTCCCTTCTATTTGTTCAATTCGATAAGAGTTCCCAACAAAAGGTGACCAGTTTCAGTGAAAAATGCATGAATCGAGTGTACAATGAAGCCGTCATTTGTTGTTGAGTAGGCTGCTTGAAGAGACTAAATTTTTTAGTTTTAGTTTTAGTTTTACGAAAACGACAAGTTTTAATGATTATGGAGAGTGGGACAAATGCGACCTTTATTTTGCGCACCCGGACATTTGCGCACCTTTTTTTCCGCACTTAGCCCATTAGCGCACCTTTTTTCGCGTTTTAAAAAAGCTCTAAAAAGCTAATATTAACCAATTTCTATTCCAAAAGTTGTTTTTCTAGGTAATTTTAGGGCGTAAAATCGAAATTTTGACATAACAGAGCGTGTGGAACCAATTTGAAAGACAAAACGGCTGACAAAACGACAAAACGACAAAATTGTTGATCTTTCTCTTTGTATAACTCCGTCCGTTCGCTTCCACAAGCTCTGTTATGTCAAAATTTCGATTTTACGCCCTAAAATTACCTAGAAAAACAACTTTTGGAATAGAAATTGGTTAATATTAGCTTTTAGAGCTTTTTTAAAACGCGAAAAAAGATGCGCTAATGGGCAAAGTGCGGAAAAAAAGGTGCGCAAATGTCCAGGTGCGCAAAATAAAGGACGCATTTGTCCCACTCCCGAAAAAATAAACAAAACAATAAAACGATCCTCGATTTTTGCGATTTTTCACTTTAAAATAAAAAAACAGCGCTTAAATTCCGATTTTTTTTCCGACAAACGTACGCACAAATACCATTTACGAAATCGTTTAAATCCAAAAATTTTTAATCATTTCTTTATTTGTTGGAAAATAATAGGTTCACAATGTTTCCTTTTCATTTTCTTTCTGTAAACTTTCTTTTTACTTGTTCTATTTCTTTTTATAAACTAATTTTTATTTTTTAGAAAGATGGAGCGTGGAAAATCAAATCGAACAGATGAAAAATGCGATTTTGAAAGGAAAAAATGCGATTTTGAAAGTTGTCGAATTGGAAGATCGTAAAAGCGAAGCGCTTGCACCAAGTTGTTGCAAATTTCTTCAATGATCCTTTCAATTATGGCAAGAAGAAGTCTCCGAGATGTCTTTGAAAGCTCCGCAGAAGTTGATTCGCAACGTGATCCACATTGACGGCGTCCCAGTGATGCTCCTCCAAAGTTTCAACGTCCACAAAGCATTGGATCCTTCCTCAAATCGTGTCAATAGTACTCGTTGCCGTCTAGACCATTCAAATTAAATGTTTCCTCATCGATGAAGATGTCCTACAAAGAAAATGAAGCGCTGGCACCAAGCTGTTGCAAATTTCTTGAAGAATCCTTTCAATTATGGCAAGAGGAAGTCTCCGAGATGTCTTTGAAAGCTCCGCAGAAGTTGATCGACGTCCTGGTGATCGTTCGAGTTAATGTGATAAGTCACAAACTCTAAATCAAGAACGTGATCCACATTGACGGCGCCCCAGTGATGCTCCTCCAAAGTTTCAACGTCCACAAAGCATTGGATTCTTCCTCAAATCGTGTCAATAGTGCTTGTTGCCGTCTAGACCATTCAAATGAAATGTTTCCTCATTGATGAAGATGTCCTACAAAGAAAATGAAGCGTTGGCACCAAGTTGTTGCAAATTTCTTCAATGATCCTTTCAATTATGGCAAGAAGAAGTCTCCGGGACGTTTTTGAAAGCTCAAGCGCTGAACGGCATATTGGACGTCTGTTGTCGGTGATGTCGCTAGAACGTCAAGACAAAAATTGGAGCTCTCGCCAATAAAAGCACTCTTTCTCGAGTGTATGCCTTACATCAAAAGAGCAGTCATGAAGAAAGCACTAAAACTGAAGTTGGGATCAAAGGACGAAGGAAGCAAAAAGAAAAAAGGACGTCTTTCGGCCTGGGATCATATCACTATCGACTACAATTTTGACGGGTGGCGTCAATGTGGATCACATGAACTTGAACGATTACTAGGATTTCCTTGCCGATCAACTTCTTCAGAGCTTTCAAAAACGTCCCGGAGACTTCCGGAAATTCTTGCCATAATTGAAAGGATTCTTCAAGAAATTTGCGACAAAATTACGACAAATTTGCGCTTCATTTTCTTTTTAGATCATCTTCAGCAAAGAGAAAACTTAATTTGAATGGTCTAGACGACAACAAGTACTATTACAATGCAACAAGTACTGGAGAAAGGATCCAATGGTTTGTGGACGTTGAAACTTTGGAGGAGGATCACTGGGGCACCTTCAATATGGATGACGTTCTTGACTTAGAGTTTGTGACTTGTCACATGAACTAGAACAATTACTAGGATGTCCTTGCGGATCAACTGCTTCATTTCCTAGCAAAAACCCGAGAGAAAAACTACATTTTTTCAACAGAATACTTCAATTCATATCAGTCAATCTAAAGCTTGGAGAGTATTAGCCCTATTGCCACTTAAAAGAGTCAGAAATCGATCTGTTGATTAGTAAATAAAAGAAGGCACCTGTACGAGAAGATCGGTCTCTTTTGAGCTCATCAGTTGCCTTTTTCACTGAAAGTTTATTGAAAAGTTTGGCTTTTGTTGGCTTTCAGATATTTTGAATGAATCGTCGAACTTTGAAGGCCCATAACTTTATCTAGAGATAATATTATTCATATCTTTTTATATCATTAGATAGAGGACAGTCTAGGCTTTCTAATGATACAAAGAATAGTTTGATTAGACTCTGGATAAAGGCTTATAATACCCATGGAAACTAGGCCGATCAAAATCAAGTTTGGCCGGCCTCGTTGGCTTTGATTTTTCTGGACTGGTTTATCCAATCAAACTCTTTTTAGTATCATTCGAAAGCCTGAAATGTCCTCTATCCAAGGATCTTAAAAGTTACTAAAAAGATAATCTTTAGAGAAAGTTATGGGCCAAAGAGTGACGACTCATTCAAGAGGAAATCCAAGAAGAGCTAAAAGTTTAAAAACAAAAGAAAAATCGACAGAGAAGTATTTTCATTAAAGAAAAGACAAGATTTAACATTTGCCATAATAGATTTAAACAGAGAAGAGAAGATTTGGTGATTGACAAGCTTTAAAAAGCTATTGTCATTTGACATGATAGAAATTGATAGAAAGATTGATAGAAAAGTAAGTTTTTAAATAAATTTAAAGAGAAATTGAATACTTTTTCTTTTTTCTTATCAAATCTTGGCGAAAATCTTGCTGTTTGTAGTCTGAGTGATTCTTTTTTGTCTTTCTTTTGTATTTTTGTCTTTTCTTTGTGTCTTTTTGTCTTTTTTGTCTTTTCTTTATGTCTTTTTTTCCTTTTTCTCTTTCTAGATCAATATGTCGAGTGAAGAAATTTGAAAAAGAGCGAAGATCTTCTCATTTTAAATTTCTGTACACTAAAGAGTCCTATTTTGATCTAATACGGTTCCTATTTTGATCTAATAAGGTTCCAATACGGTTCTAATACGGTTCCAATACGGTTCCTATTTTGATCCAATACGGTTCCAATACAGTTCCTATTTTGATCCAATACGGTTCCTATTTTGATCCAATACGGTTCCAATACGGTTCCTATCTTGATCTAATAAGGTTCCAATACGGTTCCAATACAGTTCCTATTTTGATCCAATACGGTTCCAATACGGTTCCTATCTTGATCTAATAAGGTTCCAATACGGTTCCAATACAGTTCCTATTTTGATCCAATACGGTTCCAATACGGTTCCAATACGATTCCAATACGGTTCCAATACGGTTCCTATTTTGATCCAATACGGTTCCAATACAGTTCCTATTTTGATCCAATACGGTTCCAATACGGTTTCAATATGGTTCCAATACGGTTCTTTTTAGATCCAATACGGTTCCAATACAGTTCCTATTTTGATCCAATACGGTTCGAATACGGTTCCAATACGATTCCAATACGGTTCCAATACGGTTCCTATTTTGATCCAATACGGTTCCTATTTTGATCTATCGTATTCCTTCAAATGTCTTTTAAGCCACGATAAGTAGTCATTTCAAAGACTATTTATCATATTCTTCTCAAAAAAAGAGTCCACATAAAAGAAAAAAAAAGAAAAGAAAAGAACAGGAAAAACAGAAAACACTTTGGCATCATCAACTTTCTTATTGTTTATAACCGTGAGAATGACAAAAAAAAGAATTTTCTTTTAAAAAAACAGCATAAACTGAGCAAAAAAACGAGAAAAACAAAAGACTAAACAAAAGACAAAAGTCGGTTTAAAATATCAAATTTCTAACTTAGAATTTACCCGTTTTAGAGAGAAATCCGGGGCGGTGATTAACTGATTAGAGTTCCGGAGGGGAAAATAGGCAATAAATTCATACATAAGCGACGAATTTCTCATGAATTTCTCATGAAATTTCAATATATTTTAATCTTTTTTTCCTTGAGCCATTGATATTCTCGAAGTAGGGAAATGAAAAAAATAAAATTGCATATGAAAATAGAAGGAAAAACAATAATTTAGGGAAATGCTGGGGTTTAAAAAGGAAAACGATACTTTAGGGAGGATCTAGTGCACTGATTTCCACTGATTTTCACAAATTTCCACTGATTTCTACAAATTTCCACTGATTTCCGCAATTTTCCACAACTTTTCACTGATTTCCGCAATTTTCCACAATTTTCCACTAGAGTTTCGGCAAAAACAGAATTCTCAGGCAGATCTAGACTGAATTCTTGCCTAGATCAGGTTTCTTGATGACTTAGATCTTAGAAATGACTCCTAGAAATGACTTAGCTCTTAGAAATGACTCTTAGATCTTAGAAATGACTCTTAGATCTTAGAAATGACTCTTAGATCTTAGAAATGACTCTTAGAAATGACTCTTAGAAATGACTCTTAGATCTTAGAAATGACCTAGATCTTACCTGGTTTGAATGCTGATGGCAATGAAAGTTCTTTTCAGCCTGCAGCCCAAGCTTCTTACTCGGGTAAGGGCTCGGGCTAAGGCTTCTTACTCGGTTCTTACTACTAAGCCTAAGCCTATAAATGCTTTACAAATCGCTAAATATTAATTCTAGTGCTTTAACAAAAGAAAAAAGCTAAAAGCAAAAACGAATTGAGAGTAAAGGGATTCGAACCAGGTACCATCAACACACGGGCCGAGGATACTATCCACTACACCATCAAGTCGGCCAGCGAGGAAAGTGATTCAGCGTCATATCGCCCCCTTTTTAGGAATTCAGTGCACCTTAGTTCTTACAAGGGAACGACCGGACTCTTCATAGGGCTGCCACAACGAGCCCGTTCAACGGCTTCGGTGGCCTAGTGGTTAGTGGATTAGCCTGCAGAACTGACGAAGCATTTCTCGCTTGAGTTCAAATCCTCCGCTAATCAATTGTTCTTGTTTTTTATGGAAACTTCTTTTTCTAATGTTTTTTCATTAAATATTTATGTATAGCCTACTAGCCACTAGACTATCAAAGCCGTTAAAAGATCTCTTGCAACGTCTCCATTAAGAGTTTCATATTCTGAGAAGGGATCAAAGAATTCCCTTGTTATCATTGTCATTCCCTTGTTCTCATTGTTCTTTTCTAATATCTGGATGGTCCTCCATAAGTACCGTAACCCCGTTGCATATCTAAATCGTCGTATTCATCGTAGCCGTGTCGATCAGGCGGTTGCTGGGTTGGTTGGGTGAATCTGAAAGGATTTGAATGGTTGGTTGGATTGGTTTGAATGGTTGGTTGGATTGGTTTCGACCTAATCAAAGAAATAGGACTTCAAAGCTCTTGATGTTTAGTTTTGTTTAGTTTTTGATATCAACAAACCTTTGCTGTTGCTGGGGCATGAGTTGTGTGTTGGATAGAGGCTGGCTCATCGATTGTCCGTACACTCCAGTCGCTGGCATCAATGTTTGCTGTTGATACTGGAAAGATTACAATTTGATTACAATTTGATCCAATTTGATCCAATTTGATCCAATTTGATCCAATTTGATCACAATTTGATCCAATTTGATCCAATTTGATCCAATTTGATCCAATTTGATCCAATTTGATCCAATTTGATCACAATTTGATCACAATTTGATTACAATTTGATCCAATTTGATCCAATTTGATCCAATTTGATTACAATTTGATCCAATTTGATCCAATTTGATCCAATTTGATCCAATTTGATCCAATTTGATCACAATTTGATCCAATTTGATCCAATTTGATCCAATTTGATCCAATTTGATCCAATTTGATTACAACTTGATTCCAATCAGCCAAAAAAAGTCAAAAAAGCCAAAAACTCTACCATAGGCATCGGTTGTTGCACAGGTTTGGGAACGCTTTGCTGTTGTGGTGGTTGGAGATAGTTTCCGCCATTCATTCCACCTAGAATCGATTTTGATCTCACTTTTTCCTTCTCTTACCCATTGACGCAGCTGATGGATGAGACTGGAGTCCCATTCCGAAAGCACCCATATGTGTGCCTTGCATCATTTGTGCTGGTGTGAAGAGCGTGCTTGGACCTCGGTTCTCCATCGGATTCCTCTTTATTCTCGGTGGTGAACGGACTGGTGGATGGGTGGCTCGCCTGAAAGTTTGTCATTGGCAACTAAACTTTGAACTCAAATTTCTCGGCGTTGGGCTGTCTAATTCTAATAGTTTTTATACCAATCGATAGAGAGAGGCTAGGCGCATCTAATGATATCAAAAAGATTTAAATGGGATAACCCAACACCGAGAAATTTCAGCTCAAAGTTGCCAATCTCAAAAATATTTTCAAATTATAGAAATAAGTTTATCTTCATCTTGCTAAGCCTTGGCTTTGTCTCCCATAATTCCTGCGCTCACTAGAATCCCAGATCATAAGCCAGACCAGTCGCCCACCAGCCAGCCAGACCAGAGCCAGCCGGTTAGCCAACCAACCAGCCGCCCACCAGCCAGCCAGACCAGAGCCAGCCGGTTAGCCAACCAACCAGCCGCCCACCAGCCAGCCAGACCAGAGCCAGCCAGCCAGACCAGAGCCAGCCAGACCAGAGCCAGCTAGCCAGCCAGCCAGCCAGACCAGAGCCAGCCAGACCAGAGCCAGCTAGCCAGCCAGCCAGCCAGACCAGAGCCAGCCAGACCAGAGCCAGCTAGCCAGCCAGCCAGCCAGACCAGAGCCAGCCAGACCAGAGCCAGCTAGCCAGCCAGCCAGCCAGACCAGAGCCAGCTAGCCAGCCAGCCAGCCAGACCAGAGCCAGCCAGACCAGAGCCAGCTAGCCAGCCAGACCAGAGCCAGCCAGACCAGAGCCAGCTAGCCAGCCAGCCAGCCAGACCAGAGCCAGCTAGCCAGCCAGCCAGCCAGACCAGAGCCAGCCAGACCAGAGCCAGCTAGCCAGCCAGACCAGAGCCAGCCAGACCAGAGCCAGCTAGCCAGCCAGCCAGCCAGACCAGAGCCAGCCAGACCAGAGCCAGCCAGCCAAATCAGAGCCAGCTAGCCAGTCAGCCAGCCGCCCACCAGCCAGCCAGCCATAGCTAGGGTTCTGGAAAAACCCTGTAAATAACAATCTCTTACCAGTATGATTCCATATAATCAGCAAGGTGTTCACAGGCGTCTTCTAGTTGATTCTCATCAAGAAGCACATCGAACATTTCCTGAAATCAAATAACAAATGAATTCAATTCGCTGAAAGGATGGTTTACAAATTTTAAGCGAAAAAAAATGCTTAGATTTAAGAAAACTAACCGGTGGACATTGAGCCAACTTTTCAGCGGCTACCATTTGCACATTCATATTTCGACTCTGGGATTTCCCGCGTGATTTTATCAATCTTTGTAGTACCTAAAGAAAACGTTAGTGAATATTTCAAGAGTTTGTTTTTACTTTTGGTGAGCTGATCTTGATGTAGACGTGAATCGGAGCTAGTGAGGTTTTCGCGAGTTGGGATGGATGATTGATCGTGTCACAGTCTGGAAACGAGATTTGCTCTTGAGGCTCTTGAGGCTCTTGAGAAATTGAGCTTTACTTTATTTAATATAATATTAGGATGAAAATGCCCTCAATTTAATATAATGAAATGCTATAAATGATTAAATTCTCAACTTTAATTGAAATCTTTTCGGTGCGAACAGCTTAGAATTCTATTTTTTCGTGGTTTTTGTTTTGTTTTAAAGTTAGATATTCTTTTCTATTCAATAATTCTGTTTTTATTCTGTTTTTATAAAAATGTTTTTATAAAAGTTTACTGCCTTAGGATTTAGACTTTAGAATAGGGGATCAGAAGTATCGACTTCAGGTGTGCTTGCTCTACGACTACGATGACGATTTAGAATAGAAGATCAGAAGTACCGAATCCGGGTGTGCTTGCTCTACGACTAGAGAGGGAGATGAAACTCTACAGGATCCTGGACATGAGCATCCCCTCCAGCACTCAATGATGACGATGGAAGATCAGAAGTACCGAATCCGGGTGTGCTTGCTCTACGACTAGAGAGGGAGATGAAACTCTACAGGATCCTGGACATGAGCACCCCTCCCGCGCTCAATGATCACGATTTAGAATAGAAGATCAGAAGTACCGAATTCGGGTGTGCTTGCTCTACGACTAGAGAGGGAGATGAAACTCTACAGGATCCAGGACATGAGCATCCCCTCCAGCACTCAATGATGACGATGGAAGATCAGAAGTACCGAATTCGGGTGTGCTTGCCTACGACTAGAGAGGGAGATGAAACTCTACAGGATCCTGGACATGAGCACCCCACCAGCGCTCAATGATCACGATTTAGAATAGAAGATCAGAAGTACCGAATTCGGGTGTGCTTGCCTACGACTAGAGAGGGAGATGAAACTCTACAGGATCCTGGACATGAGCACCCCACCAGCGCTCAATGATCACGATTTAGAATAGAAGATCAGAAGTACCGAATTCAGGTGTGCTTGCTCTACGACTAGAGAGGGAGATGAAACTCTACAGGATCCTGGACATGAGCACCCCTCCAGCACTCAATGATGACGATGGAAGATCAGAAGTACCGAATTCGGGTGTGCTTGCCTACGACTAGAGAGGGAGATGAAACTCTACAGGATCCTGGACATGAGCACCCCACCAGCGCTCAATGATCACGATTTAGAATAGAAGATCAGAAGTACCGAATTCAGGTGTGCTTGCTCTACGACTAGAGAGGGAGATGAAACTCTACAGGATCCTGGACATGAGCACCCCTCCAGCGCTCAATGATCACGATTTAGAATAGAAGATCAGAAGTACCGAATTCAGATGTGCTTGCTCTACGACTTCAAACAAGGAAAAAGTGTCCTGGAGAGCCATAGTTCAATCTTGAAAGTTTTTGGACAAGCTGCTGATTCAGAGGAAGCTTGTAAAAAATAGTTTCAACGATTTAGAGAAGAGAGACGAAACTCTACAGGATCCTGGACATGAGCACCCCTCCAGCGCTCAACGATGACGATTTAGAATAGAATAGAAGATCAGAAGTATCGACTTCAGATGTGCTTGCTCTACGACTAGAGAAGGAGATGAAACTCTATTAGATCCAGGAAATGAGCATCCCCTCCAGCGCTCAACGATGACGATTTAGAATAGAATAGAAGATCAGAAGTATCGACTTCAGATGCGCTTGCTCCACGACTTCAAACAAGGACTTCACAGTATTTTGTTATATTAGCTTTTATAATGCTATAACATTGTTGGAAAACATTTTTTAAACAAAATCCATCCAAAGTTTACTAAATAAACGCCTTTTTAGATCAATTTTATTTTATATATTGGGTTGGGGACTATGACTCGGCGGACAAAAGAAAGGCAAATTTATTGAACATAAAACCATGAATTCATTCCAAATAATTTCCATTATTATTGACGACTTCTGCCCATTTTACAGGCAATTTGCGGATTCCTCTTTCGTGGTAGGATTTTGGTTTGTGTGTGAGACAAGTGTGAGACTCAAAAATGGAGGACTGGAGATGTCCCAGTTTGAGCACTTTCTTCAAAAGAAACCCATTTTGGTGTTAATGGAAAAGTTATAGAGAATCAAAAATTAGGCTTATAGCCAAATTTCCAACAAGATACACTTAGTAGTTTCGCTTAAAATGAAAGTTATGTGAAAATTCGTAAATTTGGCATTTCTTGAAAACCAGTCTTTGAATCGTTCTGAAAATTTGGATATAAGCTTGATTTTTGATTCTCTACAACTTTTCCATTGACACCAAAATGGGTTTCTTTTGAAGAAAGTGCTCAAACTGTCACATATGACATATTGTCCGCCGAGTCATAGTCCCCAACCCAATATTTAGAAAATCTGAATAACTAGAAAAAAAATGACTGGAGATCGACTCGTGCTCATTCAAATGCTTGTAAAACGAGTTGTATACGCCCGATTTGAACGTTTTTAGTACAGAAATGTAGCCAAGATTTAGAACTACCATTCTGTATATAGTAAGTGATACGTTGAAATGAAAAATGAAAGTATTTAACTCACCCAAAACGACGAGTTGCATCGATCGAGCCAATTCGAAAATGCGCTCGATTTCTGTCTGGATTTCGGCTAAAAGAGTTTTATTAGCGAAAGCTAGTTCGAATGTTCTTTAAGAATATTAGGATGTTAGTTGAAAGTTTGAACTCTATAGAACTCTATAGGACTCTAGAGAACTCGATAGGACTCTAGAGAACTCGATAGGACTCTAGAGAACTCTATAGGACTCTAGAGAACTCTAGGGAACTCTATAAAACTCTCTAGAACTCTAGAGAACTCTATAGAACTCTCTAGAACTCTCTAGAACTCTATAGGACTCTCTAGAACTCTATAGAACTCTAGAGAACTCTATAGAACTCTATAGAACTCTCTAGAACTCTCTAGAACTCGCTAGAACTCTATAGGACTCTCTAGAGCTCTATAGCACTCTATAGAACTCTCTAGAGCTCTCTAGAACTCTCTAGAACTCTCTAGAGCTCTCTAGAACTCTCTAGAACTCTATAGAACTCTATAGAACTCTATAGAACTCTATAGAACTCTCTAGAGCTCTCTAGAACTCTCTAGAACTCTCTAGAACTCTCTAGAACTCTCTAGAACTCTATAGACCTCTCTAGAACTCTCTAGAACCTTTTTAAAAGCCAAATGATCCCCCAAGAGCCAAATTTGGCTGAAAAAGTGATATACTTTGAGCTCAACTTTGTAAAAACACCTCTTCTAGTGCACTGAATTCTTGTTTACCCGGATTTCTAGCAATTCAGCTGAATTTTATAAAGAAAAACAAGAAAATGAGAGAACTCACCAAGAAATTCTATTCTATTGCTGAATTCTATAAAGAAAAGATCACCAAAGATCACCAAAGATCACCAAAGATCAACAAATTTGAGCTCAAAGCACATTTAACCCAAAGTGATTAGTTTGAAAACGAAAGTTTAACGCCGAATTGCCCCAAAAAAAAAAACCCCTTTTTCTTCATTTTACCGGTGTCTACAACGACGTCGAACTCCTCTCTTACGCGGTCAACCCACGCTGCAAACAGCGAAAAGATGACTGCTGCAAAGTGCAAGTGGCTCCAAAAGAATTGGCCACGTTTACAAAGCAACAAAATTGGCCCAAAGCCAAAAAAGAGACCAAATGCCAGTATGGGGAATCGAACCCGGACCCTGCGGCTTGTAGGCAAGCTCACTGCCGACTGCACCACGGCAGTTATCAACAACCATCGAAACAAATGGCTGTAAAAGTCGCTCATAGGCTTAGGCTGAGCTCACCCAGGTGAGCCGAAAACAAGCGCGATCCGACTGTGCGAGTTTTGGTGGCTTTTTTTTCTGATCAACTCATCGTCGCCGTGGTCCAGTTGGGAGCGCGCTCGTCTACAAGCCAGAAGGTCCGGGTTCGACCCCCCGCAGTGCCTTTTTTCAATTTTTTATTGAAATTCCACAACTATATTAGATTCTAGTCTTTTCAAAGTCTAAAGACGACTGAGAAAAAGCCTACAGACGGACCAACGGACAGACACTTTTTATATAGATTTTCCGTTGATAAACTCAGAACTAAACAAAAAGCAATTGTAAAAACTCGATTTTCTTATCTAAACCATCGCTATCCTCATCTTTCTACGTTTGCGCAGTGAGTAGCGCGCTTGTCTACGGCTTACACGGTCCTGGTTCGACTCTCTGCTGTGTCATGATTTTTGCTTTTTAGAAAAAATGAAAGATGAGACGCAACTACATAGAATTTTAAGCCTAAACAACTAAAAATCATCTAAAACAGCCTAGAAAGAGGTGAGAATTCGCAGGACAGACAGACGGACAGATGGACAGACAGACAGACGGACAGACAGACAGACGGACAGACAGACAGACAGACGGACAGACGGACGGACAGACAGACGGACGGACAGACAGACAGGCAGGCAGACGAACAGACAGACAAACAGACAGACAGGCAGGCAGACGAACAGACAGACAGACAGACAGACAGACAGACAGACAGACAGACAGACAGACGGACAGACAGACAGACAGACAGACAGACGGACAGACAGACAGACAGACAGACAGACAGACAGACAGACAGACAGACGGACAGACAGACGGACAGACAGACAGACACTTCTCTTTCATATATCCTGTTTCAGAATTCGTTCAAATCAATTCAATTTCACATAAAACCAACCAAGACTATTGCTTGTTCGACTGTTCGCTCTTTCCATGATGGCTCGCTTTCGTGGATCGTTTAGCAGCGAGCGCTTTGCCAGCGAGATATCCGAGGTGACACGGGTGATGATGATTCTGGAAAACGTTTCCTGTACGCTAAAATCCATTATACATTCAGCTAAACGTTAAAGCTTTAGGCTTTTACAGTATTTCAGTTGAAAACTTGAGTACAGCAACTGGTATTCGCTCTAAAGCGCTCAATTAGTAAACCTAAGCCTAAGCCTAAGCCAACTACCGTACGGTACCGACTCCCGTACATAGCCTTTAATGAATCTCAGTTCGGCTAAAGTAGCCAGCTTATATACGAATATCAGACTACAGTAACGGCACGTTAAAGGGCACGCTTTAAAGCAGCTTTTTTGTTAATGGGAAGTGATTTCCGCGTCCTAATCAAGTAGATTGGCTTCTTAAATTAAAATTGAAAGAGATTAGGTTAGATTGAGCAGTTTCAAGCATCTAAAGCTATTAGTATTAGCTATTAGTAATCACAAGATGAGATAAGGAATCATTTTTAATGTTAACAACATTTTTCCTTTTTTTTTCTTCACTAGATCAGAGTGAAAAATGTGCCTAGATTCTGAGTTTTCATTGAAAAATTGAATAATGAAAACTTTTAAACTTTAAAACGACTTTAAAACAACTTTTAAACTTTAAAAGGACTTTACAACAACTTTAAAAGGACTTTACAACAACTTTAAAACGACTTTAAAACAACTTGACACCTTTAAAAGGACTTTAAAACGACTTGACACCTTTAAAAGGACTTTAAAAGGACTTTAAAACGACTTTACAACAACTTTAAAACGACTTGACACCTTTAAAACGACTTTAAAAGGACTTTACAACAACTTTAAAACGACTTGACACCTTTAAAACGACTTGACACCTTTAAAACGACTTTAAAACGACTTTAAAACGACTTTAAAACGACTTTAAAACGACTTGAAACACCTTTAAAACGACTTTTAAACTTTAAAACAACTTTAAAACAACTTTAAAACGACTTTAAAACAACTTGACACTTTTAAAAGGACTTTAAAACGACTTGAAACACCTTTAAAAGGACTTTAAAACGACTTGACACCTTTAAAAGGACTTTAAAAGAACTTTAAAACCACTTTAAAACCACTTGAAACACCTTTAAAACGACTTTTAAACTTTAAAACAACTTTAAAACGACTTTAAAACAACTTGACACTTTTAAAAGGACTTTAAAACGACTTGAAACACCTTTAAAAGAACTTTAAAACCACTTTAAAACCACTTGAAACACCTTTAAAACAACTTTTAAACTTTAAAACAACTTTAAAAACACCTTTAAAAGCTTTACAAAATCAGAAAACACGAACCGTCCCTCGAAGCGGTGCTTAAGATAGTCGAAGACAGCTTTTTGCATCATGTCTGTCACTTCGTAGCTGAAATATTGAGTAATTTGAATGGAATTTGGTTGAATTTGGTCTGAATTTAGTCTAAATTTGGTCTAAATTTGATATTTCCCTGAATTTCTCAACTTTTAAAAGTTTTACCCCTTTAGTGAGGGTCCAACGAGGACAACCGGTCGCATTGACGGCACTACGTCGTATGGAGGCACGTTCTCTTGCTGGAATGAAATAAATTCTATTGAGAATTGGCTTTTGATACGGTTTTTGATAAGGTTTTTAATATTTGATACGGCCCCGCCCCTTTGCCATTGGCAATCCAACTTTGAGCTCAAATTTCTCGGTGTTGGGCTGTCTAATTCTAATAGTTTTTATACCAATCGATAGATAAAGACTTGGCGCATCTAATGGTAACAAAGATATTTAAATTGGACAATTCAACACCAAGAAATTTGAGCTCAAAGTTTTGACAGTGGCAAAGGGGCAGATCAAACGTCCAACAATCAATTTCCGATACTAATTACCTCAATTTCTCTCAAAAATCTCAGCTAACTCACCTTTTTGAAGATCAACTTCTTTTTCTCTTTCGTGGGTGGCGTGGTGACGATGTCTTTCAATTTCTTGTGTGCGTGGTCGTCATCATCTGATAGTCCAGTTATTTTACGACTTTAACATCTTATAAACTTTAACATCTAATAGTCTAACAACTTTAAGCATTCATTAGTATCATTTCTCACCTGGTGTCGGCGGTGTGCTTCCCCGACTTCCACTCCTTGGCATCATGTTGTCTAAATTGCCGAGATTCGACGTTGAAGTTGATTGTTTGCTGAAAATGAGAAAATTGGCTGAGGGTCAGGCTTAGGCTTAGGCTTAGGCTTAGGCTTAGGTTTAGGCTTAGGCTTAGGCTCAGGCTTAGGCTCAGGCTGGCTTAGGCTGGCTTAGGCTGGCTTAGGCTGGCTTAGGCTGGCTTAGGCTCAGGCTCAGACTCTTCTGCTATTATAGCTGAAATCCTGCTTTTTCAGACGAGCTCTCCAATCAAATTCTAGACCGTCAAAAAAATTGCAAAAGACGGAGGCCGGGATTGAACCCGGATGGTCGGGAAGGAGAGGCCAGAGCGAGAGACCGGCGCTCTACCACTGCGCTGGTCCAGGCTTTCTAGTAAGCTTCCAGGCTTTCTAGGAAGCTTTTGGGCTTTCTAGGAAGCTTTTGGGCTTTCTAGGAAGCTTTTGGGCTTTCTAGGAAGCTTTTGGGCTTTCTAGGAAGCTTTTGGGCTTTCTAGGAAGCTTTTGGGCTTTCTAGGAAGCTTCCAGGCTTTCTAGTAAGCTTCCAGGCTTTCTAGGAAGCTTTTAGGCTTTCTAGGAAGCTTTTAGGCTTCCTAGCAAGCTTCCAGGCTTGGATGGGCTGCTTTTTTAGCCTTTTCATCTCAAGGGGCTTATTGAGAAGGCTCTAACGTTAACTATTAGCTTTGGAGCAATCTTTAACCTTAGATTTTGATTGATTTAATTACCCAATTTACTTCAATTACCATTTTCTATTATCTAATTTTGATCGAGAAGCTGATCACTCACAATTTTGTGCCCTTTGTATGGTGTTGTTGGCGAAGACTTTCGAGTTTCACTGGCGACGGGATGAAGCCGAGATCGTGCCCTTCTTTCACCAGCCGTCCAATCCACCAATCGTTATTGTACTTCTGAAATTTCGAAATCTCAAGCTATCACCATTTCTCTTAAAGGTTTAAAGCTAATTTAACCCACTCATTTGCATTTAACCCACTCATTTTGTACCTAAAACGTCTGTCGGTTATTTTTTCCCGTTGGCAATAGGTTTTTCGTCTTTTTCTCAATATCAACTCTTTGATTTTGACTATTTTAATTATCATTTGATGCAGAATTTGATTGCCCGTCGAATGATACCAAAATGAACTCAAAATATAATATCCATGCAAAGTTATGAAGCAAAAGGTTAAGCCTAGGTTTTTAGCTAATAACTTTGCATAGATATTATATTTTGAGTTCATTTTGATATCATTCGATGCGCAATTTGATTCTGCATCGAATCATAGTCAATATAGTCAAAATTAAATGGCTTTTACTGAGAAAACCCTCAAATTATCACCGGCAAAAGGCTAGGCTACGTTTTTAGCCAATAACTTTTTAGCTAACTTTGCATGGATATTATATTTTGGGTTCATTTTGGTATCATTCGATGTGCAATCAAATTTTGCATCGAATGATAATTAACAAAGTCAAAATAGAAGAGCTGGTATTGAGAAAAAGACGAAAAACCTTAAATTGCCAACGGCAAAAAAAAAGAACGGCCAGTTTTTAAGGTCTTTTGCTATTTATTTCACAGAAAGTTCTCTAACTTTCTACCAGGTTTCAAGAGGAGATTCAGGGCTATCAAACGACTATAATAGTTTCGTTTATTTCTGAATTTACATAAAGTAACGACAGTTAGCGACTACGCGACTTTACACTCAGAATACCGTCGTCAAAAATGTGTTCAAACGTTAAAGAGAGCTGAATTTCTTCTGTAAAAGCCTCAACTATTGAATCCTCAACTACTGAAGCCTCAACTACTGAATTCTATTTGTTCTATTTGTTCTATTTGGTCGTAGATTCAAGAAATCTATGTCTAGAGTCAAGAAATCTGTCTAGAGACAAGAAATCGATGTCTAGAGTCAAGAAATCTGTCTAGAGGCAGGAAATCTATGTCTAGAGTCAAGAAATCTATGTCTAGAGTCTAGAAATCTGTCTAGAGGCAGGAAATCTATGTCTAGAGTCAAGAAATCTGTCTAGAGACAAGAATTCTATGTCTAGAGTCAAGAAATCTATGTCTAGAGGCAGGAAATCTATGTCTAGAGTCAGAAATCTGTCTAAAGTCAAGAAATCTATGTCTAGAGTCAAGAAATCTGTCTAGAGACAAGAAATCTATGTCTAGAGTCAAGAAATCTATGTCTAGAGTCAAGAAATCTATGTCTAGAGTCAAGAAATCTATGTCTAGAGGCAGGAAATCTATGTCTAGAGTCAAGAAATCTATGTCTAGAGTCAAGAAATCTATGTCTAGAGGCAGGAAATCTATGTCTAGAGTCAAGAAATCTATGTCTAGAGTCAAGAAATCTATGTCTAGAGGCAGGAAATCTATGTCTAGAGTCAAGAAATCTGTCTAAAGTCAAGAAATCTATGTCTAGAGTCAGAAACCTCTGTCTAGAGTCTAGAAATCTGTCTAGAGTCTAGAAATCTATGTCTTTCTTTTCTTTTCCCTCTTTTCCCTCTTTTCCTTCTCTTCCTATCAAACGGCAACATTTCCCCATCTTTAGATCCAAAAAGGCGAGCAATTTTCGATGCTAATGAGCGCAATTTCTCTCAAAAAATTCTCCCCTCACCTATTTACTGAAAAAAAAATTTTGAAATCAGCTAAAGAAAGAATGAAAAGAAGATCGTACAGTCGCGTAGTCGGAAAAGATTTTATTTATTGTTTTTCAAAGCGTCCGTACTTTCAAAAAATGCGTTTTTGGTATCAAAAAATAGCTGAAATTCAGGGCTATTTTTTGATATTAAAACGAACATTTTAGCATAAACCAGTGTCGAGAAAAACTCGTTCAAAACTCGACTACGCAACACTCCGCACCGTCATTATGGGGCTGGGGTACTACTACAGTATTTACGGTAATTTCTTAGCTTCTTTCCAGGCTAGTAAGCTTTCTTAGAGAACCCAATTTTTTTTCTATTTGTTTAATTCGATTCATTTTAGCTATTTTAGCTATTTTAGCTAAGCTAAGCTAGCATTTTAAATCGTAAACTTTTCACAATATTACCTCTTTGATATGTAGAAAGTCTTTGACTTTGAAGGAAACGGCGCACCCGTGCACCGGACTGTCATCATCCAACGAACCATCATATTCAACATTTGTGCTAACGGCAAATGCCACCGGTTTATACTAAATAATGCAATCATTTTCTTGAAAATAGATCAATGTTTGCTATTGTTAATGTTTTAGATAAGTTTTCCTAAACGATTCTGGCCGGGTTGCACCCAAAATTTCAGGCTAAGTAAGCTTCCAGGCTTTCTAGGAAGCTTCCAGGCTTTCTAGGAAGCTTCCAGGCTTTCTAGGAAGCTTCCAGGCTTTCTAGGAAGCTTCCAGGCTTTCTAGGAAGCTTCCAGGCTTTCTAGGAAGCTTTCAGGCTTTCTAGGAAGCTTCCAGGCTTTCTAGGAAGCTTCCAGGCTTTCTAGGAAGCTCCCAGGCTTTCTGGTATGCTTTTAAGCTTTCTGGTATGCTTTTAAGCTTTCTAGTAAGCTTTTAAGCTTTCGAGTAAGCTTCCAGGCTTTCTGGTAAGCTTTTAGGCATTCTGGTAACCACTTATTTACTTCAATTCTTCTAAAACGTAAATTTTTGTCAACAATAAGAAAATCCAAGCTTCAGATCGGATCGAAACGGATCGAGCTAGCACGATTGGTCGGACTTATCGGATCGGATTGGGCTAGCCTGATCGTACGGATGGATCGGATTAGGCTAGCACGATCGGTCGGATGGATCGGATCGGATCGGGCTAGCCTGAACGGCCAGATGGATCGGATCGGATCGGATTGGGTTAGCCCGATCGGTCGGATGGATCGGATCGAATCGGGCTAGCCTGATCGGTCGGACGGATTGGATAGGATCGAATCGGTCCTGATCCGATCCGATGCGATAACTTCCTAGTATCGAAGTCAAAAGTCAAAGTTTCACAAAATTCCGTTCACAATTTCGCTTTCCAAATCGTCTATATAGTAAATCAAAAGGTTTTTAAAAAGAATCTAATTGTATTTGATCGTTTTGATACTCGATATCTCTTCTTTAGTCAAATCTTTGCGCTTTAGTTCGTCAAAACGCACATTTCTTTTCTTCAATTCTTCCAAAAACGTAAATTTTCGTGAAGAATCAGAAAATCAAAGCTTTTCTCACCTTAGCTCTTTCCAATTGCAATGCCGCTTGTCGTTCAGCGTCTCTTCGCATCGTTTCTCGATTTGATTCTTCGAGATCCATCTCCGAGCCATGATGGCTAAAATTCGAGTCGCCGCTTCCCTAAATAAAATAGATTTATAGGTTTATAGATTTTTATCGTTAAATGTTTAACTATAAGCTATTTAACTATAATAATATTATAATAATACTATAATAATACTATAATAATACTACAGGGCGGGTCATTATTTAAGTTAATTGTTGAATTGTACAGGGTGACCAAGAATTACCGCAACAACTTTTTGGAAGAGTATCTGGGAAATGTCTAATTTATTTCAAAAGTGGCAAGTGTTATTTAGAGAATTGTAGGCCTGAATCTTGGCTACATTTATCTACCAAAAACATCCCGATTCGACTTATACAACTCATTTAACAAGCGCTTGAATGAGCGCTAGTCGACTTCTCTCCGGCGAATCTGTCATTTGCCCGCTTTTCTCTATTAAAAATTGTTAAGAAAAGCTTTTCCAAAAACATTTAAATGTGATTCCTAATGTTATTAAGTGATATTAGACGCTATTTTTGCATTGAAGAAATATAGAAAAGCTTTTCTTAACAATTTTTAATAGAGAAAAGCGGACAAATGACAGATTCGCTGGAGAGAAGTCGACTAGCGATCATTCAAGCGCTTGTTAAATGAGCTGTAGAAGTTGAATCGGGATGTTTTTGGTAGATAAATGTAGCCAAGATTCAGGCCTACAATTCTCTAAATAACACTTGCCACTTTTGAAATAAATTAGACATTTCCCAGATCCTCTTCCAAAAAGTTGTTGCGGTAATTCTTGGTCACCCTGTATAATAATACTCTAAAATATTCTAGAATACTATAAAATACTATAAAAGTACTATAAAATACTATAAAATACTATAATAATACTCTAAAATACTATAAAATACTATAAAATAGGGGGTGGGACAAATGCCACCTTTTTTTTGCGCACCTGGAGATTTGCGCACCTTTTTTTGCTGGAAAAGGCCTTAGGAAAGGTCGTAGAGCTTCAAAAATGTATTCATAGAAGGGAATCGTATGCGTAGATTCCGAATTTCGACAAATCAGACCTCGCTGACACGTCAAATTTGGGCTAAAAGGCAAAAATTACGCAACTTAACGCTTTTCCGCAGTTTTTGCCTTTTAGCCCAAATTTGACGTGTCAGCGAGGTCTGATTTGTCGAAATTCGGAATCTACGCATACAATCCCCTTATATGGAATATTTTCGAAGCTCTACGACCTTGCCTAAGGCCTCTTCCAGCGAAAAAAAAGGTGCGCAAATGTCCAGGTGCGCAAAAAAAAGGTAGCATTTGTCTCTAAAGTACTCTAAAATACTATCAAATACTATAAAACACTATAATAACTCTATAATAACCCTATAATTATTCAATAAAACTCACGCGGCGGCGAAAGGCCATTCACGAGCGCTCACAAGTTTCCTTTGTGTCACCTCTGTCACCAATGATGATCTCTAAAAATTGCAAAGTTATATTTTAAAATGATTTGAAAATGAAATTAAATAAAACGATCAAAAAATGAGCTTACAAAGAGAAAATGAGGAAATTTGAGTGAGAAAAATGAGGAAAATGAGGAAACAAAGCGAACTGAGGGGAAAAAACGAGGAATCAAATGACTCTGGGGGGGGGGGAAGCGGTGATGGGTCATTGCAAATTTGAAATTGTTCTCAAATTCGCAGAACTTCGCTTTAAAACTCACTTTTCTAGGCTGCTCAGTTCAAAAAGTGCTCAAATTTTCTCTATAGCTTTCTAAATGCGTTCTAAATTCGTCTTTTCGGCTGAATTAAGCCTAGAAAAGTGAGTTTTAAACTTTCTAAGCAAAAAGTTATCTTTAAAAGCAAAAAGTTCGTCTTCTATCTTTTGATAGTCCATCTTTTTGATAGAAGGCTTTTTAACGAATATCTTCTATACTTTTGCTTGTAAACGCACGCTTTTTGGCGCATTGGCTTCGTTGGTTTTCTCGTGGAATTCGAAGCGCTTTGCTGAAGAATTTGATAGAATTTGATAGAGAGAAAATGAAGAATTTGATATTGGCACGCGCTTCTTTGCTATTGGCAACTTTGAGCTCAAATTTCTTGATGTTATTGCTGTCCAATTTAAATCTGTTTGGCATTCTTAGATGATCCAAGTCTTTCTCTATCGATTGGTAGAAAAACTATTAGAATTAGACAGTCCAACACCGAGAAATTTGAGTTCAAAGTTGCCAATAGCAAAAGAGTGGACGTCTTTTATACACGCCCCGCCCCCTTTGCCAATCCAACTTTAAACTCAGATATCTCGGTGTTAGGCTGTCCAATTTCAATAGTTTTTCTACCAATCAATAGAGAAAGACTTGGCTCATCTAATAATATTAAAAAGATTTCAATTGGACAGTCCAACACTGAGAAATTTGAGCTGAAAGTTGGATTGCCTGGCAAAAAAAGGCGCTTATCAAATTTCCGATAACCAGGAGCACTGTAGCTATTCTAAAGAGTACTGTGACTCATATCGGCTTTGTCTTAAGTAAACGGTGTTAGAAGCTTCAGTTAACGGAGCTTTCTTGCGGGATAGATAAGGAACCAAATTTAGATAGATAAGGAACCAAGATAAGGTCACGAATGGGCTACAATACCCTTGAGATAGTAGCAAAATGCCTATCACCGTATTTTTCTCAATAATTACGGCTTGAAGGCTAGCCAGAAGGGAGAGCTGCTCACAAATGGATTGTCGTCGGGAGGAGAGGAAATCCACTCAACGTGAAAGAATTGAAAAGGAGAGAAAGAGAAAGAAAGAGAAAAAGGGAGAAAAAAGGAGAGAAACAAGGTGAAAACCTAAGAAAAGAGGAAGCACGGGACAAATTTGCATTTAGGGAATGGGAAGGAGCTGTTATCGAATAGGAAAAAGAGATTAAAAAGTTTTCCAGGAAATGGAAAGAGTTTTTAAGCTTTTCCAGGGAATGGAAAGAGCTGTAAGTATATAAAAGTCTTTAAAGAAAGAAAATTGATTAATCAAAATCAGATTCAAAGCAAGTTCCAAGCAAGTTTTGACAGAAATCTAGACAGAAATGACTATCTAGAAAGAAATGACTTAGCTGTAGTCATAAAAATCTCATAGTCTTGCTTAGGTCAATGATTCTAGAGATGAGTCGCATCTCTAGAATCTCTAAAAAACGATTGAGTACCTTTTCTGGATACTGGAATAGAGAATTGACATAGAAAGGGAAAAAAGGGAAAAGACTTTGTGGCTTTACTTCCATCCATCCATTGGAGGAGAGGATGGAGGCCCAGAGAAAAGCGTGATCGATTTTTGGTGAGGCCCCCCCTTTCTCCCAGCGTATTCGAGAGATCTCTTCCCGTCAAAGAGCTTCTTCTTCCCTTTTCTTCTTCTTCCTCCCTTTTCTTCCTCTTCTTCCCTTTTCTTCCTCTTCTTCCCTTTTCTTCCTCTTCTTCCTCTTCTTCCCTTTTTTTCTTCTTCTTCTTCCCTTTTCTCTCTTTCTCCTTTTGAGAGCCACACATCTCGAAAATGCGCCTTGAAACAACGGAGAGTGACTGAAAAGAGAGAAAAAGGGGATGGGGACAGCCTCAACTTTGTGTGAAGAGGGTTAGACGAAGGGGTGAATCAGCTATGAACATCAGCCAGCTATCACCGTTTCTAGGCTTTTTAAACGTTAAATCTAAATAGGTCGATTCGTCGATTGGCTATTGACAGTTGGATTCGCCAGTCGCCAATCTAAACAGGTCGAGTTTTATGGATTAAAGCTGGGAAAACAAAACATGATTGGTGCCGGGACTCGAACCCACCACTTCTCGCTTACCAGATGAACGCTATACCAATGAGCTACACCGATAGTCTCCCTGTCGTCAGGATATGGCTTTACACATCGGGTAAACGATAGGGCAAAAAAATTTGCTGAAAATCAAAAATCTAAAGCCTAAAAATTTCACTGTGACATCCAGATCGAAGAAAAAACGCAATTAAAATAAAATTACTCATGCCAATTTTTCGGAATTATCACGAACTCCCGGCTGTCCATTATCGAGTACAATTTTTGTTGAAAATCAAAAATCCAAATCTAATAGATGACATCCAGATCAAAGAAAAAACGCAACTAAATTAAAATTGTTCTTGTCAATTTTTCGGAATCATCGCGAGCTCTCGGCTGTCCATTATCGAGTACAATTGTTTTGGTGAAAATCAAAAATCTGAATCTTAAAAATTCTAGTGTGTCATCCAGATCAAAGAAAAAACGCAATTTGAATAAAAGTGCTCTTGCCAATCTTTCGGAATTATCACGAACTCCCGGCTGTCCATCATCGAGTACAATTTTTTGTTGAAAATCAAAAATTTGAATCTTAAAAATTCTAGTGTGACATCCAGATCAAAGAAAAAACGCAATTAAAATAAAATAGCTCTTATCAATCTTCCGGAATAATCGCGAACTCCCGGCTGTCCATTATCGAGTACAATTGTTTTGGTGAAAATCAAAAATTTGAATCTTAAAAATTCTAGTGTGTCATCCAGATCAAAGAAAAAACGCAATTAAAATAGAATTACTCTTGCCAATCTTTCGGAATTATCACGAACTCCCGGCTGTCCATTATCGAGTACAATTTTTTGTTGAAAATCAAAAATTTGAATCTTAAAAATTCTAGTGTGTCATCCAGATCAAAGAGAAAACGCAATTAAAATAGAATTACTCTTGCCAATCTTTCGGAATTTCCAGGCTTAAACTAATTTCCAGGCTTAAATTGAGTTTAAAAAATAAAAATTTTTGAAAAATCAAAGAAAAATTCTATAAGAACCAAAAAATGACTTTTTGATAAACCGGAAGAGAACAAAATTTGGTTTTGAACAAAACACAACAAAAAACAAAATCTTTACTTTTTACTGCATTTTAAAAGTTGTCGAGTTGTTTTAGTTTTTATATTGGTTTTGCTTTTGTTTCAAGTTCATTTTTGGTTCTTATAGAATTTTCTTTTGTTTATTCAAAAAGTTTTGTTATTTAGGCTCAGCTTGAGACAAAGAAGTCTACAAAATAAGTTCTGCCAAACCGCCGAGAGTTCGCAATGATTCCGAAAGATTGGCAAGAACACTTTTATTCAAATTGGGTTTTTTCTTTGATCTGGATGTCACAGTGAAACTTTTAGGTTTTAGATTTTTGATTTTCAACAAAAAATTGTACTCGATGATGGACTGCCAAGAGCTCGAGATGATTCCGAAAGATTGGCAAGAGCACTTTTATTCAAATTGCGTTTTTTCTTTGATCTGGATGACACACTAGAATTTTTAAGATTCAGATTTTTGATTTTCCCTAGAATCTTTTTGCCTAGTCGTGGTTGCCGAGAGTTCGCAATGATTCCGAAAGATTGGCAAGAACACTTTTATTCAAATTGGGTTTTTTCTTTTATCTGGATGTCACAGTGAAACTTTTAGGTTTTAGATTTTTGATTTTCAACAAAAAATTGTACTCAATGATGGACAGCCGGGAGTTCGCAATGATTCCGAAAAATTGGCAAGAGTAATTTTATTTTAATTGCGTTTTTTCTTTGATCTGGATGACACACTAGAATTTTTAAGATTCAGATTTTTGATTTTCACCAAAAAAATTGTACTCGGCTTGCCTTTTGCCTTACTACCGCATCTTTTAGGCATCCATGGCCCTTAATTTTATTTAAATTTCGCTTTTTTCTTTTATCTGGATGTCACCCTAGAATTCTCTGAGCCAAAAGGTGTGCATTTCCAGAAAATACTCGATAGTAAAACTTGCTAATTTTTTCAAAACAAAACAAAAAACACTTTATCCTCTTGCATAAAAAAAAATAGTGTACTGAAAAAAATTGCCGAGTCTGAAAAACTTTTCTAGCTTATCACAAAACGATATAGTAAAGAAAATGTGTATGTAAAAATATAAAAAACGATTAAATTATCAACTTTTAACAGTTTAACAGCGATTACAGTAAAAAAAATGAGAAAAATAATATCATTCTTGTTCGAATCTCGAAAAACATAATGAAAAAGCCTCTTACGCTAATTTTAGCCTACCAATTAGAAAGTAGGCAAGGTGTCGGTTGATATCTCGTCGGTTGTCAAAATATCTCATCACATTGATGTTCTCTTTCTTCTTCCTCCAACGACTTCACCTTTAACTTTAAAGGAACTTTAAAGGAACCAAATAGGAACTATAAAGGAACTATAAAGGAACTATAAAGGAACTATAAAGGAACTATAAAGGAACTATAAAGGAACCAAATAGGAACTATAAAGGAACCAAATAGGAACTATAAAGGAACCAAATAGGAACTATAAAGAAACTTTAAAGGAACCAAATAGGAACTATAAAGAAACTTTAAAGGAACCAAATAGGAACTATAAAGAAACTTTAAAGGAACCAAATAGGAACTATAAAGGAACTTTAAAGGAACCAAATAGGAACTCTAAAGGAACTGTAAAGGAACCAAATAGGAACTATAAAGGAACTATAAAGATCACACCAGCTCACCAAGTCGCCAGAACAACACTGACAATAACCTCCGCACCGATGAGTGTCATCACTTCCCGTCATCGCCCCATATTTTTTTGACTTTTCGCAATATTCACACATTGCCAATCCGCATTGCAAATAGCTGTCCGGCAAATGGCAAAACTAAAAATTGATAAAAGTAGTTGGCATTTCAACGAAAAACCTATGTATACTACAAGATTTGTTGCTTTAATATCAATAAAAATTGCAAAACTTACACGGTTTTAAACATTCGGTACAAATGATGTGATTACAGCCAAGAGCAAGTGATTCGGTACAGTCAAGAGCAAGTGATTCGGTACAGTCAAGAGCAAGTGATTCCTTTCCATCAATGGCATCTTTCAATCTAAATAATCAAATAAGCATCTAACTTTGATGTTTCTATTCATGCACATGCTGTTTTTGTAATGGGTATCGTTGCATTTTTTAGTTCTGTACTAATAAACAGTAGCGTTATAAATACAATTTACTTTATGCTACCCTTCAGGTTTTAAATCCTGTTTAGATAACTGGTTTAACACTGTAGAAAGAACTTACTAACCTTTGTGTCGCCATCGACGAAGTCGACTCGACTAATAAGCATCTAATAAGCATTCGGTACAAATGATGTGATTACAGCCAAGAGCAAGTGATTCCTTTCCATCAATGGCATCTTTCAATCTAAAAATTCAAAGCCTCAGTTGCCACCAATATTCATATTTTTATCATTTTATTTATTAAGCAAGCCGTGAAACTCACACTCGTCGTGACAGATTGGCCATTCAGGGCATTTAAAAGCCTGAATATTTAATCTACACTGAAATAATCTTGCCAACCTTTTGAAGTAGATATCACCCCAGTTCGGCGAGAGCGTTAATGAGTCTTGTGAGATCACATCTAAACACAAAGCGTCAATTATTCTCTTACGCTAATTTTAGCCTACCAATTAGAAAGTCGGCAAGGTGCCGGTTGTTAAAATATCCCGTCACATTGATGTTCTCTTTCTTCTTCCTCCAACAACTTCTTCTTCGACTTTTCGAAATATTCGCACATTGCCAATCCGCATTGCAAATAGCTGTCCGGCAACTGGCACAACTAAAAATTGATAAAAACAATTGCTATTTCAACGAAAAACCATGTATACTACAAGATTTGTTGCTTTAATATCAATAAAAATTGCAAAACTTACACGGTGTCTCGTAGAGGATTCAATTGAGCGATTTCATTCCTGAAATTCATTCGATTTCATTCTTCATTCCTGAAAAGAACAACATCTTTGACAACAAGTTAGCAAAATGAAATGAAAAATAGAAGCGATCAAATAGAGCGTTGCAAATAATTTAAATTTGGCACCTCGATATTCGTCTCCCAAACGTCTATAGATGTACAAAGTACTTTCGGATATAACTTTTCATAGACTTATCTAATAAGCATCTAATAAGCATAAGCATCTAATAAGCATCTAATAAGCATCTAATAAGCATCTAATAAGTATCTAATAAGCATCTAATAAGCATAAGCATCTAATAAGCATCTAATAAGCATCTAATAAGCATCTAATAAGCATCTAATAAGCATCTAATAAGCATCTAATAAGCATCTAATAAGCAAAGCATCTAATTTTCGTATCAATCGATTGAATATTCTTGCGCAAATGTTGTGCCTTTTGGAGTTTTTGTAGTGACGATTCCTTTCTCTGTTGCGTTTTGTAAAAGCGATTATCGAATCGAAGAATAAAATGGATGAAAGAGAGAAAGCGGGGGTGGGACAAATGCGACCTTTTTTGCTGGAAAAGGCCTTAGGAAAGGTCGTAGAGCTTCAAAAATGTTTTCATAGAAGGGAATCGTATGCGTAGATTCCGAATTTCGACAAATCAGACCTCGCTGACACGTCAAATTTGGGCTAAAAGGCAAAAATTACGCAACTTAACGCTTTTCCGCAGTTTTTGCCTTTTAGCCCAAATTTGACGTCCCAGCGAGGTCTGATTTGTCAAATTCTGAATCTACGTATACGATTCCCTTCTATGAAAACATTTTTGAAGCTCTACGATGATCGGGCAATGCTAAAGTACTCATATTTTGGTTCTCCCAAAATATTACTCATCACTTTTTTCAATCACTTTTGATTGTTCTTTGATTTGAATGCAAAAAAGCTGATGAAATAGATTTCCCTTTAATTTTTGGGTTTTTATTTTCTAGTAGAAAAAAAAACAAAACAAAACCCCTTTCCCTTTTCCCAAAGAGGCGTCGGGTGAGAGGTAATTCTTTTCCTTTTCCCCACGTTCCCTTTATCAGTCTTACATTGACAACAACGAAACAAAATGTCCCAAATGAAATCAATCGCCCTTGCCCAACCACATTTTGCCTTGCCCAACCACCTTGCTTAACCACATTTTGCCTTGCCCAACCACTTCCCCACCAGCTCCATATTCTGCCTTATCCCTCCACAAAACGAATCTTTTATTTGTTTATTTATTTATTCGCTTTCTCCACTATTTTTTGATTTCATTCATTGGAAATTCTTCGAAAACTATTCGAAAATTAATTGAATTTTTGATTTGAACCGTTCCGAGCAATATATTCTTTTTAAAAAACCCTAATTTTTCCTTCAGCCTGTTTTTAGGGGAAATCCGACATGGGAAATCCGACCTGGGAAATCCGTTCTCCTTTTCCCGGGACAAAGAGGTGTGGGGTGAACGACACATTGGAAGACGTCTTTCTAACAGCACTGTCTCTGTGAAAACTGTTCTAAAGGAGTTGAATCTGCCTGTGACTTGTCAAACCGTCTACAATACAATTCTGCGATCAATACAAAGTACTTTCGGCTATAACTTTTCATAGACTTATCGAATTCGCATCTAATTTTCGTATCGATCAATAGAATATTCTTACGCAAATGTTTTGCCTTTTGGAGTTTGTTTTATTTGTTTTTTGGAGTTTTTGTAGTCAAAATTGCTTTCTCCGCTGCTTTTCTCAAAAATCAATCCATTCAATCGAAGAATCAAATAGAGGAAAGAGGAAGAGAGGAAGAGAGAAATGACAGTCTCTGCAGTCTTCCCTCTCGTCCCTTTCTTCTCTCACCAAAGTCCCCCTCTTTTTCATTCCACCAAAGTCCCTCCCCTCCCGGAGGTGAATGGGGTGGCAGACACCTCCCCTTTTTCATTTTCATTGACCATAAGTGTGTTACAAATGAAATGAATCAGTCTTCCCTAACCACATTTTGTCATTATCAGCTCCATATTCCGCCTTATCCCTCCAACAAACAATAGCCTTCTATTTGTTTATTCGTTTTCATTTTTCTTGAATTTTTGATTTGAATTTATTCGAATGATTTGAATGATTTGAGATTTGAGCAATGTTATTTTAAAAAACCCAAATTTTTCTTTTCAGACCGAATCGAAATGCCGCAAAAGATCGAAATCAATTTGGCCGGCGATATGAAAGTAAGCTTTAGAGAAAAACTTTAGAGAAGCTTTAGAGAAACCTTTCAAATTCCTTATATTCTTATATAAGTATCGTTGAATGATATTTATATGTATCATTGAATGATATTTATTATGTACAGTCGACGCTCGATAGTAAATCATTGAAGGGTTTCTCCAAAAATGATTGACTATCAAGCCTGATTTACTATCAAGCCTGATTGACTATCAAACCTGATTGACTATCAAGCCTGATTGACTATCGAGAGTTTTGCCTAATCTTCGATGTAAAGATGTAAGCCTCAACATTTACTCAACCGCAACATTTCCCTTTTTGCAAACCCCTTTTTTCCGCTCGAAAATCCCTACTACTCACAATTGATTGAAAAGAAAGAGAAAGCATCAGTTTTGAACGCAAAATCTTGCTTCCTTTTCAAGAAATGAGTCCATTTCTCATCGTTTTTTTGATCAATAAATGATTTCTTTTCCCATTTAGTTTCCCAAAACTGATCTCTATCATTCTTTGAAAAAATTCAACTTTCACTCTTTCTTTGCTTTACCAGTTGAGTCTCAGGCTCAGGCTCAAAGTGCATCCAGTGTACTTTGAGCTTAGATCGGTAAAAGCATCCCTTCTGGCATAAAACCGTTACTTTATGCTCAAATTTCGCAATTCTATCCCGCATTGAGTAGAATTTTATGCGATTTTCTTCAAAAGTGACACAATTTTGGCGTTTAAATTGTTTAAATGTTTACCATTAAAGGGATTCTCCAAAAGTGATTTACTATCGAAATATCGAAATACTATCGAGCTTTTGCCCTTGTATTTTCTTAAGCGTTTTGTCGGGAGTTTTCAAAGGTGATTTATTGTACTATCGAACTATCAAAGAAACTATCAAAGGGTCGACTGTATCTTGTTTGAATATTGAATATTTAAGCATTAACACAAGTGTTGATGATGAACCAGGAAGAGGACGGCCATCAGAATTCGATGACAAGGCACTTCTGGAAGCCGTTGAAGAAGACGAAAGCCTGACAACCAGAATGCTGGCAGATGAATTCAATGTTGACCAGTCAATCGTGCGCCATCTCAAAAAGCTTGGCAAAGTATGGAAATTGGCTGGATGGGTCCCACACGAACTCTCCGAGAAGAACCAAGCAGATCGCCTTCGAATTTTCACCGATTTGTTGCAACGAAACGAGGAAGCACCGTTTTTGAAGAATCTCGTCACAGGCGATGAATCATGGCTGTTGTTCAAGAACCTCAAAACTCATCAACACTTGTGTTACCGGACTTGAAACGATCGAACCATTCATAAACTGTTGCACGTCCAATTGTTCCTTGACCAAAAAGTTCTTTGAGATCGCGAAACGACTCTGCGGCAGACCATCCCTTTTCGAAGTGGTAGAGCATGATATGGCGAAGATGGATATGATTGTCGACACGCATTTTGTTCACTAAAGAATAACGAATATTTAAAAAAAAGAAATAGACAAAAAGCTTTCAAAACAAAAAAGATACAAGCACGCAAAAAGAAGTCCGGATAATTATGCATCAACCCAATACTATCGAACTATCAAAGAAACTATCAAAGGGTCGACTGTATCTTGTTTGAATATTGAATATTTAAGCATTAACATTTAATATTCAATTCCACAAACTCTTTTGTTTATCTTTAAGAAAAGCTAACGTTTCTGAGAGCTTTCGTGCACGTTTCGGACCAGTTTCAATCTAGAATTCTCAAAAAAAGACCCAACAACTTTTCAGGTATCGAATATTCTGCAAAAAGTCAACGCTTTACAATATAAATATCGAAAAAAAAGCCATATTTTAGTATCACTTCACAAGCGATGGAAAAGACTCGACCGGATGCTTTTTGACATTGCTCGGAACAGTCTGCGCCGGTTTTGCGGCATTCGCCCTTTATAAACAGTTCAAAAAGCTGTTTCGATTCGAAGAAACTGTCGGAAATGAAGTAAGAAGCCGACTTTTCGAGGGCACTTTTGAGATTTTCTGTAAAAATCAAAAAAAGAGGATCTAGATAAAATCTAGATTCGCCCCGAAACATCACCAGAACCAATTGCTCCTTTTCGATCGGTCGCTCCACCATCAGAGGAGATGGTAAATTTCAAAAATTTGAATATGATTTATGATTTATGATTATTTACATTATTTTAGAATGACTATAGCTATTTATATTATTTTAAATGACTTTAGAGCTATTTATATTATTTTAAATTGACTTTATAGCTGTTTATATTATTTTAAAATGACTTTAGAGCTATTTATATTATTTTAAAATGACTTTATAGCTGTTTATATTATTTTAAAATGACTTTATAGCTATTTATATTATTTTAGAATGACTATAGCTGTTTATATTATTTTTAAATGACTTTAGAGCTATTTATATTATTTTAAAATGGCTTTAGAGCTATTTATATTATTTTAAAATGACTTTATAGCTGTTTATATTATTTTAAATTGACTCTATAGCTATTTATATTATTTTAAAATGACTTTATAGCTATTTATATTATTTTAAATTGACTTTATAGCTATTTACATTATTTTAAAATGACTTTATAGCTATTTATATTATTTTAGAATGACTATAGCTATTTATATTATTTTAAAATGACTCTATAGCTATTTATATTATTTTAAATTGACTCTATAGCTATTTATATTATTTTAAAATGACTTTATATTTATGATGATGTACATTAAAATCTTATAATAAAACATAAACGATTTTAGGTAGAAGAACCATCATCTTCCAACAGTGACAACTTCTGTCGAGGAAACCGTCAATAGAGATTAATTCTTAGAGTTTTTTTTGTTAATTCAACGCTTAGTTTGAGTCTGCCTAGTCTAAGGATTGCACCGTGTTAACCGCTTTGTTTTAGCCTGTCTAGTCTAAGGATTGCACCGTGTTAGCTGCTTTGTTTTAGTCTTTCTAGTCTTGCACCGTGTTAGCCGCTTTGTTTTTGTTTTCTTTTTTGTTGAAATCTCATGAGTGAGCGTATAGCGATCTCTATTTTGTCACTTAGGCTTTTTGAAGCCTTGAATTCTAGTCCAATCTTGTCATTTTTAGGTTTTTTTGAAATTGCGCTCACTCAAAGCTCAAATATTGCCTATTCCAGCCCTCATAATATTGCCTATTCCAGAAATACGAGTAAAGAATCTACTTTTTTGTCAGCATTTGTTGTTCGATCTCCACCATGTTCAGGCCGGCCTGCTGATCTGCTTTTTTGCGATTTTTGTTTGTGATTGTAGATTTTTTATCGATTTAGGTAATAAAATTATTTCAAATAACAAGTGAAACAATAGCATAAAGAAAAAAACGAAAAAAAACCCGGCGTTCTTTTTGCTAGTAAATCAATGCTAGCCTCACACCTTTTACACACCACAAAATCGCCTTTTTTATTGCTAAAACTTTGAGGTTCTGATGTTTTTAGTTAGTTGACAATTCTTTTTGTTAGAATTTGAGTGTTTTTGAATGTCTTTAATGAATGTTCCAATACGGTTCCTATTTTGATCTAATACGGTTCCAATACGGTTCCAATTTTGATCTGATAATTCCAATACGGCTCTAATACGGGTACGGTTCCAATATGGTTCCAATATGGTTCCAATCTGGTTCCAATATGGTTCCAATCTGGTTCCAATATGGTTCCAATACGGTTCCAATACGGTTCCAATATGGTTCCAATCTGGTTCCAATATGGTTCCAATCTGGTTCCAATATGGTTCCAATACGGTTGCAATATGGTTCCAATATGGTTCGGATACATTTCGGGTACGGTTCCAATATGGTTCTAATATGGTTCCAATACGGTTCCAATATGGCTCCAATATGGTTCCAATATGGTTCCAATATGGTTCGGATACATTTCGGGTACGGTTCCAATCTGGTTCCAATATGGTTCCAATATGGTTCCAATATGGTTCGGATACATTTCGGGTACGGTTCCAATCTGGTTCCAATATGGTTCCAATCTGGTTCCAATTAGAGTGTGCTCCTTGTTGACAGACAATTTGTCAGACAAATTTTCATTGACAACTTTTTTGTCAGACAATTGATCCGACAAACTTCCGACAACGCGTTTTCTAAAAGGTGCGCTTTTTAAGCAAAGCTATAAAGGTCGCGCGAAAAAAATTTGCAAACTTTTCTTAATAATATAGTAATGGATAGTTTTATTTAAGGATTTAGGTTTTTTAGGGCGTGCAATTTTTTTTTGGAATGGTTCTAGTGCAAATGTAGACAATAGGCCTGGTAAATTCGTAAATAATATAATTTTTTAATAGTGTTTCTTAAATTTTCCCGTTTTAAATGTTTTCTTTAATTTTACATAGCATTTAAAAATTATTAAGTTTTAGCGAAAGAGTAATAGAGTTAAGGAAAGAGTAATATAGTTAAGGGAAGAGTAATAGAGTTAAGGGAAGAGTAATAGAGTTAAGGGAAGAGTAATAGAGTCAAGGGAAGAGTAATAGAGTTAAGGGAAGAGTAATAGAGTTAAGGGAAGAGTAATAGAGTTAAGGGAAGAGTAATAGAAGAAAAGAGCGCAAGATTTTAATGTACATTTGCATTTTAAAAAGTTTGCTGATGCAAAGCATAGGGTTACGGTAGCTTATCCTTGGCGCGCGCTTTTTAGAAAACGCGTTGTCTGCAAGGAACACACTCTAGTTCCAATACGGTTCCAATATGGTTCGGATACATTTCGGGTACGGTTCCAATATGGTTCCAATCTGGTTCCAATATGGTTCCAATATGGTTCCAATCTGGTTCCAATCTGGTTCCAATATGGTTCCAATCTGGTTCCAATATGGTTCCAATCTGGTTCCAATATGGTTCCAATATGGTTCCAATCTGGTTCCAATATGGTTCGGATACATTTCGGGTACGGTTCCAATATGGTTCCAATCTGGTTCCAATATGGTTCCAATATGGTTCCAATCTGGTTCCAATCTGGTTCCAATATGGTTCCAATCTGGTTCCAATATGGTTCCAATCTGGTTCCAATATGGTTCCAATATGGTTCCAATCTGGTTCCAATATGGTTCCAATCTGGTTCCAATATGGTTCCAATATGGTTCCAATCTGGTTCCAATCTGGTTCCAATATGGTTCCAATCTGGTTCCAATATGGTTCCAATCTGGTTCCAATCTGGTTCCAATATGGTTCCAATCTGGTTCCAATATGGTTCCAATATGGTTCCAATCTGGTTCCAATATGGTTCCAATATGGTTCCAATCTGGTTCCAATATGGTTCCAATCTGGTTCCAATATGGTTCCAATACGGTTCCAATACGGTTCTTTTTTTGATCTAATACGGTTCCAATACGGTTCCAATTTTGATCTAATAATTCCAATACGGCTCTAATACGGTTCCAATACGGTTCTTTTTTGATCTAATACGGTTCCAATACGGTTCCAATGAATGTTCCAATAATTTACAACAATAATAATAATACGGTTCCAATAATTTTTTCAAAACAAAAAACAAAAAACACTTTATCCTCTTGCATAAAAAAACAATAGTGTACTGAAAAAAATTGCCGAGTCTGAAAAACTTTTCTAGCTTATCACAAAACGATATAGTAAAGAAAATGTGTATGTAAAAATATGTAAAAATATAAAAAGCGTTTAAATTATCAACTTTTAACAGTTTAACAGCGATTACAGTAAAAAAAATGAGAAAAATAATATCATTCTTGTTCGAATCTCGAAAAAACATAATGAAAAAGTATAATGAAAAAGGATAATGAAAAGAAATTTAGCCTAAATTGATTTGAATTTGATTAATGATCAAAAAAAGAGGATTTTTGGAGCAAATAATGAAACCATTTTTTAAAGAATTACCAGTAAAATCTATTAGATAAAAATATAACAAAGAAATGTGAAAAAAGACAAAATTTGATTCGATTTTAACGAAAATTTTAAATATTTAAATATTTGATTTTTAAAAAGGCTTTAAAGTCAATGAAAAGTACTGTAAAGTTGTTAGAGAAAGCTTTAGATTACTGTAGGTTTTTCTATAGTTTCTATAGCTTCTATAGCTTCTATACCTTCTATAGCTTTTTCTATAGCTTCTATAGCTTTTTCTGTAGCTTCTATAGCTTCTATAGCTTCTATAGCTTCTTCTATAGCTTCTACAGCTTCTATAGCTTCTATAGCTTCTGTAGCTTTTTCTGTAGCTACTATAGCTTCTATAGCTTCTATAGCTTCTATAGCTTCTTCTATAGCTTCTACAGCTTCTATAGCTTCTATAGCTTCTGTAGCTTTTTCTGTAGCTACTATAGCTTCTATAGCTTCTATAGCTTCTATAGCTTCTTCTATAGCTTCTACAGCTTCTATAGCTTCTATAGCTTCTTCTATAGCTTCTATAGCTTCTATTAAATATTTAAACCTTACAGTACATTTACAGGACCTTTACGGTTAACGGCGGGGGTAGCGATTATCGGTCAAGTTTTTGACCAACTTGCACCCCGATTTTATATAGATTTCTCTCAATAACCTTTGATAAAATAAATAGTTTCTAAAAGCTGACATTCTACCCTATCTAAATCTTATTAAAACTTCCTGATTCGACAAGTTTAAGGTGCTTAAAGATGAGCTGCAAGTTGACCAAGAACCGATAACGAGGGAGGCGAGTTTATGACAAACTTTCAGCCCGATTTTAGAGAAGTTTTTCTCAATAACTTTTGATCAAACAAATATTTTCTGAAAGCTGACATTCTAAGCTATTTAGATCTTGTTAAAACTTTCTGATTCAACAAGTTTAAGGTGCTTAAAGATGAGCTGCAAGTTGACCAAAAAAATTGGTTCCCCTGCCTCTACCGTTAACCGTTTTCCATTTACAAAGAAATAAATCGAAAAAGTAAACGGCCAGGAAATGAGAGAAAAATGTGGTTTTTGAGGTAAATGGCTTTGAACAGGCTTGCAGACGGAAAGAAGCAGAAAATTCAATTGAATATCTTTTACTTATCAAAGAAAAAGTCAAGAAATGGGGTAGCTACGTTTTCCGCTTTTTCCTTTTTTTGTCGTCCGTAGCTACCCCATTTGTTGGGTTTTTCTTTGAAAATCATCAATATATAATAAGTAAAACCTTCGTCACACTTTTGAACCTAGAGAAATCACTCATAACACCAGAAACTACACCAAGAAAGCAGACTTTTTTGTTTCAGTCGGCTCAGTCGACTATTTGGCTCAGTCATTTTTGTGTCTAAGCCGTCTAAAATTATGCGCTTAGAAATTCTAAAAGGGAAACGCTTTGACAAAGATGTCAGGAGCGATCTGATTCCGATCTGATTTCGTTAAGAGCATCCGGAAAACTGATTTGGTTAAGAGCATTTGGAAAGCTGATTTCGTTAAGAGCTTAAGCGTTAAGAGCTTAAGCGTTAAGAGCTTAAGCGTTAAGAGCTTAAGCGTTAAGAGCTTCAGCGTTAAGAGCTTAGCTTAGCTTTCAAATTCAAATCAAATCCTACTGATCAGCCATTTTCGAGCTATAAGCCTTCAAAGCTTCGATCACTTTCGTCAAACAACAAGCTAGCTTACTTAAAGCCTTGACAACCAAGCTCTCGGTCTGCCTCGGTAACTCAGTAAGTAAGCTAGCTTGCTTTATGGCGAAAGTGTTAGCGCACAGGACTGGGATTTGTGGTTTTGTCCCTGGTTCGATTCCTGGTTTGGTAAACCTTTTTTTACTTCTTTATTAAGGTATAAAAATTGATTTTTAAGTGTTTTGTTGTGTTTACAAACATTAATTTGATGATTTGAGCCTTTAAGGTTAAACTCTGAGTAGAAGGCTTTCAGTGATAAGCCAACATTGAGCAACAACAAGAGCCGATGATCAGAGCCGATGGTCAGAGCCGATGATCAGAGCTGCTGATCAGAGCTGCTGATCAGAGCTGCTGATCAGAGCTGCTGATCAGAGCTGCTGATCAGAGCTGCTGATCAGAGCTGCTGATCAGAGCTGCTGATCAGAGCTGCTGATCAGAGCTGCTGATCAGAGCTGCTGATCAGAGCTGCTGATCAGAGCTGCTGATCAGAGCTGCTCATAAGAACCGCTGTTTGGCTCTTATCAGCTTGCCAAAAGATATTCAATTATTCGCTTCTTTTCCGCTTGCAAGCATTTTTCCGATTTAAACGCACTCTTTCAGACAAAATTGAGCCAAAATGCGTTTTAATTAGCACAAAGTAAACCTAAAAACTGGTAAATGAAGAGAAATGATTTTCTAATCCGATTCATCGGCTTCATCATGACTTTCATCTTTTTTCACTTTTTTCTCGGGAATTTCGATCGATGGAGATTCAGCTCTGATTTCAATTTTCGCTTCTTCTTCCTTTTCGTCTTCGTCTAGCTTTTCTTTTCGTTTCTCATTCGTTTCGGAGTACTGAAATCTTGTAAATAGTCTAGAAGCAATGACGGAGTAAGTTAGACAACTGTACAGTTGTCTAACTTTAAACATCCAATTCTCAGCACTCGTTTAAGTTACAGTTTTCGCTTGGATGTCAAAAGATAGCTCTTGAAATCTAGTATTTTTTGGTATCAAAAGTATAGTTGTGGAAAGTCTAGGGACTGAGAAAGAAACGATTTTCTAAAAAGAAGTTAGACTGCGACAGTAATCAGGAAAAAGTGCGTGAAAGCAGAAAAACGAAATGCGTTTTATTAGAGTATCAATCAAAACATCAAAAACTAAAAAGATAACCTGATTGGCAGTACGGGGGATCGAACCCTCATCCTGTGGGTTGTAGACCAGCAGGCTACCGACTGAGCCATGGGGACGGCTAGACGAGGAAGAAAAAAAACCGGGTAGAAACCCGGGTCGTCAGTTAGTCGCGTCCATCGTTAAGTGATTTCCAGTGAATCGCGGGTTTCTAGCTTGTTTTTTTCCTCCAAGTCTGGGCGTCGTCTTGGCTCAGTCGGGAGGGCGCTCGTCTACAACCTACACAAGGCAGGTTCGACTCCTCGCCGTGCCAATCAAATCAGATTTTTTGTTTTTTTACTGAAATGGGAAAACTACAAGATATTCTAAGGTTTTATAAAGAAGTTTTAACCAATAAAATGACCGTATAGACAGACAGACACTACTCTTTATAGTTAAGATAGATTACGATAGATTGTTAAGATCTTGACGACAATGGAAAGCTTAAAAGGCGATCTTAAGTCTTGAACAGATTTAAGATCTGTTCAAGATTGGTTCAAGATCGGTTCAAGATCAGTTCAAGGTCTGTTCAAGAGTTCAAGATCTGTTTAAGATCAGTTCAAGGTCTGTTCAAGGTCAGTTCAAGGTCTGTTCAAGATCAGTTCAAGTTCTGTTCAAGATTCGGCTCTAGTTATACGATCGAGTACTAGGGTTACCGAATTTAGCCTTTTCAGAAAGTCTTTCCATTTTTATATATTTACATTAGATTGTTAAGATCTTGACAATGGAAACCATAAAAGCCGATCTTCCTCACCTCATCCCCATTCCCTTCCATCTTCGCTTTTGTCTCATTTTCCTCGTTCTCTTTCTTCTCACTCGCAGCCATTTCCTCTTCTTTCACTTTTTTCACATCCGCTTTCTCTTCTTTTTCCTTTTTACGCTTCTCGGCGGCTTCTTGCTTTTCTTTTTCTTTTTTTGCCTGAAAATTGAAATAGATACAGTAAATTATATGGTTAATTTAGCTAATTTTAATCTAGCTAATTCTTAAACAAGTTCAGAGCTTCAATTTCAGAGTTTAAACCTACCAAGCCATGCTCTGAAATCTGGCTACGTGGGGATAGTGCTCACGGTTACGAGGCCGTGTTTTGTCCTGGTTTGACTTTACCGTAATCTTGCTACCGTAGTTCCTCTAATAAACGCCCCCCTGACCAACTTTGGACGCTTCGTTCTCAGCCCCATTTGGAGATATTTTTATGTTTAATATATCAAAAGATAGAAGACATTAAGGGCTATCTTTTGATATATTAAACATAAAGATATCTCAAAATGGGGCTGAGAACGAAGCGTCCAAAGTTGGTCAGGGGGGCGGGCGTTTATTAGAGGAAATACGGTACCGTAATCGGGCTTTATCAAATGCTTTATCAATGCTTTATCAAATGCTTTCCCTAATAAAAGAATCTTTTAGAAAAACTCTAGAATTTAAGAGGCAAATTTCACAAACTTTTCGCTCCTTTTCCCTTTTCGCTTTCTCTTGCAACTCGATGCGTTCTTTTTCTTGTTTCTCTAGTCGATGCTGGAAAATTGGCTTTTGATAGCTTTTAGAATATTCTAGATCTTCAATTCTAGATTTTACAAAGGAAACACATCCACTTACGGACGCCAATTACCCCTCAAAATTGATGAATAGATAGAATCGACTCTAGGCAACAAAATTTCAAAAATTCAGCTGTAAATCCAGCTGTATAGCTCTAAGAGCTCTAAGATTACGGTAGTTATAGTGTTTTGCATTAAGTAGATAAAGAATACTATATGTTAATGGTTGAAAATGGTCCAGAAAGTTTTTGAACTCGAGATTGCGAGCTAACTGAAAGCACTACCACTAGAACACCGCAGAGGCGTAGATAGAAATGTTTTTCATGGCGAAGGGCATTGCACTGCCCTCCAGGGCCCCCCACCGTCCTTCAGGGCCCCCCACCGCCTTCCAGAGCTCCCCACGGCCTTCCAGGGTCCCCCACCGCCTTCCAGGGCCCCCCACCGTCCTCCAGGGCCCCCCACCGCCTTCCAGGGCCCCCACCGTCCTCCAGGGCCCCCCACCGCCTTCCAGGGCCCCCACCGTCCTCCAGGGCCCCCACCGTCCTCCAGGGCCCCCACCGCCTTCCAGGGCCCCCCACCGCCTTCCAGGGCCCCCACCGTCCTCCAGGGCCCCCACCGTCCTCCAGGGCCCCCACCGCCTTCCAGGGCCCCCACCGTCCTCCAGGGCCCCCCACCGCCTTCCAGGGCCCCCACCGTCCTCCAGGGCCCCCACCGTCCTCCAGGGCCCCCACCGCCTTCCAGGGCCCCCACCGTCCTCCAGGGCCCCCCACCGTCCTCCAGGGCCCCCCCACCGCCTTCCAGGGCCCCCACCGTCCTCCAGGGCCCCCACCGTCCTCCAGGGCCCCCCACCGTCCTCCAGGGCCCCCCACCGTCTTCCAGGGCCCCCACCGTCCTCCAGGGCCCCCCACCGTCTTCCAGGGCCCCCACCGTCTTCCAGGGCCCCCCACCGTCTTCCAGGGCCCCCCTAGCTACGCCTTTGCCGCACAGTGAATCCACTGTGCTAACTAGGCCCAAGATCTTTGTGGAAAAAGAAACTCCATTGTCGCTAGACCTTACGATTAGTAAAAACACTATAACTACCGTAACCTTAGAGCTTTACAGCTGAATTTTTGATATGTTTTTCCTTAGAGTCGATTCTATGTTTTTTCTTAAAGTCGATTCTACTTCTCCACCAATTTTGAGGGGTAATTGGCGTCCGTAATGCATTGTTAGATTGATTTCCAATCTAACAAGGCAATACATTTCCAATTCCAGACAATTCCAGACAAGACAATTCTCAAATCCAACCTGTTTTCTTTCATCCTCGAATTTCCTCTGTAATTTCTCCAACGCTTCATCCTTTTCTTTTGCCATTTGTGCGAGCATTTCACGGTATTTACGCTCAGCTGTCGAGATATCGGCTTTCAATTGGGCTATCTACAAGATAATTGGGCTATCTACAAGACAATTGAGCTATCTAGAAGCCAATTGAGCTATCTAGAAGCTAATTAGGCTATCTAGAAGCCAATTGAGCTATTTAGAAGCCAATTGAGCTATCTAGAAGCCAATTGAGCTATCTAGAAGCTAATTAGGCTATCTAGAAGCCAATTGAGCTATCTAGAAGCCAATTGAGCTATCTAGAAGCCAATTGAGCTATCTAGAAGCCAATTGAGCTATCTAGAAGCCAATTGAGCTATCTAGAAGCTAATTAGGCTATCTAGAAGCCAATTGAGCTATCTAGAAGCCAATTGAGCTATCTAGAAGCTAATTAGGCTATCTAGAAGCCAATTGAGCTATCTACAAGCCAATTGAGCTATCTAGAAGCTAATTAGGCTATCTAGAAGCCAATTGAGCTATCTAGAAGCCAATTGAGCTATCTAGAAGCCAATTGAGCTATCTAGAAGCTAATTAGGCTATCTAGAAGCCAATTGAGCTATCTAGAAGCCAATTGAGCTATCTAGAAGCTAATTAGGCTATCTAGAAGCCAATTGAGCTATCTAGAAGCCAATTGAGCTATCTAGAAGCTAATTAGGCTATCTAGAAGCCAATTGAGCTATCTACAAGCCAATTGAGCTATCTAGAAGCTAATTAGGCTATCTAGAAGCCAATTGAGCTATCTAGAAGACATTTTAGATAAAGTAATCATTCTACAGTAAGCCATTCTACAGTAAGCCTATCGTAAGACTTTTGAAGGTGCAAAAGGTGTACTTTGTGCTTTCAAAACTCAAAACAAACCCTTTCTAGCTAAACTCAACGCATTTCTCTTCGTTTTCACGAGAAAGATGAAGAATTAGTGGACTAGAAAGGTTGCAAAATCTCTCACAAACCTCAGCATCTTTCCGCAACAACAACTTGTCTTTTCCATTAGCGACACGTTGCAATTCATCGACTTTTTCTTGAAGTTGTTGCATCTAAAAGTTTACAATAGCAAAGAGTACGTGATTGAAATTTAATTGAAATAAATTAAATTGAATTCATGACTTACTTGAATAACATTTTGACTGTTAACAGCTAAAACAGAAGTGTCGAGTTTTGGTTGTTTGTGAGGAGAAGCTTCTTTCTGGAAAGATTGATAGGGAATTGATGAAATTGATAGGGAATTGAGGAAATTGATAGGAAATTGATGAAATTGATAAGAAATCGATAAGAAATCGAGAAGAATTTCGATTCTAAAGCTTTTACTTACTTTTTACTTCAAATTTGAATACTTATACAGGGTGTAAGAGTTCAAAGACCGTTTGTGATGTCAAGAATGTGATGTCAAGAATGTGATGTCAAGAATGTGATGTCATGGGCGTGTAAAGCCAATAAAAATCAAAATTGGACCTTCATGCAAGATCTCCCGCTCACACGAAGAAGACGGTTCAGGACTGGTGTGTGGCCAACTTTCCCTTTGTGATCACCAAGGATGAATGGCCTCAAAACTCATCGGATCTCAATGTGATGGACTTTTCCATTTGGGCAATCTTAGAGGCTAATGTCTGCTCTCGAAAACACAAAGGATGATTTGACCAAAGGATGAAAGGCGATTCCTCAAGATGACATTCGGGCCGCAGTGAAGGCATATCCGAACCGATTAAGGGCTGTTATCAAGGCAAAAGGCGGTTATCAAGGCATTCATATCGAATGATCTCTTGGTTTCCTTATTTGTTACTGTTAAATAAAGCTATTTCTGTTTAAAAATCTTCTTCCAGTGAAACTTCTTGGTGTGCAATGCCTTGAGTATCTTGTTGCAACAATTATGACGCACCCTGTAGACCCTAGGAGAAGAGATTTAAATGCAAATTTTGCAGTTAAAGTACGAAAAATCGTTTTGTAGTTAATCGTAATGATTTTGATGTAAAAAACGATCAAATAATGACTAAATAATGATCAAAACTGACCAAATAATGATCAAATCTGATCAAATAATGACCAAATAATGGCCAAATAAACCAAATAATGACCAAATCTGACCAAATAAACCAAATCTGATCAAATCTGACCAAATCTGACCAAATCTGACCAAATAATGACCAAATAATGACCAAATAACCAAATAATGACCAAATAATGACTTTAGAAGGATTAGAAGGGTTAGAAATAAGCTAGAGATGAGATTGAGAGATAACATTGAGAGATAACATTTTAAAGTCTACCTTTGGTGGATCGGGATGTCTTTTCTTTGAGCTAGAGGAGAGGCGAGCCGTCGAGTGATGACGGAGTGGATCATTGTGATCGCGGTGAGAGAAACCCTGGATTTAGATTATAGATTTAAGATTATAGATATAGATTATGGATTTAAGCATATCTAAGTACTTAAATGAATCTAAATTGCTAGATTTTGTCGATAAATTGCTAATTTTGTAGATAAATTGCTCGATTTTGTGGTCAAATCGCTAATTTTGTGGCTAAATGTTGTGTCTGATTTGAATGAAACAATCTCAGTGAACAAAGCGTGCTTTTTACTGTTATCTTGAGTGTTTCTGACAAGAGAAGGTCAACTGGATAAGCCGGCTTATTATCTAAGCTAAATAGGCCATACCACTCGACATTGGCTGGTCAATTGACCGGCTCGAGAATACAGGCCAGTCAATTGGCTGACTCGAGAATACAGGCCAGTCAATTGGCTGACTCGAGAATACAGGCCAGGCAATTGGCCGGCTCGAGAATACAGGCCAGTCAATTGGCTGACTCGAGAATACAGGCCAGGCAATTGGCCGGCTCGAGAATACAGGCCAGTCAATTGGCTGACTCGAGAATACAGGCCAGTCAATTGGCTGACTCGAGAATACAGGCCAGGCAATTGGCCGGCTCGAGAATACAGGCCAGTCAATTGGCTGACTCGAGAATACAGGCCAGGCAATTGGCCGGCTCGAGAATACAGGCCAGTCAATTGGCTGACTCGAGAATACAGGCCAGTCAATTGGCTGACTCGAGAATACAGGCCAGGCAATTGGCCGGCTCGAGAATACAGGCCAGTCAATTGGCTGACTCGAGAATACAGGCCAGGCAATTGGCCGGCTTTTTTAACGACTGTATATTCTAAAAACCTGGCTTGTTATTGAGTTATTGTTATCTTTTAAGCTACTTCCTTTTTCCCAGGTTTTGTTTAAGGCTTCAAAACTCTCAATAGCTTGTATAGGTCTAAATCGGACGCCGCTGATACGTCCGATTTAAACACGGCATTCGATTTAGAACGAAAATACTTCCAGCGCTCTTCCAACTAAGTTTTTGGTGCCAATAGATGCAGAAATGTGGTAAATCTTTTTTGATTGAACCTGGAAGGGTAAAAAGTTAGAGGGAAAATACTGATTTATAAAATGTCGACGATTCAGCATCTATTGGTACCAAAAGCTTATTTGAAAGAGCGCTTGTTTCTGAATCAGTTTCTATATAAATGCTACCTTTTCTGGCGGCACTGGGATCCCATTCATCACTTCGACACCCTGTTGTCGAGCGATCATCACGCAGAGGCGGCAAAGAGCCGGCTTCTGGAATCAGAATTGATTTAAATAGGTATTGATAGTGTTTATTTCATAGAATTTGATTATATATTATTCTTAGATAAGCTTTTATAGCTTGTAGTTTTGTTTAAGCTGTCCTTTTGTCCTTCAAAAGTTTGTTTGTTATGTGCTCTCTCAGGCAATTTTTTCTTCCATCTTTCTTGGTTCTTTAAATATGAACCCAGTGTCAGAAAGGGTAGGTTTACGGGAACACAAAGTACAGCACAAAGTACAGCAAGTACAGCACAAAGTACAGTACAAAGTACAGCACAAAGTACAGCAAGTACAGCACAAAGTACAGCAAGTACAGCACAAAGTACAGCACGTACAGCAAGTACAGCACAAAGTACAGCAGAAAGTACAGCACGTACAGCACAAAGTACAGTACAAAGTACAGCACAAAGTACAGCAAGTACAGCACAAAGTACAGCAAGTACAGCACAAAGTACAGCACGTACAGCAAGTACAGCACAAAGTACAGCAGAAAGTACAGCACGTACAGCACAAAGTACAGTACAAAGTACAGCACAAAGTACAGCAAGTACAGCACAAAGTACAGCAAGTACAGCACAAAGTACAGCACGTACAGCACAAAGTACAGCAAGTACAGCACAAAGTACAGCACGTACAGCACAAAGTACAGCACGTACAGCACAAAGTACAGCAAGTACAGCACAAAGTACAGCACAAAGTACAGTACAAAGTACAGCACAAAGTACAGCACGTACAGCACAAAGCAAAGCACGTACAGCACAAAGTACAGCACAAAGTACAGCACAAAGTACAGCTCAAAGTACAGTACTAAGTACAGCAGAAAGTACAGCACGTACAGTACAGAGTACAGTACAATGTACAGCACAATGTACAGCACAAAGTACAGCACAAAGTACAGCACAATGTACAGCACAAAGTACAGCATAAACCCTATATTCTATCACCTTTGGATGTCGAGCGAAAGCCGATTTCATCTTGCAATTCGCGCACGGAACTGGGGAGCCATGTTTTCTGAAAATTCGCTTGAAAACTCTGTAATCGATCGTAAATTGATGTAAATTTGATTAAAATATTAAATTCGAGATATTTACTCGTTAATATCTCATTTCTAATCTGTAAATTATTAGCCAAAAAAACCTCTCCGACGAGCAGCAATAAACGCATTTCTCCTCGGTGAACGCGGCCGGCAATTTGCAATACGTGCAGTTTGTTGGCTAAAGTTTTAATCTATATATAGAGCTATATAAAGCTATATAAAGATCTATCTATTAGATCTATATAGAGCTATATAAAGATGGCTTTATAAATGGTAATTAGGTTTCTTTAAATCCTAATTACTTTTCTTTAAATCCTAATTACTTTTCTTTAAATCCTAATTAATTTTCCTTAAATCTTAATTAATTTTCCTTAAATCTTAATTAATTTCCCTTAAATCCTAATTAGTTTTCTTTAAATCCTACCGTAAATACTGTAATTGGACCCCACCCCCCTCGTACAGTCGCGTAGTCGCAAAGTCGCAAAAGTTTTTTAGTATTTCATTTTTTTTCAAAGCACCCGTACTTTCAAAAAATGCGTCTTTGGTATCAAAAAATAGCCCTGAATTTCAGCTATTTTTTGATACCAAAACGAACATTGTAGCATAAACGAGTGTCGAGAAAAACTCGTTCAAAGCTAGACTACACAACACTCCGCACCTTTTTTCACTTTTTTCAAGACGCCCGTACTTTCAAAAAATGCGTCTTTGGTATCAAAAAATAGCCCTGAATTTCAGCTATTTTTTGATACCAAAACGAACATTGTAGCATAAACGAGTGTCGAGAAAAACTCGTTCAAAGCTAGATGCTCCGGCCTACGCGATGCTCCGGCCGTCATTATGGGGGTGGGGTACTATTACAGTATTTACGGTAATTAGTTCTCTTTAAATCCTAATTAGTTTTCTTTAAGCTTATGCGAATTTTCTTTCAAACCTTTCCATATTTTTCCTCGTTTTTTCGACATTTTTCGCATTGAGGACCGCTGAAAAATGAAAAATACATTTGAAAACAAAAAGCAAACATTTCCCCATTCAACTCTTCATTTTTACAGCAAGTTTTTGCTTTTGCTGAAGCTGAAGCTTTTGCTGAAGCTGAAGCTTTTGCTGAAGCTGAAGTTTTTGCTGAAGCTGAAGTTTTTGCTTTGCGCTAGTTTCAACTCATTTACCCAATGCTTTGCCTTTTGATTGATTTAACTACCCAATCTTTTCGCTTAGCATTCAAATCTTTCACTGAAAACTAAAAAAACCTGTTTGCGGTTAGATTTCCTTGGCAATTGATGCAGCGCATCGTGTGCGAGGAGGAGGCGGATGCCATCTGAATAGAGAAATAAAGGATTAAAGCTTAGCTTTGTTTAGCTTAGCTTAGCTTAGCTTTGCTTAGCTTTGCTTAGCTTTGTTTAGCTTAACTTTGCGCTTAGCTTTGTTTAGCTTTGCTTTGTTTAGCTTAGCTGAATATTTATAAGCTGATTTTACTAATTTGTACTTTAAAATAAGCTTATAAGTATTTAAAAGAATCTCATAAGTCTTTTAAAAAAGCTTAAATACTATAAGAATACTATAAGAATTATCAGAATACTATAAGAATTATCAAAAAACAATAGTACAAGCAAGGCAATTGACCTTTCAAATGAAATAAGGCAATGAAAAAATGATTTATTATGTTTAAATGATTAAAACTCGATCAAATAGAGAGAAAAGAAATCTAGAAATGAAAGAAAACATAAAGAAATCAAAGAAATCATAAAGGAATCATAAAGGCATCATAAAGAAATCTAAAAAACGAAAAGAAATAGCAAGAACACCGGCAGAAGTGTTATCACAGAGACAATTATGCAATAATTGGTTTGATGTACTTTGTACTCTTGTAAACGTCTTGTAAACGCTGATAGGGATCACCAAGCTTACAAAGCTGACAGGGATCACAAAGCAGGGATCACCAAGCTGACAGGGATCACCAAGCAGGGATCACCAAGCTGACAGGGATCACCAAGCAGGGATCACCAAGCTGACAGGGATCACCAAGCAGGGATCACAAGGCTGACAGGGATCACCAAGCTTACAAAGCTGACAGGGATCACCAAGCAGGGATCACCAAGCTGACAGGGATCACCAAGCAGGGATCAGCAAGCTGACATGGATCACAAGGCTGACAGGGATCACCTAGCTGACAGGGATCACCTAGCTTACAAAGCTCACAGGGATCGCTGCAGGGATAACGTTTAGATTAGGGAAATTGGAGAAAGCTAATCTAATGGATAAAGTCTAGAGAAACAGAATAATAACAGAATAATACTTTAAATCTACTACGATGGAGCTTATGGTACCCAGCAATAAATCCTTGATGGAGTCACTCGGATGAAGAGCGATTCTCGATACCGACGAAGGCGATAGGTTCTGGAATTGAAGAATTTGTAATCAAGGAATGGGAAAAAAGATTTCTGGAGATGGATTGAACCCTCTTGTGCTTTCCTGGCTTTCCTGGCTTGCTCTGGCTTGCTCTGGCTTGCTCTAGCTTGCTCTGGCTTGCTCTGGCTTGCTCTAGCTTGCTCTGGCTTGCTCTGGCTTGCTCTGGCTTGCTCTGGCTTGCTCTAGCTTGCTCTGGCTTGCTCTGGCTTGCTCTGGCTTGCTCTGGCTTGCTCTGGCTTGCTCTGGCTTGCTCTAGCTTGCTCTAGCTTGCTCTGGCTTGCTCTAGCTTGCTCTGGCTTGCTCTGGCTTGCTCTGGCTTGCTATTCAGTCTTGTTATTCAGTCTTGCTATTCAGTCTTGCTATTCAGGCTTCCCAAATAAAGGAAATACAATCCGTATCACATCATCTGTACCATCTAACTACGTCGTTTCTTAACCTCTTTTAATCTTGATGAATCTTGATTCTTGTTGATCTTGTTTTGTTCTTTTTTGTTCTGGCCCTTAGTTACACTCACTATTGGCAAGATTTAAGGAAAACTCCAATCTTTTTCAGTAAAAGAAATTTCGGAGAAGGAAACCAGGGTCATTACCATCTGGGACGATGGGACTCACCGGTGGGTCCCAGGGTGACATGTGCTGGGCAGCTTTTTATGTCTATTGTTGATTCGCGCTTTGTCTTCAACCAAATAAACAGCCATTTTTGAATTTTTGCTTTGTTTGCTTCAATTTATGGCACAAAACCCTCAAATACTTTTTATAGTCTACCAATTTGTCTGGGTTTGGTCTAACTTACCGTAGATTCTCTAGAAAGTCATAAAAAGAAGTCTACGCGTTAGTCTATGCTTTAGTCTACGCGTCTACCTCAAGCTAGTCTACACGACTGTACAAGTGGCGTTCTATTCGTCTTTTTGTCGAAACTTTTTGCTAATTTAAATAGCCGCTCACTTGCTCGCCAATCCGAATTGTTTATCGTTACGTTCGGCGGTGAAAATTGGGTTCAAATCCTGAATGACAAAAGTTTAAAAGCATAAAAGCAACAAATCTAGATATGAGATCTAATAAAGCTCTAGATATGCTCTAATAAAGCTCCAGATCTGAGATCTACTCAAGCTCTAGATATGCTCTAATAAAGCTCTAGATATGCTCTAATAAAGCTCTAGATCTGAGATCTAGTCAAGCTCTAGATCTGAGATCTAATAAAGCTCCAGATATGAGATCTAGTAAAGCTCTAGATCTGCTCTAATAAAGCTCTAGATATGCTCTAATAAAGCTCTAGATCTGAGATCTAATAAAGCTCCAGTTATGAGATCTAGTAAAGCGCTAGATATGTCTAATAAAGCTCTAGATATGAGCTCTAATAAAGCGCTAGATATGCTCTAATAAAGCTCTAGATCCGAGATCTAATAAAGCTCTAGATATGAGATCTAGTAAAGCTCTAGATCTGCTCTAATAAAGCTCTAGATATACTCTAATAAAGCTCTAGATCTGAGATCTAATAAAGCTCTAGATACGATCTAATAAAGCTAAGCTAAGCCTAAGCTAAGCAAAGCAAAGCAAAGCTAAGCTAAAGCTCTAGATATGCTCCAATAAAGATTTATCAACTCACCTTGAAGATAATCTCACAAATTGCATCAAGATTCTCTAAAAAAACCTCGTGCCAGTTCCAGAATTCGATTCCTGAAATTTTATTGAAATAAAATGTTCATTACGTTTCGTTTTAGCTTTAAAATAGCTATTAAAAGGAAAAGCTAGCTAAAGTTTTGAAAACTTTCTCAATTTCACAACGATAATTGAACGCGATAGGGTGATCGAAGGCATTAGGGTGATCGAAATGAAACCAGCGTTTTTTAACTCAAATCTCTGCGAATTCTTTGTTTTCTAGTCTTGAATTATTGTTTTTTTCTTCTATTTGTTAGTTTTATTTTAATTTCATTTACTTGTCTTCACATATAATCTTGAATTCTTTAGGGATGGACGATCTGAATTCGCATTTATATGCTGTATGATTTTAACACATTCATGATGATGGGACCCACCGGTGGGACCCAGGGTGACTACCATCTGGAACAAGGGGACTCACCAGTGGGTCTCAGGGTGACTGCCATCTAGGACAACGGGACCCACCGGTGGGTTCAGGGTGATTGCCATCTGGGACAATCTGGGACAACGGGACCTACCAGTGGGTCCCCAGGGTGGCTGCCATCTGGAACAACGGGATCCACCGGTGGGACCCAGGGTCATTACCATCTGGGACAACGGGATCTACCGGTGGGACCCAGGGTGACTTCCATCTGAGACAATGGGACCTACCAGTGGGTCCCAGGGTGGCTGCCATCTGGAACAACGGGATCCACCGGTGGGACCCAGGGTCATTACCATCTGAGACAACGGGATCTACCGGTGGGACCCAGGGTGACTACCATCTGCAACGATGGGACTCACCGGTGGGTCCCAGGGTGACTGCCATCTGGAACAACGGGATCCACCGGTGGGACCCAGGGTCATTACCATCTGGGACAACGGGATCCACCGGTGGGATCCAGGGTCATTACCATCTGGGACAATGGGACTCACCGGTGGGTCCCGTAGCTAAACTAAATCGCGCTCGTCTCAGATGGAGGTTTCGCAAGAAAAAGCGCTCGTTGTGAATGTGTTAACGATGGATTCGGATTTCCCAACGCGACTTTACACCAAAAATACGAAACTGTTCAAAACTCTTACCTACGGAGAAGATATCTCTCTCGGAGTTGACCCATTGCTTCAGCATCCCGTTGATCACATTTGGCGTCGAATCAAGCAACTTTTGAAGAACCTGGATAAGAATGAGATAAAGATTTTGATGTTTGGATTACTGTAGGGGGATTTTAACGTCAGGATTACTAGGTGAATTTTAACGTCTGGATTACTGTATCTAATCTCTGAGCTTAAGCTTTACTGTAACTTTAACCCATTCTCTCACCAACCACTTTTCTCAAATCGATTCGCTCGTAGGAGAGACCGCTGAGCGCGTCGGTGGTGAATTCGACCTTCTGAAAAAGGGAGTTGTTCTTCAAAATGCATTTAAATTAGCATTTAAACCAAAAGGATTTTTGTTAGATCAAAAGGAAAGCTTTTTCCCGAGATTCTAACCTTTCCCGAGATCTCCACTCGTTTCACCAAAGCGCACCGTCTCAGCATTTGCAATATTCGATAGATTAGACTCTCTGGAAATTGGGATTGATTGAAATTGAACTTGCACTTGTTCAATGCACAATTCAGTGCACAATTCAGTGTACTTGAAGGTGTTTTTACAAGGTAAAGCATAGTTTAACCTAGCTTTGTTTATAATTCTTTTAATTCTATCTTTCAATCGCTCGCTAAAATCTTTTCTACCGATTTTATAGTGAGATTGCTTACCCAGGAATATCCCAAAGCAAATATAAACAAAGCGACACGCGAAGAAAAGAAAGTAGTGCTTTCCCTATAACCTATAACGCGGGGAATTCTTTTTACTCTCCACCTTAGACTCAGTAAATTTGCTTTATATGCTTGTTTTTACTTCTTTTCTGCGTTTCTACAACAACAGTTTATTTCACTCAAACGGCTCCGTAGCTGGCCTGCTATTTACCTAGGCTTGGACTGCGCAGCGCAGCTCTCTAGCGAAGCTCTCTAACGAAGCTCTCTAGCGAAGCTCTCTAGCGAAGCTCTCTAGCGAAGCTCTCTAGCGAAGCTCTCTAGCGAAGCTTTAGGCTTTTGATCCCTAGGCCCCTTAGGCTTTTGACCCCTAGGCCCCTAGGCTTTTGACCCTAGGCCCCTTAGGCTTTTGGCCCCTAGGCCCCTTAGGCTTTTGACCCCTAGGCCCCTTAGGCTTTTGGCCCCTAGGCCCCTTAGGCTTTTGACCCCTAGGCCCCTTAGGCTTTTGGCCCCTAGGCCCCTTAGGCTTTTGACCCCTAGGCCCCTTAGGCTTTTGACCCCTAGGCCCCTTAGGCTTTTGGCCCCTAGGCCCCTTAGGCTTTTGACCCCTAGGCCCCTTAGGCTTTTGATCCCTAGGCGTTTTCCTCGAAAACCATTGCCCATTCGCAAAAACTAAAAGCGCTATCGGATTGGCCGTACTAGACTTTCTGTTTTCACCTAATTCTCCTCCTGAAATCTCTTCTGACCATTCCCTTATCAGTCAGTATTATCAGTCCAAAAGGAAAGCACTTTATCACAGGGCCGCGTGCTAGACGACGAGCTATTGTGCGCGCGCACAAAGAACATTTCGCCAATCATTTACATAAGGATTTCTCTTTTGTAGATTACATAAAAAGAAGAGATTTAGGCGTAGATTTATAGGGTTTACAGGGTAAATTTGTAGGGTAAATTTGTAGGGTTTACAGGGTCGGGAAATCGATTGGAGATATTTATTTTATTGGAAAGCTTGGACCGAAGCTTTTATCAATTATCTCCAAAACAAACACTCCAAACCTTTATCAATTGTCACTTGTTCCTCGTGATGATCGATCACCATTAGAAAAGTGATCCATGATTTGTTGAAGAGAGCGTAGAGGTAGCCTTGTAGAACATTGAAGATCTAAAGTATAGTACTATGTACTAGTACAGTACATACTAGTACTTGTTATGGTGCAGGGTGTACAGGATCGAAGCATATTGCAAGTACAGTGCTTCACTTTGCACCTTGCACAGTACTAGAGCATTGCACTATGCCCTAGTACCACTTTCCTGTACTATGGACCCTACGTTCAGCCAGTACTATGGACCCTACGTTCAACACGTTCAGCACTAGCCCTACGTCCCAATACTATGCACAACGTTACTATCTTGTATCGAAAACCTGTGAATCTTGTATCGAAAAGTCTTGAAATCGACGCCATTTCAGCGGTAACATAATCGAAGCCGGCTCTGTTGTGTTCTCATAGAAAATTCGACCGTGCACCCCACGTTTCGTCTCGTTCTGGAATTCGTTTTAAAGAATAACAAACTTTGGGTACAATCTCTAATATTACTGAATGGATATAGTGCGGTGACAAGACAATAGAGCTAGCTAGAGCCTGAGCTAGCTAGAGCCTGAGCTAGCTAGAGCCTGAGCTAGCTAGAGCCTGAGCTAGCTAGAGCCTGAGCTAGCTAGAGCCTGAGCTAGCTAGAGCCTGAGCTAGCTAGAGCCTGAGCTAGCTAGAGCCTGAGCTAGCTAGAGCCTGAGCTAGCTAGAGCCTGAGCTAGCTTTCAGTTTTTTAACTTAAAGAGGTTGGCTGAATAAGCGAAATGCTTTAGTGGACAAGAAACTGGACTTGATCCATTTATGGCAAGACGATCAACCAATTGAGCTAAGAAAGGCTACTAATAAAGGCTATTAATAAAGGCTATTAATAAAGGCTACTAATAATGAAGGAATTGACAAGAAAAGTAGATTGAATCCTTGACCTTTCCTTGACAATTGTTTGGCAATTCCTCTCACAACTAAGCTATTAGAATTGTAAGCTTTCACTAACCATGACGATGAGTGCTCCATGGCAAAACTCGATCGAAACCTGTTGATAGTTTTTGTAGTTGCGCACGTTGTCGTCAACAAGACGCTGGAATCAATTTTTTTAGAAATTTCGCAATAATTTATATTAAATGTTTAACAGAACCAGGAATCTATAGAGTGGCGAATTATGGTGACATCTTTTTTTGAAAAAGTTGCCCCTGAATTATCCAAAGTTCCAAGTGTTATATAGAAAAAGAAAGCCCTTTTTCTTGGCTACATTTATCTACTAAAAACTTTCCAATCGAATTTATACAAATCATTTTACAAGCTTTTGAATAAGCTCAAGTAAGCCTCTCTCCAGCGATCTGCCATTTTTGACACTTTTCTTAATAATATCGGGATCGTTTTGTAAGCTAATTTGTAAGCTTTGTAAGCTATTTTGTAAGCTATTTTGTAAGCTATATTGTAAGCTATTCTGTAAGCTTTGTAAGCTATTTTGTAAGCTTTGTAAGCTATTTTGTAAACTATTTTGTAAGCTTTGTAAGCTATTTTGTAAGCTATATTGTAAGCTAATTAGTGCCCGTAAAGCTTTAACTCACTTGGATGTAAAGGGATGAGAGAATGAGCAGCTCCAACTCTTGAAAATCCATCAAGTTCAGGATTCGAAGCTGGAATTGTTAAGAAAACCTTGAGCTGTTAATTGAATCTATTAACAAATAGATTTCGAAAGATATCCAGCTAACAAGCAGCTAATGAACAGCTAACAGCTAACAGCTAATGAACAGCTAACAGCTAACAGCTAATGAACAGCTAACAGCTAGTGAACAGCTAACAGCTAACAAGCTAACAGCTAATGAACAGCTAACAGCTAACAAGCTAACAGCTAATGAACAGCTAACAGCTAACAAGCTAACAGCTAATGAACAGCTAACAGCTAACAGCTAAGTTCCTGACCTGAAGCTCGGTGGGCAATTTGGTGAATTGTGCGAATTCAAGGCTCGGCAATTGCTTTTCTTTCTGAAAATGAAAACGAAATATATATCGAATCTAAAACTAGCATAACTAGTTATCTAATTATCCAAATTATTATCTAAAATAGCTAGCCAAATCTCCAACAAACCGCACATTTCTCTCCGCCATCATCGCATCAAACGCTTTCCATGTGGCGTTCATCTTTTGACTCATTTGTAAAGGATTCATTTTTTTTTAAACCTTTAAAATATATTGCTAAATAGCCGCCAAATTTTTAGCAAACAAAACATTAAGGCTTGAAAAGCAAAACTTTTTTGATGCATGCCGGTTAAAAGGGGCACAAAGAGCGGCTGTAATTTGTAGCGCCAAGTACTTTATTGTGCAGTTGGATACCGTAAGCTTGAAGGTCTATGTTAGATCTATGAGCTTGAAAATGTAAAATAATGAATGTCATACCGTAAATACTGTAATAGTACCCCACCCCCATAATGACGGTGCGGAGTGTTGCGTAGTCTAGCTTTGGACGCGTTTTTCTCGACACTGGTTTATGCTACAATGTTCGTTTTGGTATCAAAAAATAGCCCTGAATTCCAGCTATTTTTTGATACCAAAGACGCATTTTTTTAAAGTACGGGTGCTTTGCAAAAAATGAAATACTAAAAAGCTTTTGCGACTGCGACTACGCGACTGTACGAGGGGGGTGGGGTCCAATTACACTATTTACGGTAAGTAAAGTGGCGCAAAACTTGGCGCAAAAATTGGCGCAAAAAGTGGCGAAAACAATGGCGGAAATTATGGCGGAAACAATGGCGTAAAAAGTGTCGCAAAAAGTGTCGCAAAAATGGCGCAAAAAGTGGCGCATAAAGTGGCGCAAAAAGTGTCGCAAAAAGTGGCGCAAAAAGTGGCGCAAAAAATGGCGGAAACAATGGCGTAAAAAGTGTCGCAAAAATGGCGCAAAAAGTGGCGCAAAAGTGGCGCAAAAAATGGCGCAAAAAATGTCGCAAAAAGTGGCGCAAAAAATGGCGTAAAAAATTGGCGGAAACAATGGCGTAAAAAGTGGCGCAAAAAGTGACGCAAAAAGTGGCGCAAAAGTGGCGCAAAAAGTGTCGCAAAAAGTGGCGTAAAAAGTGTCGCAAAAAGTGGCGTAAAAAGTGTCGCAAAAAGTGACGCAAAAAGTGGCGCAAAAGTGGCGCAAAAGTGGCGCAAAAAGGGTCGCAAAAAGTGGCGTAAAAAGTGTCGCAAAAATGGCGCAAAAAATGGCGTAAAAAATGGCGGAAAAATTGGCGGAAACAATGGCGTAAAAAATGGCATAAAAAATGGCGCAAAAATTTTTGAGGCAAATGATACGCAAATGAAAATTGGCGCAAATGATTCTAGCGCAAAAAACGCGGCGCTTTTGCTAGCATCTCGAAATTTAATATTCCCGAAACGTCTGCTAAATCGGTCAAAATAGCGCCTTTCAAAACAACGTCCAAACAAAAATTGCGCAAATTTTACTGCAACTGCGACTGTGACTGCGATTAGATTTTTCAACCCCAATTTTGTTAGACTTCTCATAACAACTTGTAACTTTTGTTATTTTAAAAACATTTGTAAGCACCTTGCGCATATTTTGACAAACCAACGGATTATTTCATCATCAGAATCATGTTTTATGGTCCATTTTGCGAGTGGGACAAATGCGACCTTTTTTTGCACTCCTTTTCGCCCATTATAACAAGGACTGCCCTAGACCCATATAATCGTTTTGTTAGATTCCTATTAACGTGTAGTTTTAAGGGATTGGCGCGAAAGCGGCGTGGTGCACTTTCCAAAGCGTGGATGCGCTACCGTACCCCCGCCCAAAAATTTTCCCTTTGGCCATTTTTTTTTTTCATTTTTTCATTCTATGATGGACTCGGAAACTTTCTGTTTGTTCAGATTTATGCCGAGTTTTCTTCCCTCCGTGAAATCTATTATGTTTTTGTGGAGCTTTTTTAAAGTGCTCTCTCCCCTCGTTCGTTCTCTCCTTTGTATATTGTTTGCCCATATTTGCTGTTTAAGTGTGCTGTGTTAGGTAAGGGATTTGGTTTCTTTAGGATTTCTTTAGAATTTTACAAATTCCTTTCAAAAAACTACATTAGAAAAGCTGTCAATGGGAACTTTCGCCGGCCACCCACGTATCCTGTTGATAAATGGAATGTTTACAGTCGTGTTATCCAATCTCAGCAACTTGTTAATGCAACACACGAGGCGTTTAATTCTTTATTGAAGGTTTGTTGGTAATTTCGGTATAATTTTTATTTATCTTTAGTCCGGACCAAAGAGTCCACATCCTGGTTACATTGTGTGTCGGCTTTACGGAGGAAACGATGAATGCTTTTAATCGCTTGAAGTTTGCTACGACTCGCAACCTTTCGTTGGTACAACAATATCCTCAGAGTAAAAAGGTTATTTTTCGCCAAGATCAACGTTTTCACGCTGTTTTAAATGGTAGAAACAATAGTGCCCATGTGAAATCTTTCATTGTTTTGTTTTGTTTTTCAAGTCCTTTCTGTCACCAACGAGCACGCTACAACCTGCCTGCCATTAAAAGAAACACAAGAGGTATTTATTGTTTGTTTAACTTACTGTTTCTAGTTTATATTTTTCAATACGTGTGATCCGATAACTGCTCAAACTACCCAGCTCCACACGCAAACGCAATGAAATTCTTTGCTACTAATTGGGGAATCGATATGCTACTTCAGGTATATTAAACCCTTTCCTTTTAACAACAAAAATTAAATACTTTTCGTTGAACATTTTGAAGTTTTCTTTTAGTCGTACGAAAGTAAACTGCCGGCATAAAGATGAAGCAACTGAAGTCCTTTCTGTCAACAACGAGCACGCTACAACCTGCCTGCCATTAAAAGAAACACAAGAGGCATTTATTGTTTTGTTTAACTTATTGTTTCTAGTTTCTATTTAGTTTCTGTTTATCTAAATACGTGAGATCCACTGCGGCGCCAAAAACGATCGAATTGCTGGAGTTCCGACGAAGGAAATTATTAAACGTCCTCAGATCTTGCCCACATCTATTGCTCTCCGTTTTTTCATTTCGTTAATTGAATAAGCAAGTTTTTATCTACTATTTTACTTGTTTACATCTGCTATTTTACTTCATCTACTTTTACTATGCATAAAAAACTAAAGCTTTTATCGAAACCTTCAAAAGAGCGTTGGATAGTCTACATTAAAATCTGAAATCATTAAAATTTTTTAGATGTGGTGCTGTTTTCACGGCGCTATTTGACTAGATCCCGCTAAATCATTCTTTACTTTTTTCGTCCCGAGATAAGCCTTTTTCAAAATTGCATTGTTTTTTGCTCATTAAGTACCTAACCTGTGCGGAATTTAGTAAATTACTGCTATGATCGAAGTTGAGTGAGAAGTTGGTGGTGTCATCAACTTTTTCTATGTCAAGATCTCGATTGAGTCTAAAATCTAGTTGTTGTTGAGTTTTTAAAAACTTATATCATTTATTTGTTGATAAAACGATAGAATCTGTTTCATTTCAGGTTTTCCGAAGAGTCTGAAACATTTGCTAAATCGCGAACGACGGCATAAATGAAAAAGTGTAAGTCGTTTGTGGGATTGCACTTTTTGTTCATCATTATAATGCAAAAACTATTCTTATTTTGGCAAGTCCCTAAACTAGTTGCTCTGAAAATATCGTAAAGTCAATTCGATGCTCAAAAATGGAGAAAGGAAGCAAGGGGCGGGCACCAAATTGAGAAATTTGCGCGAGATGCGTTTCTCGTTTCTGGCAGCCAATTTCGTGATCTCGACATGTGGTTCTCTTTTCCTATGAGCCATGCCCTTTAGCGGTCTTTTTCCAACAAAACTGATGACTCAAAGGGAATTAACTGAGTGTCTAAAGGAGGAGAATTGATTATTTGTGTCTTTGTGTATAAGCTATAATTTTTTCGATTTGTATTACCAGTTTTTCCAAAAACCTTGTATGCAATGTTGTGAATTTTTTTTACGAGTTTATTATGTGCAAACAAAATTGTTATCCAGTGAAAGGGTTTTGGCTTTTTGCAAAAAGTGATTTCACGAGTGCCGGTTATGCACATGTTAGGGGAATTTCATTTTTGAAATCGGTCCCCTCGATGGAAACGGGGTGGTTTAAGGGAGTAGGAAATGAGTTGGGGTGGGTGAAAAGAGGACGATGAGAAAGGATGGGCAAAGAGGGAGAAAGAGGGGAATCCCCGGGGGTTTTCCCTCCTCGTCTTGCGCCCTCATCCATCACCTCGCTAAGCAAGATCCGCACACACTCCCCATCTCCTCAATAACCAACACGTCCCCTCTTCATTCAAAGTTTTGCCTGAAAGCTCTTGAAAAAAAACCAAAACCCTTCACTTTTTATCAAACAAACGTTAAGATCAAGTAAATACGAAACTTGCTTATTGAAAGTTTGGTGGCAAATAGAGATCAAAATGAGCGACTGTGATCTGTAATTTCAATTTGACACTAACTTTATCAATAAGCACGTCTAAATAATCTAGGCAACATAGAATCGAAATACGGCACTCTGTATATTTTCGAGGAAACCCTGACGACTGGCACGACTTGATTTAGAGAATGGCCAAATCATTAACACAAAGATAAATACACGAGAAAATATCAGACAACAATAACAGCTTACAATATGAGAAAAACAATATGGAGCAATTCATTTTTTTTTGCGTAAAGCATGGCAATATTTTAAGAGCAGAAGGAGGTTTCTTTTAAGTGAGCAAACGCGGTAATGGCAAAATTAAAGCGAAATTTGTGATTTGAATGAGCGATTCGGGAGAAATGCGTCAAAAAGTTGTGTTCGGCTAAGTTAGGCACATGTGTGTAGAGAAATTGTGGGGGGAGATCAACCCTGTACTGGCTTACCAAATAAAGCACATCAAATTGTAGTTGGGAAAATGAGGCAATGGTGAACCTCTATAGCAAATTTTACTAGTAAAAAATTAAGCTTTTTATAACGTTTTTTAATTAACGCCTACGAATCGTTATAGAGGTTCGACCGTTTTAAAAAAAAGCATTGAATAAAAATCGACTGAGCATACATTTAGCGATGAACAAGAACTTCGCGTCGAGCACCGATCGGCAGCAGTTCGTCGTCAGCTGTCGCCACCACCGTTCGGCCACGAACCACCCGATTCCAGCATCTAAACAAAGTCGAGTTTAAAAACTGATTAGTAATTAAATAAAACATAAAACATTAAGCATAATTTAAACTCACTTTCGATAAGAAGCCGCTGTCTTGGCCGACATAATCCAAATCGCGCACGTGACGCCAACGACCAGTTGCAAAAGGTACTAAATTTAGTCATTAACTCTTTCAAAGTAAATAGAAGCCCGTTACTTTTTGCTAAATCTTGAATAAAACAAACTTTCACGACAAAGAGCATGATCTCGGGCTGAGCGACTGTCTCGTTTGACTTCATTTTAGGGCACAGCGTTGGTGATGTTTGAAATCCGAGATTTGTTCGATCGGTCCGCTCACAACGCTGTCCATACCAAGACTAAAAATTTAGATAGTTCGCCCATTTATAAATCTTTTTTTACTTCAATCCATAACGGCATTTTCCGCGATTGATAGAAGAGGATTCCGGTGAAAGCAGCAGTGGCCAGGATGTAGATTGACGAGAAGCCGGTAATTCTAAAAAGAGTTTGTATAAATCCTTCACAAAAATGAAACAAATACCTTAACATGAGCTTCTCGATCTTGTTGATCAACTTGTCGACGTCGTTGTGTTGCAATTTGATGTACTTTCTAATGCGAACCATCGAGAAAATGCCCATGATCAACAAAAAGAAACCGATGCCTAAAAAGTTTTATTAGAATTTGATGTACTTTCTTATATTGTTTTGTTTTGTACTGTTTTGCCTAAAATAGTAGTTTGTAGAAGAATACGACTAACCGAGTGCTGAAGCAATAGGGATCACAAGGTACATCATTAAGGCTTCTCCTTGCAAATTTCCGACAGAGCAGATTCCCGTGAAAACGTCACCATCAAACGAGTTAGTAATCTAAATTATAAAATTTTTGATATTGAAAACGTAAACAAACCAAGACAATAACGGCCAACACGGCTGGAAGTCCCCAGGCAAAAGCGTGAAAGTAGAGCCATAATGATTCTATGAATTCAAAACCCCAATGACGAGTGGCGGTCAAAAACCACGCCAAGCACAAAACGACCCACCTGGAACGAGTCAGTTATGTGTATTCTTTAGTTGGAAATTCAAAAGCAATGCAAATTTATTAATACTAAATACCAACACCTATCATTCTAATCATTAATAACTTGCCAAACACTGCTAGCAATGTTGAAAAAGTAGTGAGCGACGGCGAGCGCAGAGCATGGAAGCAATTCGACGCCTTGAGCCACCAGTGATGCACCTCCTGGTGAGGATTCGACGCACGAAAAGCGATCATCTCCAACAACACCTGGAAATTGAAATTGAATCAGTTAAAATCCATTTATCCAACATTTATCCAACACAAACCTATCATGTAGACGATTGAAAGCCCGAAGTAGCAAAGCGCCATGTAGAGAATCGGCCTCACCGGATATGTGAACCTATTTTCAAGATTATTTAAAGTAAACGAGTATCTGTACCTCTTCAAATCGACGAGGAACGTGCAGATGGTGAAAAGTGAGCAGAAGAAGCAAGCCACCGCACAAAGCCCAGTCCACAACCGAAGCCATCGTCTCGTTCGTGCATCGAAAAGAACAGGGACCTGAAGATTTGAATTTAGCACTTTTAAAGACCACTAAAGTTTGGCTACCAAACTTTGGCACTTTAATTCTAGTTGTTCAAGCTTGACATGAGCTTCCATGAATGGAAGCTCATGTCAAACTGGAATTTAATAAAATCTGAATTTGAATTTAAAACAACTTGGAAACTTTATTCACCTTTTTGTCAGCCTCGCACTGTATTGAGCACTCAGGTATTTTGCCGGAGACTAGCTGCAAGAAGGCGCCATTCGAGTGTGATTTCATTCTTGCCGGACACTCAAGTGTCGTCAACCCTGGGCCAGGTTGAGACTCCGGTGCCGGTGGTTCTCCTAAATAAACAAAATAAAAAGTTTATCATAATAACTTAGCCAGCTAAATTTAAAGCTCTAACGGCCATAATTACCTAACAATTACTCTAACAGCCATTACCTGATGTCTTGTTCTCGCCAACGCAAATCCCATCAATCGGGAAACGGTCGCACTCTAGCTGTTCAGGCCATCGGAAGCCAAATTTATTCATCAACGACTCGCATCCGTTCTTGGCACTCAAGCACAAATGACGACATGGCGGCAACGGTGTCTCCAACACTGTACAAACTGGCACATATCTAAAATACGCAATTCGGACTTGTTTTAATATAATTACACATAATTTTGATTACATACAATTTTGATTACCTGCAATTTCTCTTAAATACAATTTTGACATTGTCTCTTACAGTTTTAACATTATTTTTACTAAATAAGCAAATCCTTACACAGTGCAGAGAAACATCTTGATATCCTCGCTGCATTTGATCTTGATTAGTGGTTGAAATTGGCCAATAGCTGCCTCAGCATCCTAAAGTAGATACTTACATAGTTTTTAATCAAAAACATGACAAATGGTTGCTCAAAATCCTATCCTGTCATATTTGCTCACATTTCAAAAGCATGGTCAGCTGGTTTTTCTATATGCATAAAGCTCACAATAACATTTAGAATGCTGAATTATTTTATTCTTAATACCAATATCTGAAAGTCAGCTGCTAGTATAACTCCTGTTCTTTTTTCTCAATCAATAAACTCATCAAGTCCTGTAAAAGGGGTGATTCTCTAAAAATAAGTAAGTGAATGGCTTGGATTAGATCAGAAGCCAGCCAGCAAACTTTAGCACTTCATTTTATCCTCTGGTTGCTCAAAATTTTGCTATTTTGCTATTTTGCTATGGCTTTAATCAAAGTTCTGCCAACCAACCTTTTGATTTTGATGATTCAACAAATTCGGGTAGTGAGTGGTGTTGTATGGAAGCTCGCTGCACGTAGAAACCGTGATCGCTTCACAACGATTCGGATCGGCGATGTGTGGCTAAATCACAAACAATTTGAAGGGAAAAACAGTGTTATTAAAATTAGGAACTAATTCAAAAATTATGAAGCATTTGGTCATGCCACTTTTAATTACAACCTTTTTTAAGCGTACCTTTTCTCAATAAACAAATAAGAGTTTTTCATTATATTAAAACAAAGGTACTTATATTAAAACAAAGGTATGTATATTAAAACAAAGGTACTTATATTAAAACAAAGGTACTTATACATTTTAAATAACTTGGAGCTGTTCAGAAAAAGAAAAAAATCACGGCTTTTCTTATTTTTGCTTTATTAAATGCAAATTTCCTTGTAACCCCATCCTAGTGTAGTAGAGTTAAAGCTAGAGTTAAAGCTAGAGTTAAAGCTAGAGTTAAAGCTAGAGTTAAAGCTAGGGTTAAAGCTAGAGCTAAAGCTAGAGTTTGAACAGCTAGAGTTAAACAAACAAACTTGTCGAAAAATCTCTGAGTTCTGGGCGCCGACGAGCGCGAGAAGGAGCGCGTAGACGAGTCGCCTCATTCCTCTCTCGACTCAGTCACCCCACCCCACACGAAACGAGTACTTTCCTGGAAATAGACAGAAATTGCAAAATTTTAGATAGAACAACTTTTAAACGAAAGAAACATTTGTAAAACGACCAGAAAGAAGCTTAATTTTTGGGGTAGACTAATTTCCGCCATTTTATTTGCTCAACTAGCCATAACTTTCTTCTAAGTGGACCAATCTTTATGATTTTGGTGTCATTTTGTAGATCTCAATAAGTGCAACAAAATGACAGGAAAATTATAAAGATTGGCCTACTTAGAAGAAAGTTATGGCTAGCTGCGCAAAAGAGCTAGTTGCGCGAAAGAGCTAGTTGTGCAAAAAAAAAATGCGGAAATTAGCCTATTCCAAAGTTGCAAGATGTTATCATGCAAGGTGTTATAATGAAACTTTTCTTTATTTAAAAGTAACCGATTAATTGAACATCTGTCTCTGATAAAAGAATAATTAGCTTCAATTTTAATTTCCATTTACCATATTTTCTCTAATAGTAGTGCACCCTTCGCTTTGCCTAAATTCCTCGAAATCTCGAGAACCGCTTATCAAAACCTATCGATGTGGGGTCGGAAAATGTAGCTGATGATGAGATCTAGTGATGGATTAGAGTGTTGAGCTTCTGTAAAAGCTTGAAAACCGTAAAATAGTGACCAACTCGGCTCGCATGGAAAACATGAAAAACAATTTTCCAGCCGTATTCAATTTGTAACTTTCAAAAAAATTGAGCTATTTTAATATTTAGATATTATTTTTGCTATCTAGATCTTTCTTTTAATATCTAATCTAAATCTAAAGTATTGGAACCGTATTGGATCTAAAAAGAACCGTATTGAAACCGTATTGGAACCGTATTGGATCTAAAAAAACCGTATTGCAACCGTATTGGATCTAAAAAGAACCGTATTGGAACCGTATTGGATCTAAAAAGAACCGTATTGGATCTAAAAAGAACCGTATTGGATCTAAAAAGAACCGTATTGGAACCGTATTGGATCTAAAAAGAACCGTATTGGATCTAAAAAGAACCGTATTGGATCTAAAAAAAACCGTATTGGAACCGTATTGGAACCGTATTGGATCTAAAAAGAACCGTATTGAAACCGTATTGGATCTAAAAAGAACCGTATTGGATCTAAAAAAACCGTATTGGAACCGTATTGGATCTAAAAAGAACCGTATTGGAACCGTATTGGATCTAAAAAGAACCGTATTGGATCTAAAAAAAACCGTATTGGAACCGTATTGGAACCGTATTGGATCTAAAAAGAACCGTATTGAAACCGTATTGGATCTAAAAAAACCGTATTGGAACCGTATTGGATCTAAAAAAAACCGTATTGGATCTAAAAAAAACCGTATTGGAACCGTATTGGATCTAAAAAGAACCGTATTGGAACCATATTGAAACCGTATTGGAACCGTATTGAAACCGTATTGGATCTAAAAAAAACCGTATTGGATCTAAAAAAACCGTATTGGAACCGTATTGGATCTAAAAAGAACCGTATTGGAACCGTATTGGATCTAAATATTTTTTTTAATAATTTCAACTTATTCAAAGCTGTATTAGGTTTTTTATTCGAAAAATTTTTGAATAAAAGATATTTATAGCTGATAAAGATAAAAGCTGATAAGAAAACATATCGATTTTAAACTTAAATTCCTAAATTCTAAGGTTTTTGAGTTTAAAAAGTGCAACGGTAAACAGCTCATAATTCGGTGATAGTAATGGTGCTATAAATCAATCGGAGGGGAATAAATGTCTGCGTCTTTTCCAAAGCTTTCCATTCACCGTAATCCTATCGTCTTGACGAGACCCAACTCTTCTTTAAATTCAAATTTTCAGCCCTTATCCGGCGCCCAATCTACCGTAGTTGATACAAAGTTTGCGTGAAAAAGCAGCTGACAAAATTTTGTGTTGTAAGAGTGAGAAATTTGAATTCTGACTTAAATTTGAGATGCAAGAGAAGGTTCGATGATTGAGCACAAGACGCGCTTTGCGACTACGAGACCCACCACCGCACCCATTCCTAGTAAGTCCTGGGTTTGCTAAGGGCAATATTGGCAATATTGTAGATTGATTTGGTTTTGATTGGTTGATTTTGGTTGATTGGTTTTGGTTGGTTAGTTTTGGTTGGTTGTTTTTGGTTAGTTGTTTTTGATTGGTTGGTTTTGGTTGGTTGTTTTTGACTAGTTGCTTTTGACTAGTTGCTTTTGATTAGTTGATTTTTCTTTATTTAAAAGTAACCGATTATTTGAATATCTGTCTCTGATAAAAGAATAATTAGCTTCAATTTTAATTTTCATTTACCATATTTTCTCTAATAGTAGTGCACCTCTAATAGCGTCGCCTAAATTCCTCGAAATCTCGAGAACCGCTTATCAAATCCTATCGATGTGGGGTCGGAAAATGTAGCTGACGATGAGATCTAGCGGGGGATTAGAGTGTTGAGCTTCTGCAAAAGCTTGGAAACCGTAAAATAGTCACCAACTCGGCTCGCCGTGCACTACTATTAGAGAAAATACAGTATTATTTCGGGTTACTGCATTCAGTGCCCGGATTCATGAAATTTAGAATTTTTTCCAAATCAAAATGAATTTGGAACACTAAAAGTTCACACGTTTGGGACACTAAAAGATTGGTATCCATGAAGCATGATTTGAAATTTCAAACGTTTGGAATTCCAAATCGGTTTTCGTTAGTTGGTTTTGGTTGGCTGGTTTTGATTGGTTGGTCTTGGTTGGTTGGTTTTGGTTAGTTGGTTTTGGTTGTTTGGTTTTGGTTGGTTGGTTTTGGTTGGTTAGTTTTGATTGGTTGGTTTTGGTTGGTTGTTTTTGGTTGGTTAGTTTTGGTTGGTTAGTTTTAGTTGGTTAGTTTTGATTGGTTGGTTTTGGTTGGTTGGTTTTAGTTGCTTGCTTTTGGTTGGTTAGTTTTGATTGGTTGGTTTTGGTTGGTTGGTTTTAGTTGCTTGCTTTTGGTTGGTTGGTTTTAGTTGCTTGGTTTTGGTTGGTTGGTTTTAGTCGGTTGGTTTTGGTTGGTTAGTTTTGATTGGTTGGTTTTGGTTGGTTGGTTTTAGTTGCTTGGTTTTGGTTGGTTGGTTTTAGTCGGTTGGTTTTGGTTGGTTAGTTTTGATTGGTTGGTTTTGGTTGGTTAGTTTTAGTTGGTTGGTTTTGGTTGGTTAGTTTTGATTGGTTGGTTTTGGTTGGTTGTTTTTGGTTGGTTAGTTTTGGTTGGTTAGTTTTGGTTGCTTGGTTTTGGTTGCTTGGTTTTGGTTGGTTGGTTTTAGTTGGTTGGTTTTAGTTGGTTGGTTTTAGTTGGTTGGTTTTGGTTAGTTAGTTTTGCGGACTCATTTGCGAAAAATGAACTCAAGTAAGGAAACCTAAATGACTCGAAAAGGAAACACCTATCTATCTAAAGAACACCTAGCCAGATGACAGCGATTGTGCGCGCACAAAGTACACTTACACGGAGATTTTTGTTTTGTAGATGGTATAAAGACATATTCAGCTATCAATTTGGGGGTTTTCGGGGCCAGCGAATCGATTGAAGCTATTCATTTTTTTCCTTTGATCTCGACAATCATTAAATTTCAGTTGGTTGCCGGAACTTTGTCGAGTCTGGTGGATTGGGTGGATCCCCGTTATTCTCTTCTCCTCAAGGCATCTCTTCACCCACCGATTGCGCAATCACTCCGCCCGGTGTACTCACAAAGTTCGATATACTCAAAACGGTAAGTGACAAAGCTATCGTACGACTATAAGCCAATTAAGCAACAATTAACTGATAAGCAACTTTGCTATTGGGAATTTAACACAAGCTACTCGTAATTGGTCCTCTGTCTCGTCACCAGCTCGTAATCTAATCAAAATCCATATTCAGACAACGAGAATGGTGAGTGAAAGCAGTTCTCATCAAGCAGCACCCACACCAAGGGTTTTCCCTCCAATTCGGACAAACTCCACCCTAGCGCATTCACCGACAACATCATCACCGTCACCGATACGGTTTGTACACTATTTCTAGCTTATGCCAAGACCTGAATCTGGCTTTTAAACCTTGAACTGGTCTTAGTCCTGGTCTTGCCTAGCTTTAGGATTACCAGATCAGGATTGAATGCTTTAGGATTACCAGATCGGGATTTCTGGCCTGAGCGGCTGGCTTGCAGGGTCCAAAGCAGACTCTGATATCTATCTGGGAAATGTCTAATTTATTTAAAAAGTGGCAAGTGTTATTTAGAGAATTGTAGCCCTGAATCTTGGCTACATTTATCTATTAACAACTTTCCGATTCGATTTATACAACTCATTTAACGAGCGCTTGAATGAGCGCTAGTCGACATTGGGTACCTTGGCCGAGTCGTCACACTTTGAAGGCCCATAACTTTGTCTAGAGATAATATTATTCATAACTTTTTACATCATTGGATAGAGGACATTTCAGGCTTTCAAATGATACTAATTAGAGCTTGATTGGCTTTTTCATTCCCATGGAAACAAGACGACATGTTGGATAGGCCTCATTTGCTCAGAATTGGCTTTGATTTCTAGACTGGATTGTCCAATCAAGCTCTATTTAGTATCATTAGAAAGCCTGAAATCTCCTCTATACAATGATTACAATGATTCGTCAAAATATGATCTCTAGACAAATTTATAGGCCTTCAAAGTGTGACGACTCGGTCAAAATCCACTCCCGAGTCGGATAGGCCATTTGCTCAGAATTGGCTTTGATTTCTAGACTGGATTGTTCAATCAAGCTCTATTTGGTATCATTTGAAAGGCTGAAATCTCCTCTATTCAATGATCTTAAAAGATAAGGATAATATTATCTCTAGAAAAAGTTATAGGCCATCAAAGCCGACGATTCGTTCAAAGGATCTGGATTCTTTCAAAATATCAAAATATTTGCTAGATTTAGCGAAATCTAGACCCGATTTTGAAATAGAAAACTCTGAAATTTAGATCATCAAATCTTTCAGATCAGATCTTTCATCAAATCATCAAATTTCCAATCTTAGAACTCCGCAAAGCTCATTTCCTCGAATGTGTTGTCAAAGAGGAGAAGCCAGGAACAAATTGTTTTGCAAAACATGCACAATGCAGAAATGTTAGTTTTTGATTTTCTAGACTACTTTAAACTTCATTATTTAAGTTGCTATTTAAGTTAATTGTTGAATTGTACAGGGTGACCAAGAATTACCGCAACAACTTTTCGAACAAGTATCTGGGAAATGTCTAATTTATTTCAAAAGTGGCAAGTGTTATTTAGAGAATTGTAGTCCTGAATCTTGGCTACATTTATCTACCAAAAACATCCCGATTCGACTTATACAACTCATTTAACAAGCGCTTGAATGAGCGCTAGTCGACTTCTCTCCGGTGAATCTGTCATTTGGCCACTTTTCTCTATTAAAAATTGTTAAGAAAAGCTTTTCCAAAAACATTTAAATGTGATTCCTAATGTTATTAAGTGATATTAGACGCTATTTTTGCATTGAAGAAATATAGAAAAGCTTTTCTTAACAATTTTTAATAGAGAAAAGCGGGCAAATGACAGATTCGCCGGAGAGAAGTCGACTAGCGATCATTCAAGTGCTTGTTAAATGAGTTGTATAAGTCGAATCGGGATGTTTTTGGTAGATAAATGTAGCCAAGATTCAGGCCTACAATTCTCTAAATAACACTTGCCACTTTTGAAATAAATTAGACATTTCCCAGATACTTGTTCAAAAAGTTGTTGCGGTAATTCTTGGTCCAAAGTTGTTGCGGTAATTCTTGGTCACCCTGTAAGACAAATCTTTGATCCACCATAAAAAAGACAACATTCTTCAATTTCTCAAGCACAAAAGGGCTAATTTCTTGAACGGTTTAAGAAAATCTCAAAAAAAAATCTAAAAACTAAAAAATTTCAGTATCATTCTTGGCAAGGAAAGCGAAAATCCTGGAACGGCTTCAAATAAAGAAAGAGTTGCTGGCAAAGGCGGAGGGATTGATCAACAAAGTGGTGCATTTTAAGCCTTAAAGCTTAAAAAGGGATATAAAAGGATAAGAAAAGATAAAAAAGGATAAAAAAGGATAAAAAAGGATAAAAAAGGATAAAAAAAAGGATAAAAAGGATAAAAAAGGATAAGAAAAGATAAAAAAGGATAAAAAACACTTATAATCTAAGAAATTTCTCTGAAAATTAGCGTTTAAACCCTAAATTTATAAAACTAAATAAAACTTGCAAAGATTTGCAGTATGGTGATGATTTAAAAGTCGAGGAAATCGAGGCACGAGTGCAATCGCTGAAGACGCAAAGAGATGCGATGAAAGCCAATATTTTGGTGGGTTAAATATTGAATATTCGTTTTAGATATGTAAAGTATTTAATCTACCGTAAATACTGTAATAGTACCCCACCCTCATAATGACGGTACAGAGTGTTGTGTAGTCTAGCTTTGAACGAGCTTTTCTCGACACTGGTTTATGCTAAAATGTTCGTTTTGGTATCAAAAAATAGCCCTGAATTTCAGCTATTTTTTGATACCAAAGACGCATTTTTTGAAAGTACGGGCGCTTTGAAAAAAGTGAAAAAAGGTGCAGAGTGTTGTGTAGTCTAGCTTTGAACGGGCTTTTCTCGACACTGGTTTATGCTAAAATGTTCGTTTTGGTATCAAAAAATAGCCCTGAATTTCAGCTATTTTTTGATACCAAAAACGCATTTTTTGAAAGTACGGGCGCTTTGAAAAAAATGAAATACTAAAAAACTTTTGCGACTACGCGACTGTACGAGGGGGGTGGGGTACTATTACAGTATTTACGGTAGTTGTTCCTCTTTGCGCAGATGACAACCTGCTTCCACATTTCTCTATCACTTGCTATTGTCATCCAGTGTTTCCTATCTTGGTTGTTCCTGGTTCGAAGTCTTCGACTTGCTTGCGCTGGTGGTGGTTGCACTCTAACGGTCTCTGACCGTCTCTGCCACTTTCTCTGATCGTCTCTGCCACTCTTGTGCTCCACCTCGTTGCTGGTCTTCCGATGGGCCTCTTCTGGTCTCGTTGTAGCCACTCTGATTTCCATATCGACTTCGTATCGTCCATCTGTCGTCTGTTCTTCTGGCCGTCTTCTTCTTCTGTCGTGGCCGGCCCATCTGAGTCTTTTTCTGAGTCTTCCACTGGATCTCTGAGTCCCGAGAGCTGGCGCATATCCGTACTTCTTAGGTCTTGGTCAAGCTGCGTCTTATATACAGTATTTAATCTAATAAAATATACTTAAAAAAAATTGTTTAGGAACGACGAAAAGAGACCGAGAACATTCGAGCCGTTTACACGCGACGTGTTGGGAATCTTTGTGACAAGATTGAGGTTTGGAAATGATTTGAACACACAGCTTTCTAACTAAGGAAATGATTTTAAACTAGTTAACAAATTAACAATAACAAAATCTAAAGGTTAACAAATTCCGAGTTTTTTCCGAGAAAATCTTGCGCTTTAAAGTGTGGGAAAAGTGCCGTAATTCGCCGAAGTTGAGTCTTCCCTTTGTTTGACCACTTGGCCACTCGATGGCGCAGTGCAAGCGCCCAAGCGCACTGCGCACTTGTCTCCAGCCTAGAAAACTCGGAAACGTCGGCACTTTTGGTTTTTTAAAAATTAAAGAGCCTGTTGCACAACTAGATGGAATTCTAAACCAAACTATTGTCTTTTGAAATAGCTAGAAGTCTTTTGAAACACCCCACTGAGATAGTGCGCACAGACAGACAGACACAGTTTTTATATATAGTAGATTAGGTAGTTTTACCACAGATTAGGTAGTTTTACCACAAAGCACCAACCCAGGATTTTTTCGGAAAGTTTTCTCGGTATTTTGCTAGTAATAAATGACACTGGTGATCTGATATACGTTTGATTTGAAAGAAACAAAAGAGTCAAACGTTTCTAACTCCTTTATCATCTAGTATCTAACTCCTTTATCATACTTCTTACAGTAGCAACAGTTCTATAGATCAAAGACAAAATGCTTAACTAGTTAGCTGAATAGTAAATAACATTTTTGATTGATTTATGTTTTTGATGTTTAACTTACAGGCTAAATCGCCAAGTCTTGAGAACGCTGTGGTTAGACGGGATCGTACCGAAGCCTCTCAAAACAATGAGATCGCTACAGGAAGAGCAAAAGTAAGAAGCCTTATCAATTCCTATATAAGCCTGTCTTATCAATTCCTATACAATCTATAAAATAAATCTATATAATAATCCCAAAATTTGTCCTTTAGTTGGCAAGACTTCGACGCGAGTTGATGTTGCCCCTATTCTGCATCTTTCCCGTTTGCGAAGTGAAACCGATCATGAACACTTCGTCAGACTCAAAGCCGTCAAAGTAAATCTAGATCTATCTAGAGCTAATCTAGATCTAATCTATAGCTAATCTAGAGCTAATCTAGCTCTAATCTATAGCTAATCTAGATCTAATCTAGATCTAATCTAGATCTAATCTAGAGCTAATCTAGAGCTAATCTAGCTCTAATCTATAGCTAATCTAGATCTATCTAGATCTAATCTAGATCTAATCTAGAGCTAATCTAGCTCTAATCTAGAGCTAATCTAGATCTAATCTAGATCTAATCTAGAGCTAATCTAGAGCTAATCTAGATCTAATCTAGATCTAATCTAGATCTAATCTATAGCTAATCTAGAGCTAATCTAGATCTATCTAGATCTAATCTAGACCTAATCTAGATCTAATCTCTATCTAATCTAGAGCTAATCTAGATCTAATCTAGACCTAATCTAGACCTAATCTAGCTCTAATCTATAGCTAATCTAGATCTAATCTAGATCTAATCTAGAGCTAATCTAGATCTAATCTAGATCTAATCTAGATCTAATCTAGATCTAATCTAGCTCTAATCTATAGCTAATCTAGAGCTAATCTAGATCTATCTAGATCTAATCTAGATCTAATCTAGATCTAATCTATAGCTAATCTAGAGCTAATCTAGCTCTAATCTATAGCTAATCTAGATCTAATCTAGACCTAATCTAGATCTAATCTAGAGCTAATCTAGATCTATCTAGATCTAATCTAGACCTAATCTAGATCTAATCTCTATCTAATCTAGAGCTAATCTAGATCTAATCTAGACCTAATCTAGACCTAATCTAGCTCTAATCTATAGCTAATCTAGATCTAATCTAGATCTAATCTAGAGCTAATCTAGAGCTAATCTAGATCTAATCTATCCCTAATCTCTATCTCTCTCTCTGAGCTTTTAACTTCAGAGATTTGAAGCAAAAATTAAACCATCTAACTCTAACACAATTGCAGTGCCGATGCTTGGGCAGTTCTTCAAGATATGCTCCCAAATGGCGCTCATGATGCACCGATCTATCAGGTTTTTTTTGTTGAAAATAATCAATAGACAATTCTAAATGCTAAGGATACAGTTTTATGTCATTCTGTCTTTTCTAGGTCCGTGACGCGATGTGTTGTCTTGAGTCTCAAGTCTGTCGCTCAGATCTCTCAGAAGCAATCGAAAAGGGCACACTTTCGTTGCCAAAACAATTCCAGACGCAATTGGTTTGTTGGATAAGGGATATGTCAAAGATTGCTAGAATTGCTAGAATTGTTAGAGTTGCTAGAATAGTTAGAATTGCTAGAATCTAGTATAGAAAGACTGATTCTTGTGTACTTTGCATGGTAGCGCATCTTCTAGCGCAAAGTTCAGTTATTAATGGCATTCAAGTATCTTACTTGAATCTTGATTCTTATTTACATCTTACTTTAGGCATTCCGGCTCTTTCTCTGAATCGTGGTCTTTTAAAAGTTCCATGGTCTTTTCAGAGTTCCATGGTCTTTTCAAAGTTCCATGGTCTTCCTTAGTGCCTCTTCAATCTTCCTTAGTGCCTCTTCAACTGGAGCTCATAGAGGTAGAACGACATCGTTGTCAGCTTCAGCCTCGTCATCAGTGTTTGCATTCTTGTCGGTCATTTCTTTTTGGTGGTGACGGCGATTGGTGGTGGCTTGACGCCTTTTCGGCAATCGACAGCTAGCTAGCCATCTCAGCTCAGCAAAGCACGAATCTCAGCCTTCTGCGTCCGTCACAGCCAACATCTCTGCCATTTCAGTCGGACTCACAGCCTCGACTTCTTCTTGGCTGTTGATCGTCTCGTTTTCAAGCCTCATCACGATTTGTGGTGCATCGGTTTCGACCTCTTCATCCTCTTCAATAACGTTAAAACAATTTCAAAAGACTTTTTGGTAAAAGAGTAAATTGAAAAAGACCACGAAACGGTCTTTTTTTTGACAAAAGACCACAAAACTTTTAAAAGATCACAAAACTTTTAAAAGATCACAAAACTTTTAAAAGACTACGATTCAAGAAAAGAGCTAGCATTCCTTGTCCTTTAATAGTTGATATCTTTTCAGGCAGCTTTCATGTTCACTGTTCAATTGGTGACCCTTCTTGCTCAAGTCAATGACATTGTACTGCCACATTCGGTGAGTGAAGACTACTATCTTTGAAGAGGAATTCTACAAAGATAGTAGAATTCGAGACTTACAGCTCGATTCAAGGCCAGTTTGCATATCTTGCATTCAACTTATCTTTGATAGCTGAACAGGAAAAGAAGTAGGAGACTAGGAGGCCTTAAACTCTTGACTAGGAGGCCTTAAACTCTTGACTAGAAGGCCTTAAACTCTTGACTAGGAGGCCTTAAACTCTTGACTAGAAGGCCTTAAACTCTTGACTAGGAGGCCTTAAACTCTTGACTAGAAGGCCTTAAACTCTTGACTAGGAGGCCTTAAACTCTTGACTAGGAGGCCTTAAACTCTTGACTAGGAGACCTTAAACTCTTGACTAGGAGGCCTTAAACTCTTGACTAGGAGGCCTTAAACTCTTGACTAGGAGGCCTTAAACTCTTGACTAGGAGACCTTAAACTCTTGACTAGGAGGCCTTAAACTCTTGACTAGGAGGCCTTAAACTCTTGACTAGGAGGCCTTAAACTCTTGACTAGGAGGCCTTAAACTCTTGACTAGGAGGCCTTAAACTCTTGATTAGGATACAAGGCTCTTAGCCAATCAACTATAACAGAATCTTAACCAATCAGCTATAACAGAATCTTAACCAATCACTCATGACGGTCATGACGGCCAAATGAAGTTCCTCTAAAGGTCAAGTTGAAGATAACAAGCTCAAGATACCAAGTTCAAATTGTCATAGACTAAACGAGCAAGCCAAACTTTAGATGAGCATGCGAGACATTTGCGTATGGGAGCGTTGGTCGCCGGATCTCCTGGAAACAGATTGGTTCAAATTGTGCCATTGTGTCTACACAATTTGCTTAGCTTATCAGATGAAACCACCGGTGGGTTGATGGAAAAAATGGTAGTGTTTAAGGTGGTCCTTGGCAGTATACTAACCAGTGCGTATATGCGGTATACTGTGCGAATGTGCGGTATACTAATCACCCGTAAACAAATGGCGTATACAAATGTGCGGTATACTACTAAAGACGGTCTACTTTACAGTGCCTGTTTTAGCCTCATATTCTAACGCTAGATTTCAGGAGATTCAATTCCTTTCCCCTCATCACAATTTGATCCAGCTGGCGCTGAAGGTTTTGAATGGACCAGTTGAGGTTAGTGAAAAAGAGCTTCATAAAGATTTTCGGTAAACAAGAAAGATCTTGAGATTGAGCTTGGGCTTGAGCTTGGGCTTGAGCTTGGGCTTGAGCTAGATCTTTAGCTTGAGCTTGATCTTGGGCTTGAGCTTGAGCTTGATCTTGAGCTTGATCTTGAGCTTGATCTAGAGCTTGATCCAGAGTTTGATCTTGATCTTGAGCTAGATCTTTAGCTTGATCTTTAGCTTGAGCTTGATCTTGATCTTGAGCTTGATCTTGAGCTTGATCTAGAGCTTGATCCAGAGTTTGATCTTGATCTTGAGCTAGATCTTTAGCTTGATCTTTAGCTTGAGCTTGATCTTGATCTTGATCTTGATCTTTAGCTTGATCTTGAGCTTGATTTGCTTTCAGACGATTTCCCCACAAAATCTTGATCAAAAGGAAATCACCGCTGCAAAGGAGAGACTCCGTTGGCGAGAAAGGGATCACTTGGTGAGTAAAGTTTTCAAAACTGATGCTTAAATTCAATAATATTCAATAATATTCAATAATATTCAATAATATTCAATAATATTCAATGATATTCAATAATATTCAATAATATTCAATAATATTCAATAATATTCAATGATATTCAATAATATTCAATTCAATTCCTTTCTAACCTACTGGATTCTCAATTTTCATGCAAATCAAATGCAAATCAATTACAAATCAATTACAAATCAATCAAATCTAAACATTTCTTTGAAAGAATGATGGAATTATCCAATAGCTTTTAATTAATATTACAAAAAAGAGAAATTTCAGGCTGAATGGGACACATTAGACGATGTTGACGATGAGGCGTTTTAAAAATGAAAATTTCTTCAAACTTCTCACATCATTATGAACATTTTTGTATAGTTTTACACATAGGAAACTCAAAAAACAAAGCTTTGTTGAGCTTTGCTCAGCTTTGTTGAGCTTTGCTCAGCTTTGTTGAGCTTTGCTCAGCTTTGTTGAGCTTTGCTCAGCTTTGTTGAGCTTTGCTCAGCTTTGTTGAGCTTTGCTCAGCTTTGCTCAGCTTTGTTCAGCTTTGCTCAGCTTTGTTGAGCTTTGTTGAGCTTTGTTGAGCTTTGCTCAGCTTTGTTGAGCTTTGTTGAGCTTTGTTGAGCTTTGTTGAGCTTTGCTCAGCTTTCCTCAGCTTTGTTCAGCTTTGCTCAGCTTTGTTCAGCTTTGCTCAGCTTTGTTGAGCTTTGCTCAGCTTTGCTCAGCTTTGTTGAGCTTTGCTCAGCTTTGCTCAGCTTTGTTCAGCTTTGTTGAGCTTTGTTCAGCTTTGCTCAGCTTTGTTAAGCTTTGTTCAGCTTTGTTGAGCTTTGTTGAGCTTTGCTCAGCTTTCCTCAGCTTTCCTCAGCTTTGCTCAGCTTTGTTCAGCCTCATCTTTCTTCATCTTTCTTCATCTTTCTTCATCTTTCTTCATCTTTCTTCATCTTTCGATTCACCTTAACAATTCCTAGATTCTATCCAAGTTCTATCCATTCACCTTTTGCCATTTCAAATACAGGTCTTCCCTTACTAAAATCGATTGTGATTTGCATTTCTCTTTATCATTATACAATGAAAATTTGAAGTTTAAACAGTTTTCAATACATTTACTTTGATTTGCCTTTATAAAATTCAAATTTTCAACCGGCACGTCACGTTTTTACTTCGATCACCTTTTTACCCACGCAAACTCACTTTTTCCCAAACAAACCCTGGATCCAATCGATGGAGAATTTCAAGGTGCATCTTTTGACGTAAAAATGAGCCCGATCCATCGGAGTATGGCTGAGAAAAAGTCAAAAAACTAAATCGCTTAGATGTTCCTTGTGCGCGAGCACAATCGCGAATTTTCTGGCAGAGGGCTTTTAGAGATAGAGAGTCCCTCTCGCTCTTCTTATGTCTTCGTGTCCAATCGCAAACCAATAGCCTGAAGGAGTCGATGGAAGGGTTTTTGTGGAATGTGGCATTCCACACTCTCGCGTTGGGGAAGCCGCTGATACTCTTGAAAGCGCTGATACTCTTGAAAGCGCTGATACTCTTGAAAGCGCTGATACTCTTGAAAGCGCTGATACTCTTGAAAGCGCTGATACTCTTGAAAGCGCTGATACTCTTGAAAGCGCTGATACTCTTGAAAGCGCTGATACTCTTGAAAGCGCTGATACCTTGAAAGCGCTGATACTCTTGAAAGCGCTGATACTCTTGAAAGCGCTGATACTCTTGAAAGCGCTGATACTCTTGAAAGCGCTGATACTCTTGAAAGCGCTGATACTCTTGAAAGCGCTGATACTCTTGAAAGCGCTGATACTCTTGAAAGCGCTGATACTCTTGAAAGCGCTGATACTCTTGAAAGCGCTGATGTCAGCTGGGCTTCCGTCAGCTGTTCGGGCTTCCGTCAGCTCTTTATATTGAAGCAGGATGCCAGATTGAAGGCAATTACGCGACCGCACAAAGAACACACATCTATTTTCTTCTTTTGCTTTGTAGATGGCATAAAAAGAACAAGCTCAGCTGTAAATTTGTACCCAGGAGGTTTTCCAGGCCGGAGAATCGGTTGACGGTGTGCATTTTTAGTCTTTCAATTCTCATAAGAGCACAATACTAGAATTCTAGCAACTCTTTGTTCTTTGCTTGATACAAAACAATTGTGAGTGGGAATTCACAGACAGATTACTGTAAAATCCCCCTACAAAACGTCCTTTTCATCTTCTGCTATTCAAAAGTCGCTTACTGTGCTTATTTCCTTTATCAATGATCAAAATTTATTTAAAAATACACAATTCTCATCTCTTTTTAATCAACATTTCAACATTTCAACATTCACAAATCAAAATTGGCAGCACAAAGTAAAAAAAAAACTAGAGAATGACATAAAATCAAAAAGAAAATCAAAAAACAAACACAATTCAACCGGAAATTTGTCAAGAGATCGATGATGAATGGTTTTTTTTAATAGAAAAAGAGTAGGATTCTTGAAATTCAATGAAATTCAATGAAATTCAATGAAATTCAATGAAATTCAATGAAATTCAATGAAATTCAATTGTCAATTAAATCTTAAACTTATCATTTCATCAAATTATGCTTATTTTCTTTCAAAAACTTACCTGGAAAGGAGGCTTTTAGTCTCAAAAAACGGGAAAATCGCGGAAATATAAATGAGGATTTGTTTTGATGGGAAAAAAAGGCTGCTTAGAGCTTTAGAAATGTTAAAAATGCATGACAAAAGTGCTTGACAAAAGCTTTAAATAGCTGACAAGTATTTAAAGCTAGATTCATTCAAAACCGCTGAACTCTTGAAAGTCGAGCGGAGATTTTCGAATGCAAACATGGCGGAACATTCGGCTTCGAATATCGGTCGTACTGTAGACACAGTCGTGATCGGATCCACATTTGCACCTAAATGACGGCGATGAGAATTGGCTTTGTGTTTAGTTTGGAATTTGGTTTGGAAGGGGGTAGAATGGTGGCAAGAATCGAGTTAAATCTAAGGCAAGAATCTAGCTAAATCTAACTCAAGAATCTAGCTAAGTCTAAGGCAAGAATATAGCCAAATCTAAGCCAAGAATCTAGCTAAATCTAAGCCAAGAATCTAGCTAAATCTAACTCAAGAATCTAGCTAAATCTAAGGCAAGAATCTAGCTAAATCTAAGGCAAGAATATAGCCAAATCTAAGCCAAGAATCTAGCTAAATCTAAGCCAAGAATCTAGCTAAATCTAACTCAAGAATCTAGCTAAATCTAACTCAAGAATCTAGCTAAATCTAACTCAAGAATCTAGCTAAATCTAAGCCAAGAATCTAGCTAAATCTAACTCAAGAATCTAGCTAAATCTAACTCAAGAATCTAGCTAAGTCTAAGGCAAGAATCTAGCCAAATCTAAGCCAAGAATCTAGCCAAATCTAACTCAAGAATCTAGCTAAATCTAACTCAAGAATATAAGTGTAGTGGTTAATGCCTACTCTCGCCTCGGCCCCCCTCTCCCCTGGTTCGAATCCCCTCACTGACAAAGTCCTTTGTTAAAGCAGTAAAACCAATTTTTACCAAATAAAAACCAATATCAATATAAAAAAACCAATAAAGATTAGCTCAAAAGCCGAAAAATTTTAGTTGATTGAGGTATTCACTGATATTCTGGTTACTGAACATCGTTTTCAGTCATTTCCAGGAGCCGTAATTACTGTTTATACTGTTTATACTGTTTATAGACTTTACTTTTTACCGTTTAGAATGTTTATTACTGTTTCGTACTGTTTCGTACTGTTTCGTACTGTTTCGTACTGTTTCGTACTGTTTCGTACTGTTTCGTACTGTCTATACAGCGTCTTACCGTTTACCGTTCTCTTAAAATAAGTTTTCAACCCTCATTCCTTCATCGTCATCTTCCCTTCACCACCAAAAAAGCTATTTATTGGGTTGGGGACTATGACTCGGCGCCGAAAATCAAAAAAATGTCTAAAACTTCTATTCGACTTCGTCAAATAATATGCGTTTGATATCAGTAGAGAATGGTTAACTAATTCTCTACAAAACGACATTTAAAAGAAAATTCAAACAGCGCCTCCGCTCAAGGAAAAGCCATTTTTTCACAAAAACTACAAACTGTCATCTAGAAAAAACAATTGGTGGGATCTTCCTGCAAATTTGGCAACTTATGTAATTGAATGTGCTCTATCTTTTTTATATAAACACCAAAGAAGGTTTATGTGAAAGAAACTGTTCAAATGATGAGTCGGGCTCTTTGCCATTTTGACTAGCTGTGTTTGGGAGTCCATAAACTCCACGAAAGAAAAGCTTTGTGGAATCTCTCAAAAGTCATTTTGTAGAGAAATAGTGGATCCTTTTGATGAAACCAAAGGTATATTTAAAGAAGGCTTTATGTGTGCAAAAAGTCCCTTTAAAGTTTGGCGCCGAGTCATAGTCCCCAACCCAATAGCTCCCCATTGAGCTTAGGGTTAGGGAGCCTGTCATGTCATGACGTGGGTTAAGTTAAGATATAGCCTAGTATTGTGTGTGTCGTTGTATTGTGATTGATATATTTCGTGTATGCGATAAATTCACCACTGGTAGCCCCAGTCGGTATTTTTTTATTCCCCCGTCCAGAATCTCGTTTTCCCGGAATTTCAAATGTCAAAGACAAAAAAATATTGGTAAAGCTCAAAAAAAACTTCAAATTTCCTGCAGCCTTATCTCCAAAACTTTCAAATGATTATTTTCCTTTATTTCTTTTTTCATTTCCCAAAAAAATGAGGGAAATTTTTGCTTTCTGGTGTCTGATTGCTACACTTTCTTTTCCTCTTCTCTCTTTCTTCTCTTCTCTTTCTCTTCTCTTCTCTCTTTCTCTTTCTCTTTCTCTCTCTTCTCTCTTTCTTTCTCTTTCTCTCTCTTTCTCTCTTTCTCTCTCTTTCCTCTCTTTCTCTCTCTTCTTTCTCTTTCTCTTTCTCTCTTTCTCTTTCTCTTTCTTTCTCTTTCTTTTTCTCTCTCTTTCTTTCTCTTACTCTTTCTTTCTCTTTCTTTCTCTTTTTCTCTCTTTCTCTTTCTTTCTCTTTTTTCTCTTTCTTTCTCTTTCTTTCTCTTTCTTTCTCTTTCTCTTTCTTTCTCTTTCTCTTTCTTTCTATTTCCTTGATTTCCAGCTTTAAAATCTTAATTTTTCTCAAAAATCCAATCAAAAATCTGTCAAAACTGTCAAAGTTCCGGGTTTTAAAGAAAAAAATCAGCAAAAAATCCACCCACTTAGAAAAACATGCCTTTGTTTTGATGATAACAAATTTTAGAGAAAATTTTTGGAAATCTTTTCGGATTTAGATAAACTCAAGTGTTGGCAAATAGGGATTAGTGAAATGCGTTTTTCCGTTTTTCAGAAAATAGATTTTCTTTCAAATTTTTCTTAAAAGGAACACGTTTGTTTTGGACTTTTTGGGGTCACTGAGAGAAATCGTTTTTTCTTTTGCAAAATTGCGGACTGTTTTTGAAAAACATGTACTTGCAAGAAAATAGATCTATTAGAAAGAGGCAGTGACTGGGTACTGTAGTGGTCGAAATGCTATAGTGACTTATAGTTAGGTATTAACGGGTCTAAAATCAATTTGCTAAAAATTCAAAATCTGATTAATACTAATTTTTATGTGCTATCCAACTAAGAAATAGCCAAAGTTTCATTAAAATCTGTCTACTCAAAAAGAAGTTAATTGGGGGAACAGTTCTCAGACCATTTCCTCGAAAACTAAAAACATCAGAATTCAAAATCTGATCAATGCCAATTTTTACATGATATCCAACTAAGAAATAGACGAAGTTCCATCAAAATTTGTCTACTCAAAAAAGGGTTAACCAGGGGAACAGTTTCCAGACTATTTCCTCGAAAACTAAAAACAAAAGAATTCTGAATCTGATAAAGGCTAATTTTTATGTGCTATCCAACTAAGAAAAAGCCAAAGTTTTATTAAAAACTGTCTACTCAAAAAAGAGCTAATAGGGGGAACAGTTTCCAGGCTATTTCTTCCAAAACTAAAAACATCAGAATTCAAAATCTAACCAATACTAACTTTTCTGTGCTATCCAACTAAGAAAAAGCGAAAGTTTCATTAAAATCTGTCTACTCAAAAAGAGTTAACCGGGGGGAACAGTTTCCAGACCATTTCCTCGAAAACTAAAAACATCAGAATTCAAAATCTGATCAATGCCAATTTTTACATGATATCCAACTAAGAAATAGCCGAAGTTCCATCAAAATCTGTCTACTCAAAAAAGGGTTAACCAGGGGAACAGTTTCCAGACTATTTCCTCGAAAACTAAAAACAAAAGAATTCTGAATCTGATAAAGGCTAATTTTTATGTGCTATCCAACTAAGAAATAGCCAAAGTTTCATTAAAATCTGTCTACTCAAAAAAGAGCTAATAGGGGGAACAGTTTCCAGGCTATTTCTTCCAAAACTAAAAACATCAGAATTCAAAATCTAATCAATGCTAATTTTTACATGATATCCAACTAAGAAATAGCCGAAGTTTCCTTAAAATCTGTCTACTCAAAAAAGAGCTAATGGAGAGAACAGTTTCCAGGCTATTCCTCCCAGATTTATTTGACAAAAACAAGTAAAGCTTGTCCCATGCCTACAATGCAATTGTTTAATTTCTTTGTTTAATCTTTATAGTTAAGAAACGGTAGTCTGATTGGAGGTACAGTGAAATTGATCGGTCAAGCTACTACTCTAGCCTGGTCTAACTCTTACTCAAAAGCTTCTACGAAACAGAATCCAGGAAAACGTGTCAACTTTTCAGCCAGGTCAGCGGGGGCAAGATTACGGTAGTTTTCAAAAGAGTTGACACCTTTTCCCGGATTATCGGTTAGAAAACCGGATTATCTACATCTTTGATCCCTTTTACTTTACTTTACTCACCACGATCGAACCCAAGTCATCGGCGAGCCAGTCCTAGCAGCACCGGAAAACGAGTAAAAGCCACAGGGTTCTCGGGGAGCACAAATCGGGGCCGATTCATCGAATTCTTGTTCCTAGAAAGTGATTTGATCTGGAAAAGTTCTGCGTCTAGAAAAGGATTCTTTTTGAAGAAACTCTACGAAAATTTAGGATCTCTGTAATGTCCGTAAATCGACTTAAATCCAATTTTTTCCACTTGAAAGCTTACTGGAAAGAAATCCAGAGTTAGTCAAGATGTTTAGGGATTATGTCTAGATGTTTAGGGATGCCGTAATCATTGAAGCTTTGGGCTTGAAAATTTGGGTACTGTAGTTAGGAATTGAGGGAATTTGACTGTTTTAGAATGAGAATGTCTTAGAATTAGAAAGATTAGAATGTCTTAGAATGATTACGGTACTAAAGGGTTACGATTACAGTCTGTAGGCTTACTGTACCTTACTGTAGGCCTACTGTAGCTTACTCTAGGCTTACTGTAGCTGACTGTAGCTCATTGCAGATGGCTGTGCTTACTGTAGCTGACTGTAGCTTACTGTGCTTACTGTGCTTACTGTAGGCTTCCTGTAGCTGACTGTAGTTTACTGTAGCTTACTGTAGGCTCCCTGTAGATGACTGTAGATGACTGTAGGCTTACTGTAGGCTTCCTGTAGCTGACTGTAGTTTACTGTAGCTTACTGTAGGCTCCCTGTAGATGAATGTGCTTACTGTAGCTTACTGTGCTTACTGTAGCTTACTGTGCTTACTGTAGCTGGCTGTAGCTGACTGTAGGCTTACTGTAGGTACAGTAAACCCTAGTTGAGTAGCTAGGGCTGTAGAAACAATCGTTTTACTGTAGAAGACACAGATACTTAAGGTTTAGGGCTGTAAAAAGATTCAAATTTCCATTTGAAAGCTTACCGGAAACAAATCCGGATGCATGCCGGGTTTGACGAATTTCTGTGACTTGTAGCTGGTGAGTGCGCAAAGGGAAAGAGTGACGAGGATGGAGAAAATCGAAAATAACCTCAGCAACGACATGATGATCAATAGATTTGAACTGAAAGACTGAAAGCTTTGATTTGATAAAGATTATTGCGAGAAGTAAGATTGAAATTGAAGTAACTGAAGCAACTGAAGTAACTGAAGTAACTGAAGCAACTGAAGTAACTGAAGTAACTGAAGCAACTGAAGTAACTGAAGTAACTGAAGTAGCTGAAGTAACTGGCAATTGAAGCAACTGAAGTAAATATTATAAAATCAAATTGTCAAGAAAGAATAAGTGCAGAAATCTAGAAGAAAATGATTCAAATTCGTCAAAAACTCAAAAGTTTCTCAAAAAAACTTTCTCGAAAAGGATCACGTATGAAAACAGGCAATTTTTGAATTCAAATTCAAAAGAATTCAAAGAAAACAAAGAGAGAAAACTCTTCAAAACATCTAAAGATTAGGGAAAGTTCAGATTTACTCGTTGAAAATTAAATAAACAACAATTTTCTGCATCTAATAATATAGAATTTTGTCCAAAAATTTCGTCTAAAGGAGAAAATCGAAAAAAATAGATTTTGAAACAAATAAGCTTGTTTTTAAAGCTTTAAAACAGTACTTTTGTACACAGTACACAGTACTTTTGATTAATTTTTCATTGTTTTTATTGAAATTGATTTTTTCATTGTTTTTTATTGTTTTTTTATTGCTTTTTTCATCGAAACACCATTTTTTTACGAGAAAAGTAATGAATTCAATGAAATAAATTCTATTCAATGAAATGCACTCAAGAATATGAATGATCAAGATTCTAATTCCAGATTGTATCTAAGAAAGAAATTGTAATCTAAGAGAGAAATTGACAAAGCCTGTTGCTAGAGATCGGAAATAAACTCTTGGGGATAATGTCGGAAAGGGATTTTGAGGGCTTTACGGTTAACGGGAGGGAATCGCTCGACCTAGAGCTAATAGGGGGAAACAGTTTCCAGGCTTTCCGCTCGAATTCAAAATCTGATTAATGCTAATTTTTACATGATATCCAACTAAGAAAAGGCCAAAGTTTCATTAAAATCTGTCTACTCAAAAAAGAGCTAATAGGGGGAACAATTTCCAGGCTATTTCCTTCAAAATTAAAAACAAAAGAATTCAAAATCTGATTAATGCTAATTTTTTCATGATATCCAACTAAGAAAAAGCCAAAGTTTCATTAAAATCTGTCTACTCAAAAAAGAGTTAATAGGGGGGACAGTTTCCAGGCTATTTCCTCGAAAACTAGAAACATCAGAATTCAAAATCTGATTAATGCTAATTGTTACATGATATCCAACTAAGAAAAACCCAAAGTTTCATTAAAATCTGTCTACTCAAAAAGAAGTTAATCGGGGGAACAGTTCTCAGACCATTTCAAGAATGATCCAGATGGAAGATCCAGATGGAAGATCAAGATGGAAGATCAAGATGGATGATCAAGATGGATGATCAAGATTCTAATTCCAGATGCAATAATCAAAGAGAGAAATCGCCAAAGGAAGCATGCTGTTAGAGATCGGAAATAAACTTTTGGGTATAATGTCGAAATCGGACTTTCAGTGGCGATCGGTTATCGTTTTTTGGTCAACTTGCAGCTCATTTTTAAGCATTATAGAACTTTCATTTAAAATTATACAAAGTTTAGCCGGATTTGAAACGTCCGGTGCTTTACGGTTAACGGGGGGCGGGCAACTTGTCGAATCAGGAAGCTTTAATAAGATTTAGATAGCTTAGAATGTCAGCTTTAAGAAACTATTTGTTTTATCAAAAGTTATTAAGAAAAACCTATCTAAAATCGGGATGGAAAGTTGGTCAAAAACTCGTCCCCGATAATCGCTCGCCCACCCCCCATTAACCGTAAAGCACCGGACGTTTCAAATCCGGCTAAACTTTCTATAATTTTAAATGAAAGTTCTATAAATCTTATATAAATTGTCTATAAATTGGCTATAAATCTTCTATAAATTAAAATAATTAAAACCAAATTTCTCAGCATTTTAAATAACAAAAAAAATTAGAATAAACTTTGTCAAGAAAAACAAAAAAATTTTCTTAATAACTTTTGATAAAACAAATAGTTTCTGAAAGCTGACTTTCTAAGCTATCTAAATCTTATTGAAGCTTCCTGATTCGACAAGTTTAAGGTGCTTAAAAATGAGCTGCAAGTTGACCAAATCATAAAAAAATAGGATTAATGATTTCATTTTGAGAGAAAAAGATAAGAGAAGGAATCAGGGTTTGAAAAATTAACGAAGAAAAAAGTAGATTTTGCTTGTTATTGGATTACTTTGCTTTCAAAGAAGACGAAGAAAGAGAAAAAGAAGGATGAAAGAAAGAAGAAAAAGAAGAAAAAGGAAGAACGATATCAAAGATCGATCTTAAACAGTTAAAGACTATCAAATTTAGGATAGATAAGATAGAAAGATAGAAAATAGTTATAGACTAAGAAAGTTTAAAGGAAATACAAATTTGGACTTCTTACTAGGGAACTGAATCAATTTAGTATCGATTTTGGATCTAGAAACCTCAGAAAATAGTTATAGACTAAGAAAGTTTTCAGAAAGAAAGCTTTAGACCACCTTGAAATCCTAAAGGACATGTCTTTTTCTGTTTTAATTGTTGGAACTAGAGCTGATCAAAAATTTTTCCGCCGCCGGACTCGAACCTGCGACCTCTCGCTTTGGAAACAAACGTGCTAACCACTACACCACGAACAGCCGAAATTCCTGTACTTCAGAGGGAGCTAAGTCAAGAGTATCCGGCTTTCGAGAGAAATCGAGAGAATTCGAGCAAAGGAAAAATTCGAGGAAAAACGGGGCCGCTGGGATATGAGCGAGAATTTCGCCCTTCGAAAAAAAGTCTGGATGGTGTAGTGGATAGTGTGCTCGGTCCCCACCCAGCTCGGCCGCACTCTCCCCTGGTTCGAATCCCGTCACTGATAAAATCTTTTGTTAAAGCAGTAAAAACAATTTTTATGAATTAAAATACAAATATCAATTAAAGAATAGCTTAAAGAATAGCTTAAAGAATAGCTTAAAGAATAGCTTAAAGAATAGCTTAAAGAATAGCTTAAAGAATAGCTTAAAGAATAGCTCTAAAATAAAGAATAGCTTTATTTTAGTTTCAAGCATTGAGTCGCATTATAATGGAGAATTTTGGCTCATTGCAAATCTCATCAAAACTTACAGAAACTCTGATCACTGAAACAGTGGACCGAGCTTTGGTAGAGCTTTAGTAGAGCTTTGAAAGAGGCTAATGGGTCAAGAGGCAATCAAAATCCATTATTATATACGAGGGGAATTGTTTACGACGAAAGTTTGCACAGGGAAAGCCGCTTATCTTTGATTATGGAAAAGTTCAAGGAGTTTTTCTCGGGAAAGGGATTTTCATATGGAAATCAGTGTGATTTTCGAGAAACATTAACGAAAAAAAAAATTCATTTCTGGGTCAATCCCTCAAGAAGAACGTAATAACAAGAAAATGTAGAAGAGAAATGGAGTTGAATGGAGTTGAATGAATGGAGAAATGGATGGAGAAATGGATGGAGTTGAATGAATGGGAAAAAAAGCGTTGATGGATCGAAAATCTGGATTTGAATCCGTGAAACTGTATCAATTCTTTAGTTCTTTAGTTCAATTCTGTTTACCGTATTTACTCTATTAGTGGGGTCCTCTCTAATAGTGGGGTCGTCTGGAGGGGGGTTGAAAAAATAGTGGGGTCCTCTCTAATTTTGGTAACGAAAGTGATACACCAATTGTTGATCTCTTGGATTAGTTCTTTTACTGTTTGTTAATGTTTTGTTACGGTTAAAGCTAAATAAAATATGAAGCCAAACTTGTTTTTTCAAGAATTTCGGAGAAAAATTGATATCTTTTCAACTTAAAACTTTGGTTTTATGTTCTTTTAAATTTCTCTAATAGTGGGGTCCTCTCTAATACTGGGGTCGTCTGGAAGGGTATTGAAAAAATAGTGGGGGACCCCACTAATAGAGTAAATACGGTAATTCTTTTCTTTCGTTTCTTTTTCTTAAATAAAACTCTCAAACCTTTAAAGAAGCACATAAAAAGAGCGATTTCAATTAAAATCAAAAAAAGAGAAGCGTTTTTTAGAGAAACGTTCTTTAAATAGACTTTTGAAAAGTTCGTTTGCTGAACTTAGACTTGGGGAAAAAATTGAATTAAAAATGTAGAGAGATGAAGAAAAAAAATTTGCAGCTGCAGAGTTGGATTTGGATTATTTTTGGATTAATTTTGCAGTTACATCAAACGGAACACCCGAATTTCGAGTGGTTTATTCGGTGGAGATTCTTCACGCCAAGATTACTGTAGCCAAAGGAAAGCTAAGATTACTGTAACTGCAATTTGTTTTCTACTGTACGCGATTGATCATGCGACAGTTACAGTAACCCTAGCTACAGTGGCCCTTTAGGAGGAGCATGCGGCAGCTACAGTGGCCCTTTAGGAGGATCATGCAGCAGCTACAGTAATCCTAGCTACAGTAACCCTAGCTACAGTAATCCTAGCTACAGTGGCCCTTTAGGAGGATCATGCAGCAGCTATAGTAATCCTAGGTACAGTAGCCCTTTAGGAGGATCATGCAGCAGCTACAGTAATCCTAGCTACAGTAATCCTAGGTACAGTAGCCCTTTAGGAGGATTCTGCGGCAGCTACAGTAACCCTAGCTACAGTAATCCTAGCTACAGTAATCCTAGGTACAGTATCCCTTTAGGAGGATCCTGCGGCAGCTACAGTAACTCTAGCTACAGTAACCCTAGCTACAGTAGCTCTTTAGGAGGATCGTGCGGCAGCTACAGTAATCCTAGCTACAGTATCTCTTTAGAGCTACAGTAATCTTTAATCTTTAAAAGGCTACGGTAATTCCTTTGAGCTACAGTAACCCTTTAGTGCTTCAAGACTACAGTAATC